CTCTTGTCTCACTCTCTCTCTCTGCCTGTTCTGTGTAGTTCTGACTACATTCCAGTGCTTGCTATTCTGTATTTCTGTTGTGTAGGATAGTTGTAGCCTGGGTCCCCTTGCTGAGCCTTCAGGTCCCCTCTACACTGTTGCTGACACAAATGTTCAAAAGATTACTACACTTGATTAATTGCTTTGTCTATTTCTCTGAGCCTCTCACCCTTTCTAGTAATTGCATTCTCACCTCTATCATAAGTAAGATTCAACTTTGGAAGTAATTTCTGGATCTCCTCAAGTTCTCTCTTAAAATCCTCAAGTTTGTGTTTGGTCCTGTAGTCTTTATTATTAATACACTCTAGCTTTTCCCTTATTTTACTAATGTACTACTCAATTAACTGTATGTCCATATTTCTAATTGTGTTAAATAACCAGGTTGTTATGTCTCCTGGATCAAAAGGTAAGCTAATAGCTTTTATTAGACACTCCTTATTATTAGAGGAACTCTTACTCTACAGTATGCTAGATGAAACTTTTTTGTAAGATTCTGCTCTTTTATAGTATTGTTTCTCTTAATAGTCTAGGACAACTAATGACCCTCTTAGAGTTTACAAAATTTAAATTCTATCTACTACATATTTTAAGTAATAACAGTATAACATTCTTGTTATAAACTCTCCCTAATCTGTATTCAACATAAAACATGTATAGTCTTAGTATAAGACACTAAAAAAGGTTCTTAAATAATCATTTTACTTTTGCTCAAGGTACATTTGGCTTGAAGGAGTAAAGGCCAGGATACAACATACACTGTTAGTAAGTATTATGCTTCTTAAGAATGAATGGTTTTTACTGTCCAGAAATTCTGTAACAGATACTACTCTAACTAGTACTGTTAATTGAAGATATAATTGTAAAGTACTTAAAAGAACTATTATACATGTTACTCAGTATTTGGTAAGCACCTGGAGAAAAGCATAGTTGACAACAGACATATTAGGTAGAGGATGTAGAAATGTTAGAATGAATACTTGTTTTTAATGTTATAGAATACTTTTTACTAAGTTGTAGAAGCAAATGTGTATGTATTAACCTATATAACACTACAGTTCTATAATCTGGCAACTAGATTTGCACTTTCTGTGTTAAATGATAAATGTAACCTACAGATAAGTAGGAAGTTTACAAATATCGATTAATTCTGTTTTGTATTATTCTGATCCTTTCACCATTTTCAGAAACTTTTTCCTTCCAGTCAGGATTGTTGTGATTTAAACTCAAATAATAGCCTTGGATTTGCTCAAGCTCCTTCTTGTAGCCTTTGAGTTTAAGTTTCTTTTGGTTGTCATTGTCATTAAGCTTAGGTAGTATTCTGTCTATGTCCTTGAGGCACTGACTAATTGTGATCTTGTCAAAATGTATACATTGATCAAATATGCCAGTTATCATGTCACCTGGCTCAAAATCCATGCCAATTACTTCAATTTGATTCCCCTCACAATCAGAAGAACGATTGCTTTGCAGTGTCTCAGGCGTTGCTGTGTGAGATCCTACTCTTTCGTGACAAGGTTTCTCTTGGTAGCCTGGGACGGACGACGATCCTCTTCCTAAATTATGTTTCTTGCTGTTAGGATCTCCAGCCCCGTGGGACGGGGCTTGCCCGGAATCGTGTCGCCTGCTCATAGCTTGCTTCCTACGTGGATAGACTACAGTTGATATTCCTCTAATAACAAATACATACATGAGTCTCTTATATTTATACACATTGTAATGTCAAAGCTAGCAAAGAGCAGTTTGATAGTGCTGATGTGCTGAAAAACATATTTAGTTCAAAATGACCAATCACATCATGAATTTCCTCTTCATCAGTATTTATATGACAAAAATGTGTAAATATTAAAAGAATTGTTGCATTACTGCTGAGGTAATACAATTATGTTCCTGGACCTGGACCAGAAGCAAAGGGCATGATGCAAACCACCTTGCTATGTAGTGACCGAATCAGAAATGAATATCAGTTACTGTCTATTCAGCTTGTGGATGGGTACTATTCTAGGATCAGGATGAAGGTAGCAAAAGGTACATCATACAAGGCGACTATCACATCATGGCTTATTCTGGCAGTCGACGTCATAGCATATATTTTCAATGTGGCAAGTTTTGTTCTCACGTTATGTACCCGGTGTGGCGGGTAGTTCAATCAATCAAGACATGGGGGCTTCGGGAAGGAAAACATGGAGATACCAGTGCACTATATGTTTCTTCACAATATGCACGTCCAGCCGGGGTGGGGACGTCCACTGGCCATCATCAAGCCGAATTACGCTACTTTTGGTGAACACCTGTCAATCATCGGCACACGTGTTACTTTTTCCCTTCCGTGATGATACGAAATTTCTTGTTGAACTACGTAGCAAAACAAGGTTCTATACTTTCATAGGGCACATACAGTTTACGGGGAAATTCAGACTTGCGCCTCGCTTGAAAAGCTATCGAAGAGGCTATCAATGTATCAGTTGATGACTGGAAGGAGCAGGTAAAGAAGGTTGTGGCGGCATGCGAAACGATGAAAGCGGTAACCTAATGAGGAAAGATCGAAGCAGCAACGTTGTGAGGTGAGGACCTTCTAGTCCACTCTCGTCCTCCACTTCATCTTGCGACCCGCCTCTATCTCACTGTCGTCATCGTCGGCGTACGCGCTACGAGCGTCGTCGGTCAGGCGTCGCAGACAGTATCGAGATGGCCATCCTCGGCTTCTTCAAGAAGGACAAGGCAAAGACCTCAAGTTCGCAAGCGAGCACGACCAGCTCCATTGCGGCTGCTGTCGATGACAATGCATCCTCTGAAGATTACGTCCTCTCCCCGCCGTCTGTCCTCCTGCCCTCCGTCGGCAATGGTGACGACGGCTATACCTCCTCGTCGGCGAGCTTCATCTCCGCCGCGTCGTCCAAGAAGCTCAGACTTCCTTTCATCAAAAAGCCGTCCGCGGCCAGCTCGAGTCCTTTGCTCCCTTCCCTTGCACCAGCACGAAGTCCACTGAATGCTTCTTCCGACAAACTTTCTTTGCGGCTCGATACCTCCTTCAATGGTTCTTCATTGCACGCGCCTGTCTTTCCGGCGCATCATGTTTCAAGCTCTACTCCGACTCTGCCTCGCGCAGAGGCAAATACCCGTCCCCAACCGATGCCGTTGCAAAAGTCTGGCTCCCCTAACGCCCCAAAGTCCAGTGGCGGTCTGTTCGGCTGGCGAGAGCGCAGAAAATCAAAACCGGCCAAGCCAGATCCAGAGACTCTGGCACTTTCTCCCCTCACGGACGAGTCGTTCAACCTCAAGTCCTTCCGCCATGTGTTACCTGAGACCCGGTCAAACTCCCCGTCAAACCGCACTCCTGCACAATCACCTTCCCCGCAATCATTTGTTCCTCCCGTACGTCCTCGCGGCGCCAGCGTGGCTTCAACGGATTCTTCACAGCGCATTTCCGTGGCGGCATTCCGGGAAGCACAAGCGCGTAGAAGCAGTACAAATTTAGTGAGCGGTTCTCCAAGCCCAACAATTCGCCCTGTTTCTTTGGCAAACTCGACCATATCGGACATACCACCTCCTCCCAAATTGCCTCTCTCTGTTCAATCATCTGGGTCTGCCTCGCCCGGACCAGGTCGCGAAAGGAAATCAAATCCTTCAAGGCAATCCAAAGTAGCCTCGTCAGATACGACCTCATCCGAGGAATCCGATTCAGATGAATATTCTCCCTCTCGCTCCCGCTCCCGCCTCAGTCGCCAGCGCACCATAACGAGGCGCAGTTACGGGGCCAGTTCTGATTTAGGTCACGGCAGTTCTCGCGTGGCCAACAATTCACATCACCAGCAAACATCGTCGGCACGGTCAGAACTAGGCCATGGATCGTCTGCACATGCCTCCCATACTTCCCCGTCACCATCTCGCGGCCCACCCCCATCGTCTTTCCAGAAGTCGGCAGAAGCATTCATGGGAACTCGTTCATTCAGTTTATATAGACGGCAAAGAGCTAGCTATTCTACGAGTGAACTTAATCCTAGTGCCGCCGCTCAGCGTGCGACTACCCTTGCAGAGGCTAAAAAGCGTGGTACGTTCCTTCATTCAGGTTCTCGTGACATACCTATTTATAGTCTTACGTTCTTCAATTGCATGCTTTCCATCGATAGAACTTGCCGCTCAACGTCGAGCTGGCGGTGATAGTGACACGTCAGAATCCAGCTCTGACAGTGACTCCTCTGACGAAGACGCGCCACTGGCGGTATTGAAGCAACCAAAACGACCTGGCAGTGCCTTCTCACACAGGAGCAGCGGCACGTCGACACCGTCTCGGAAACCACTAATTGATCTCAATGCTAAGAGCAATCCACTGTCTGGCAAGCCCATTGCAGACAGTCACGATCCTGATCAGGAGAAACCGCGAACGACTTTGATCAGTCCAACAAATATCAATAACCGTCTAACGCAATTGACGGCAGGTCTAACTGATCACCACAACAAACCTGGTTCAAAGAGCGAAGCTAATCTGTCAAGGGTCACGACTCCAAGACCATCCTACGTAGATCCTTCAAAGCCCGATTCTCCAGCCTCTACCAGCACAATTACTCCGCCAATCCGCACACAATCGCCGAAACCGTTACCAACTCATTCCAAGCGAGCCTCAGTGCCCGTTCTCCCTGTTTCTAATGATTTCTCAAAGAGCAGAGCTGAGGACTCGCGTCCTGTACCAATTAAAGACCGACCAGATCGCAACACAGGGTTCAGAGTGGTATCGCGCCCGCAAAAGTCCGCTACGACTCCTCCTTCCTTTGCTATTTCAATGGCTGGACCTTCGAACCATCTGTCAAAGGAATCTGGACCCGTTTCCCACCATCGTCACTCATCTTCGTCAACGCTCATTGCAGTCTCACGCCCCCCGACTGACATTTCTTCAATTGCCACCAGGCCGCTCCTTGCGGCTTCTCAGAATGGAAGTGCTGTCTCAGCCTCCGGTTCTTCAATTTCTGGGACATCGTCTTCGCAACGCACGGGTTCAGACGTGCAAAAGTTGTCCCAAAAGCCATTCACTTTCGCTGGGAAACGTCAAGAAAGTCCGGCCAGCTCAACCGGTGGTTCATCGAATGGAAAGGCTCCTCTGACACCGATGGATGGTAGTGATTATTTCAACCCAGAGATACGCGGAAGTGGGGATAGTCCAGCGGGGAGCTCTATCGGAGCAACGCCACCTAGTGCTATGAAAGGCGCGAGAGGTCATTTGAAACGCGCAAGCGTTAGCTTCCAGGAGCCGGTAGAATTTGACAAGGATGAGACAGTCCGGGGAAGAAAGTCGTCGATGAGTCAAACGAAATCAGAGAAACAGCATCCAGTTGAAGAGCGCGAGAATCGATTGCGCGAGAGGAGGCGCAGTGAGGCGAAAGCGGCTATTGATGTATGTTCTTATTTCTTACCTGTAAGTGAAGAGTCATCTCATTTGATTATTTCACAGTTCGGCAACGTGGTCAATGGGCGAGGCCCACTTAACCTTGATGAGGACAACGAGGACACCATGATAAGTCCGCAACTTCCACCACTCAACTTTGGAAACAATGCAGGCGTGAACCTGAACATGCAAATGGGCTGGCAGCAACAGGGCATGTCGTCACCAATGATGGGTGGTATGGGTCCGATGGGCACTATGCCAGGCATGCCTGGCATGAATATGGGCATGGGGCTGAATCCATCACAGTTTATGGTTCCTACGCCGCCGCCAGGCGCAGATACTGCTTTTCTTGCAGCTCATCAGCATGCCATGCGCATTGCAAAGCAAGCGTACCAATACGCGGTTGCGCAACAAGCAATGGCTGCTGCTGCAGACGAGTGGGAGCGCGGTTCGAGTGTTAGTGCATTCACGGCGCCAGGAGCCGGTATGGGCACGGGTATGGGCGGATACGGCATGGCGGGTATGAGCAATATGTGGGGAGGTGGAACACCAATGTTTCCCGCTGCCCCACAATCAATGTATGCGGGGAGTAACGGGATGGGTGCCATGAGTGAGGCGGGCTGGGGTACCGCGAGCGTTTATGGTGAATCATTCGGACCATCTGTGGCCGCCAATGCGCGGCGCTCACAGGTTTTCAATAACCGAAATTCGAGTAGTGGTGGTCCAGCAAGTATGGTTGGTTTTCCAACTTACCAACGAGCCGAGTCGACCAGTAATATGCCACAGAGCAAGGCCCAGCCATCACGAGGGGTGGCGCGGCCTCGAACGAAGACAGCACCATCCAATATGCCCACCCCAGCACAATATCGCCAAAGTAGGGGTCCGCCTTCAAGTTGGAGAGCAGGGACATAACATGAATCCATCCCCACGACATTTTCATTCCTTTTGAAGTACATACCTGGCAACTTGCTTTGCATTCAGTATAATTTCATGGACTCACAACGTACACTGACTATTTATCCGCTGCATTGACATCTATCCCTATCCCTCAGCTATCGTTCTTTTTATATCTGTCTTGGTCTCGCTGTTTCCTGGTTCCTGTTGTGTAAATTCTGACATTCAAGCACTTTTCCTTTCAACTCTCGTATACCTAATTGACCGGAAACTTTTTTTTTTGCATTCTCAATCATCCTCGGGCAAACTTTCGTTATTGTAACTGTCCATCAAGCTAGCGACCCCTCTCTTCATTTCTTTCGACGGTCTTGTGGCATAAGTACAGAGTAGATGTATTCCACTTCTATCGTACTGTACCTCACAATCATTCACTTCATTTGTCACAATTGCATGCAAATGATACATGACATGATGACATGACAATGACATTGCCATATGGTCACTGTGTGTGAGTAAGCTGTGCTGACGTCCAGACCGAATCGGACCTATGTTCCGTTCTTTGATTGCACGTTGATCCCAACCCTCTGGTACAAACAAAAGGCCGAGCCAGCGACCCTCAAGGATGGCTTGGGCTCCCTTTGTAATCCTGCTAGGTTTATCTCACGCGGTCATTTGCCATGTCCAAGACGCACCTCGTACACAGGGCACCTGCGTCTGAGACTGTCGTTAAGCCCTGGTCGTATTCCGATGAACAGAATGCCCAGATAGAGAATTTACGATTGGTAAGTGTGCTGTTGCATTTGGTTTGCTGAGTAACTGTGTGGCTGAGCTTATCTTTGTCAGTTTGCTAGGGAACAGATGCTTCCCGAAAGCGATGAATACCATAGTTGGGAGAAGCGATGGTTGGAGAAGCCGGATACCGTGCCTCGATATATGCGAGCGGCGAAATGGAAGTTTGAAGACGCAAAGAAACGTCTGAAAACGACACTTGAGTGGCGTCGTGAGTACAAACCAGACTTAATACCACCCGACGAAGTACGTCCATTTCTCCTCTCATATCGTATTTATTTATTTCTGGTCTGGTATCTTACGAAGCCGTTGAAAGGTGAAAATAGAAAGCGAGACGGGCAAGATGTAGGTTAATCCCAAATAAGGTTGCGATATGCGTTTCGCGTTGCTAACTCTTTTTATTTTAGCATCTTGAATGGATTCGATAAAGATGGTAGGCCAGTCGTCTACATGCGTCCTGGCAGGGAGAATACACCGACAAGTCCTCGTCAACTACGACATCTGGTCTGGTGCCTGTAAGCACACCTCTAATGCATTTCAACGTGCCGAATTCTAAACGTTCTTCGGCAGAGAACGAGCAAAAGACATGCAACCACCAGGCGTCGAATCAATCGCAATCGTAGTAGACTACAAGTCAACAACACTACGTACCAACCCGTCCATAGGCACGGCCCGAAAGGTGCTAAACATTCTACAAGCCCATTACCCTGAGACGCTCGGCAGAGGCCTCGTTGTGAACATGCCCAGCATCCTCGCCTTCTTCTACAAAGGCATCGCGCCATTTATGGATCCGGTAACGAGGGATAAGGTGAGTGCCCGATATACCCGACTCTTCACTATTCGCACCATAAGTGAAAGAACAGAAAGAGCGATAAATTTAACTTCACGAGCTGCTGTATCATGAGACTGACCTATTTTTCTGTATGATAGATCCGCTTTAATCCCGATCTGCTGGAGCTCATACCTGCCGAGCAGCTGGATGCAGATTTCGGAGGCGAGTTTGAATATGAATTTGAGCCTGAGAGTTATTGGTCGCAGATCGTCGAGTATGTTATTCTTGTCCTGCCTCAGTTCTGTCTCTGATGTTCATTTCATTCCGTTTAGGTACTGCGGGATAGCACCTGACGGCACTCGGTCGCAAAAGCCTAATTCAACTGGGTCTAATGCAGTTTCAGAAGCTTCAGGTAGCCCAGAACTGACTAGTCAAAGAACGAAGGACCAGGAAAACAAGTCGTATGCCATCATTCATTCATTCATTTCGCTTGAGTTTATATGACTTACCAAATCTGATACTATGCAGGTCCTCCGAGGCTTCGTCGGAAACAGCTATTCCAGCACCAGATCAGCTTTCCTCTGAATTAGAAGCTGTTGATATTAACAAGCATAGGGATGAACCACGCGTTTCGGTACAGGATGTTGGAGTCGAGGTGTCCGCTTAGAAATCAATATGTTTGGCCTCTTTCCGGGCGTCATAATAGATTCGTTTAAATAGTGATTTTCTACTTTGAAATAAATGGAGCCAAAAACCCTTTCGTGAACCCAATGCGGGTGAATACTCGGATATCTAAACGTTTGATTGACATTGTGTATATTATACTAATGTTTTTAGAAAGTGAGAACCCAAGGCTTTACTTATTTGCAGTGTGGTCAACGGAATTTGAGGATAACAAGTGGAGAGACTGGTAGTCACTTGTAGCTGGCTTATTATGGTAATTACTACTATAATGATAACAAGTCGACAATACATAGGATCGATAGTTGATCAACGTTATCTTGTGATCGTTCGGAAATCCAATTCCGATTCCTTCCTAGATATCAATAAGCCATTCAAGTTATTACGCATCCATCGCTTCTAAATCTTACAGATTTCAGTCAACATGTCTGTAGTCGTGTTGGGAGCAGGTAAACTATAATCCACTGGAAATGCCTAATCAAGTCATGGTAATGAATTCATCTTTGTCTGTAGGAGTTATCGGACTATCGACTGCTATTAGGATATTGGAGAAAGGGGACCCTGTCACCATTGTCGCAGAAGTCTTTCCTGATGACGCGAAGAGTATTCGATACACAAGTTGGTGGGCCGTAAGTACGTAGATAGTCGTCAAGTTGGAACACATAATGACTGCTTCACAGGGAGCGCATCATGTCAGTCTTGCAGGTGACGATGGTAGACAGCAAAGTGAGTCATCAGGGGGAAAAATGGAGGCCCGACTAGACAAATAACGATCTATTTTAGAGATGGATCGCGAAACCTTCAATGTTATGTGGGAAATGTCCGAATCTGGGAAGGACTCTGAGCAATGCTTCATGCGTATCCCTCAAGTTGAATACTATTGCGAAGAAAAACCAGGAATAAATAATCTAGAAGTCATGCCTGAAGTATGCTATTAACCTAATCCATTCTCATTAATTAATCTGACCCTTATGCTGCAGTTCAGGCATCTTCCCAAGGACGAGCTCATTCCGGGTTCAGTTTGCGGTGTTTCCTTCAAGACACTAACAATTGACATGCCGGTCTACCTTCTTTATCTTCTCGAACGCTTCCGTACCCTTGGTGGGCGTACCGAACGTGCATCAATACAGCATATTTCACAGCTCGCAGAAGGCGCATATACAGAGGGTAATCTGCCCATTGCCATCGTTGTATGCGCAGGGATTGGTGCACGAACACTTGGCGGTGTCGAAGATAAAGATGTATACCCTATCCGTGGCCAGACGGTACTCCTACGAGCGCCATGGGTTCACTTTGGTCGCACAGTGAGCAGCACCGAGACTGGGTTGTGGACATATATAATTCCGAGACGCAGCGGAGATGTCATCGTCGGCGGAATAAAAGATCCTAATGATTGGTGTGTCTAAACAGAGGATAGACTATGCAGTTCGCGACTAAAGCTTTGTCTTTGTCTAAGGGAGCCGAAACCTCGTGCAGTTACAACCAAAGATATTCTTGAACGAGGACTTGTTCTTTGCCCGGAGCTCTCTCCCTCTTATGCCGAGGATAAGTCTCGTGTACCGACAATCGAAGATGTGAAACCGATCATTATTGAGGAAGGCTGTGGCTTGCGGCCTGGACGCAATGGAGGAATTCGCCTCGAAAAGGGTATACTCGAGACAGTCGCTGGATTAAAAGTTCCAATAGTCTACAATTATGGGTATGTCTGAGAAACTCGCTCCGAATGCTTGTAACTCGTTCATTTATTTGTTCTAGCCATGGCGGATACGGCGTTCAGTCATCATGGGGATCCGCAAGCATTGCTGCGAATCTACTGGAAGAATTGCTACAGTGATCCATTGAAGTTTTTTGTGGAAACGGAAAGGTTATGCATGCTGACACTCTGATACTGCTGTCGCCTTTCGTAATTTACAGTTTTTATGAGATGATATCTGCACGTGTTCGATACGTCCGTTTGTTGAGAATAACAGGAATTTGCGAATTTGTATAGTAAGGACATTCCGCAATACGTGCAACAACTAAAACAATAAGTAAATATTGCCATTATGGGAATGACATTTTATTTGCCTATATCCGCGCCATGTAAGAGCTATTGGCATAAAGGTTATTTTTCTCGCCCCCAAAGGCTACACTCAACTATCAGTAAAATTGGTTTAGTGGGTGAAATATTCTAAGTACCTGCTAACAGACGGTTTCGGAGATACTGGCAAGTCGAGTTTTTTCCGGCTCGAAGGCGGCACATAACTGCCCGACCAAACATGTTTTAGATCATCAAAGCAGCCCTCCAGGACCAGGTAGTAGTATTGGAGCCGGAACGTGCAGCAAAAATTTCAGACTTGCTGTCCCGGATGTGATGATACACTCTTTCGTGATCGCCTGCATCAAATGGGCCGTCAAGCTCGTGAAGATACTCACGAAGCCGACCATTCCAATGGTGCCATAGCCTCAATACATCCCAACGTGAGTCCAGAACAGTGCAAAATGCATTGGCACATTCACGTACATCCCCAACAATGGTGTAATCCGATAAGTCGAACGATTTAAGATTGGGGCATATAATCTGGTCGCTTGTATAGCCAGCGTTGCTATCTGCAAGAGTATCTCTTTGCGCAGAAAGGAGCGCAAAAAGCCGTGCGGAGATAGTGCAACGATTCAAGTACAGCGCCTGAAGCAGGGGAAGAAGAGGTAGAATGTGCATAAGCGTGACTTCGCTCGCGCAGTTGCCGCTAATATTCAGATGAGTTAATGGTGGTGAGGAACGTTGGACAAAAGCCAAGAGATCTTCGCCTCCATGTACGAAACGTCCGTCCCTGTACAGCAAGCGTTCCAGAGCAGGGAGCTCCAATTCGCTGATTACAGGCGGTGAACTGATTACAGGCGCAAAAGAATCCTCCACGCGCAGCACAAGGTCCCGGAGGTTATGCGAGATGATAGAGTTTTTCACGCCTTTAGATAAATTATACCAGTGTCCGAAGACAGCCCGAAATTCCTTCAAATTCGGAGCCGCACTGAGAACGTTGAGACATTGTGTTGAGGTAGGTCGCTTTACAAAGAGCTGGACCGAATGTGCTGAATGCAGTGATACATGTCCGAGTTCGACAAGAAGTGAGCCCTGGATCCGTAGATAGACGAGTTTCGACGACCGTGCGAGGTTGATACTTCCACGTTCATCAAATCGATTACTAATGAAGCAAATTTTGATGCGCAATGAGGTTAACATCGGCATATCAGTTAACCTTATAACGGGGAAGTCGGGGGATGGACGGAATTGCCAATCAAAATTGACTTGACCCCAATGCCAGTGGTGGGAGAGCAACATTAAGATGATACATTCGGCTATCCGATGTTCCTCTGGAGAGTGTTCTCCACGAGGCGACTTTTGAAGGTGAAATTGAGTGGTGCCACATTTGCTCTGCGAAGCCATGTATCGAAAACCTCAATCAGCCATTTATGAGGACCAGGAAGGTAGCAGTACAAGTAGGTCCAAAGGGCTCCGAATGAGAGAGACACGTCGCGCCATCGTCGACAAACGCTCGAGATTGTAATCGGTACCCTGACGCTTTCCTGTCCACGGTGCTTGCTGCGTACACAGTTGTGAAAAATGTCTACGAGAGATTCCGCGGGCAGTGAGTTGATGCTCAAGGGATATGACGACATCTGCGAAAGAGCGAAGGCTGTAGGAACTGGGTTCAATAGCACAAGATGCGAAGTGAGAGTATATATATGTTCTGAATCATATTCTGCTGTACGAGTACAGCCTATACAGGACACAGTAGAAAGCGTAATTGTGCTGCGTCTGGGAGAACAAACAGAGCCTGTATTCTGTATCAGCATAATAGTAAGCCAGAAACAGCAACATGCCCTCACGTACGGTAAACATGTGTCAATAGGACGTGCGATCTTACTGCACACATGTAACCTGCAATGTGATAGACATTGACAGCTACTTCTTCCATATGCTCCTTGACGCGGTTCTAATCTGCCTCCCTGGGCCTGTCTTCCTCGTGTTCTGTCTTCTTATTTAAGTTATCACTTGACCTTCTCGCCTAGCAGAGATTATTGAGTACTCACTTTGGAGGTGCACTGATAACAAACCCGAGCTTCCTTTAAAGTTCGACTTGAACAGTACGGACAGCGAGAACCTAGGCTTTTTTCTGGGACGTTGTTGAGAATCTTAGCCTGTATCCATGTAACATTGCTTGTGATTCAGTTTTTTTCTTCTTCCAGAATTTAAGAAGGCATGTATTTAATTCGAAGTTACTTCGCCAATGCAAATGTGCGAGTCGCTGGAATGTTGAATTTATGAAGTATTTTCGGAGAGGATGAGGAATTTCGTGCGCAGTGATGACCGTGGGTGTCGAAAAAAGAAACAGCCAATAGAAATTGGGCGGCCCATACGCTGCGTCAGTCGGGGGCTCTTCCGACGTCCACTTACTTCCCTCTTCGACCGCCATTCCCTTGTCCTGCTCGCAATAACGACTTTTATATTGAACATGCAAGGAAGCTCCAGATATCTCCATGTGGCTTCTCGAGCTGGTTCCCAGCGGTCTTTACACGTCACGCGACAGTGCTCCAGCGCTTTCGCGCATGCACAAAAACGGCCTACCGAGACGGCTATAGCTAATAATGTTAAGGATCACTCTCGGCCCTCTGGTCCTTCAAGAATCGTGCCAACGCCTTCCGCTCGTATTGTGGATCCGTTCAAGTACCTTGGTCATGAGCTAACGACTCTACGGAAGACACTGCTCCATTTGCTTGGGTCTTCTCACCCCTCCTTAACTAAAATTGCAGAGTACTATTTTCTGCAACCCTCAAAGCAGATTAGACCTTTGCTGGTTCTCCTCTTTTCACACGCGACGAATGGCCTCGGTAGTGACTGGGATAAAAAGCGATGGGCTGCAGAGCAAGAAGGCGCTCGTGGACGCGCTGAGGAACTTGACAGTCCATTATCACGTTCAGACGTATTAAATGATTGGAATCCAAACATGCCGGACCACACTCGTAGTTTTGAAAGTGTTTTCGAGCTTCCACCTCCCCGCTCAAGATCGTCCCCACCAGTTTACGTTCCGACAGACGAATCACATATGACACCTGCGCTCGCGACACCATTACAACTTCTTCCGACACAACGACGTCTTGCTCAAATCGTCGAAATGATTCATGTTGCGTCACTGCTACATGACGATGTGATAGATGGAGCGGCACTTCGACGCGGAGCTGCATCTGCACCAGCTGCATTTGGCAACAAACTTGCCGTCCTTGCGGGTGACTTTCTATTAGGTCGGGCTAGTGCAGCACTCAGTCGATTAGGTTCGTCTGAATGCGTTGAGCTTATTGCCGGTGTCATTGCAAACCTAGTCGAGGGCGAAATCCTGCAAATGCAAGCTGCACTGAATGGAGGCGAGGAGGGTGTACTCAGTCGATCGGGATTGAGTGAACTCGGACTAGGTGGTGATGTTAAAGGCAAAGGGAAGGGGACGGAGATGCCACTAGAGGTACCTATGGGCCGAGAGATGTGGAACGTCTATTTGAAGAAGTCGTATCTTAAAACGGCAAGTCTTATCGCGAAGAGTGCTCGTGCAGCGGTGGTACTAGGCGGTGCGCGAGAAGGCGAGATCTGGAAAGAAGTTGCATATGCGTACGGCCGGAATATCGGGATCGCCTTTCAGGTATTTCCTTAAATTAAACCAACTCTGGGACATGAGCTGATACTAACTCTATTCTATTTTTCAACAGCTCGTTGATGACGTCCTTGACTACGAAGCTGCGGATAGTCAATTAGGGAAGCCTGGCGGTGCCGACTTGCAGTTGGGTCTAGTAACTGGGCCTGCATTGTTTGCCTGGGAGGAGCATCCGGCGATGGGTCCATTAATAAATCGCAAATTCGAGCAAGCAGGCGATGTAGAGCATGTAAGATCTCGCGTCTCCAATTCTCCAATCAGCCTCAATGTCAGATCTAATTTTGCGCTTTCATCGCTTTACAGGCCAGAGACCTTGTGCGCCGTTCGTCAGGTGTCGAACGAACACGCGCGCTTGCGCAATTACACGCAGACAAGGCACGCGAAGTGCTTCATCTTCTTCCCGAAAGCGACGCTCGAAACGCACTGGATGCACTTGCCGAACGCGTTGTCAACCGGACTTCTTGACGTCTCACTCCTCATTTCCTACAATTTATTAATTTGATAAACGCATCTTTCTTGCTTCTTTTCTTTTCTTTTCTTGCTTTGCATTAGATCAGTCTCCACTCTTCTCTTTTGCGCACTCAAGTTGACACTTTCATAACAATGACAATGATTTGACACCTGTCATTTTGCCATTTTGTTTTTACTTGCAACATACATGACTGTCTTTCTCTCCTTTCCTGCTGTTTCTTATTTCATTTGCGTTGATTTGAATTGACAATTCATGATCTAGTTAATACTTGAACACAATTAGTATTAGAAGCGCTCCGTTCCTCTTCTCTGCGAAAAGATAGGCAATCTAAAGGGATACCGAAAGCACAGGTAGGTGCGTATATAGTTAATCGATAGACGACAATCGGCACAGACATAGCACGGAGCACATAGGCGTCAAACTCGGAATTCTCAAGTCAAACGGATGCGAATGAGCAAGGATGAAAATCTTCGTTGAACAGCATCTGGCATCAACGGCGTCCACTCTTACTGGGAGGAGGTGGAGCTGCATCGAGTTTATCTTGTACCTGTTGAAGTGGTTTGGCAAGGTGTGCAGCAAGGTTCTGGCCCTACACAATCAGAGTAAGACCAATGGGAAGAAGAAACGAAACAGATATGGTATACCTTGAGTTGCAGATCGCCCCATTCGATATCGTCTGTAGCATTGAGTGCTATGAGGAGAGCAGGATCTTTTGGTGGTTGGCCCTCTTGCTTGGGTACTGAAACGACTGGTAGCACGATGATGCGTCCCAACTATATGCACAACGGGGCAATACGTCAGGCACCATAACTCATCAAACAGAAAAATCGCTGTACTTCGCTATCAACCATCCCTTCACCATCCTCTCTTGTCTCTGCCCATACTTCACTCGCAAGCCCAACAAGTACACGAATATCATCCTTCGGACGTGTCGCAGCAGATGCAAATGAAACAAGGGCGCCAGAAGCAGTGAATAGCACTGCTGTATGCAGCGCTGGCGGGCTCAGGACCTGCCCGAGCAGTTTGTTTAGCGAAGAAAGGACGAGCATGTGTTCATGGACGAAACACGACAGATCCAGCCGGGATACTTTCTTGCTGATGTCAGAATTGCTTGTTATGGACCTCCGAAGAAGCAGCGCTGTTTTCGCCGCCCAATGGCTCTGTACTCGACGACGACGGCGACAACGGCGCGAAGAGGAGCATTGACGAGGACGCGCCGCTCTTCCGAGTACATGACGACGGTAAGATTGATTCACGTGTCGACGCTGCGCAAGATTACCCCGTGAGGCGATAGGCGATATACCTGCTTGAACATCTGCGTTGTGCGACGCGATCGCATTCTCGTCACCGTCTGCGAGCACAGGTCCCACATGTTAATCCGGCACACCGTCATTCAATCCATCTTCATCAACATGCTTTCCCCGTTCTGTGATGGGTCGGGAGCTTTTGACTTATAGGCATCAGCATCTGCAATCTTCGTTCCTTTCTTCATCTCCTGTCCATATCACGAAGTTTGTTCTGCGCGTCTAGCCGATCATGATACAGCACCCATGCTTTGATTTTTCATGCAGGATTGCGTCTGAAACAGCGCTTCTTGCATATCTCGTGGTTGCCAAGCTGTCGGAGACACGCACGGAGGCACGGAAAGGCACGGAGTCCTTGGGTAGGCTACTTCCCGTTCGAGAACATCTCCGAGAGCGTTCAATTTCGGTTGTCTCCCGCTCAAAGAAATATTGCGTTGTCGGAAGTAAAACAGTGCACTTTGCAGAGAACAGCATGCAATTCCGGTCGTGTGGCGATTTTCGGTGCTGTCCGTGTATGTGCGGTCCCTTCGTCCCTTGGACGGCAACGGAATATGCGGCTTCCTCAATGGAACTTCGGAGGACGTTGTCCTACACGGGAATGTTTCCTTGGCCGAGTCACCGACGCCTGTCGCGACACAAAGTAGTATGTTCTATTTCCCGATGCTCTTCCGTAATAATTTCGGACACTCGTCTGACGAGCATCTGTTCAACTATCAGACATGTTGATGAAAATGAAGTGCATTGGTCTCAGGGTTCCATTTCTCCCATCAAACATACAGACAGAGATTCACTCTGGGGCGATAAACGTTCGTTCGCGACCCGAAGAGTTACATTGCTCGTCGTCTGAGAGACGTACGAAATGCTGCAGTCTCGTCTCGTAACACTCCGCTCGGTTAGACGGCTCCGAACGTCACTATTTCCGAAAGGAGCAAGTGGATGATGGAGTCCGAAATCAGAGTATCAGTGCAGAGCGGAGAGGCTTAACCTGATCGCGGGTTGCACCTAGCAACAATGGCCTCTACAGTCATCAGGCTGTGCCTGCGTGCCGTTATTTATTTAGCTGGATGCTCGAGGATGGGAACACACTGTCCTGACGACTGTCAAGCGCATATAGCTGTCTTGTGGTCCCCTCTCCGCTCTTCCCACTGTCCAAAGCACCTCCTTCCCTTCTCAGACACTGGAGAGCCTATAGCCGACCTATTTTTGATCCTGTGATGCGCGCTGAACGCCAACGTTTACACATAGACCCTTATTACTGTCCACCGCTGACTGATGGCTATGATCCCAACTCTCCTCAGTCTTCGCCCTCGCCATCTTTCTTTTTCTCCCCACCGACCGACATGTTGTCCACCGTGTCGCGCTCCTCGGCGAGCACTGCGCCCGAATGGAGGTTGTGCTTCGTCCTGTGCCTATACGACTTTGCTCCGACAGACCCGGACCATTTGCCTTTCCGGAAGAATGAGATCCTCGAGATCGTTGAGAAGGAAGAGTCGGGCTGGTGGGCTGCGCTGCGTGACAACCGAATAGGATGGGTGCCAAGTGCGTTCGTCGCGGAACTTTCGAACGACGCTGCAGATTGGTTGTTGAATGTGAGGGAAGAGCTTCGCGTTTGCGAGTATGAGGCCGAGAAACTCTTCGCAGCGGAACCTGTTCACGGCGTCTCCCGCTTCGTGGACTCTACGATGTCTCCTGTTTCTGCTCGTGGGCATGGGTATAACGCTCTTGACGATGACAACTGGGTTCCCATACTTGAGCCCGGAAGGAAGGTATATGAATGCCCTTGTATTTTCGGCGAATGCGCAGGCTAACGCGTTACTCCTCCTCTGCGAAAGGCGCCTTTCTTGCAATCCGTGTCCCCATCGGTACATGTCGTGACGGATTTCCCTGACGATGTTGGACCCCTGTCAAGCATCAGCCCTCATTCACATGTGCAAATCGATGCATACTCAATAGAAGCCGAGCTTGGTTCTACGCCGAATAAAGGCTCGTTGGCATCGTCGGTGGTATATCCACGGTCGCCAAACACGCCGATGCCACAGTTGGTTCGACCTGATCTGACCGCATTGCAGATCAACAAACCAACACCTCCAACACCTCCAGCTCCCTCATATAACTCACCTTCTTGCGCTTCCCCTCGATCACCTCTCAACCGAAGTCGCTCAGACTCGTCACCTTCTCTGCAAACTAGACACGCACGACGACGGCCCATCATGGTTAACGACTTCAAATCATTATCGCGTCTGTCTGTGTTCTTGGACTCGCCGCACCCTGACACAGTCGCGACTGCGGCCGACGAGCTCCAGAGTGCCTTCGAGGATGTCCGACCACCGTCGACGCCTCGACGTTCGGATAAAGTTAAGCAACTCACAGGAGACGATGAAGCGCAAGCATTTCATAATTCGAAGGTCGCTCAGGCGAGCTTACCGTGGTACTTGCGACCATCATATTCTCCTGACGACATCAAGCTTGAGTACGATGGGAGCGTGCGCGCGGGTACACTTCCCGCTTTAGTTGAACGTTTGACTGCTGATCCTCTGAGTAAGTACCCGTTGACCGGGTTGTGCAATTGATTCGCCTCTCGAAGTGTATTCGTATGTTAAACGGACATTTTTTTACTTTTCGCATATATTATTCGCTATCTATGTAGAAATGGCCGAGGAGAAGTTGTACAGAGACGTTTGCCTTACGACTTTCAGCACTTTTACGACCGCGACCGATCTGTTCCTCCTTCTCGTTGACCGTTATGAAATGGAATACCCCAGTTCTTTGACTCAAGCGGAAGCTGTTGAATGGCGGGAAAAGAGATTAAGGCCCGTACAGAAGCGGTGAGTTGCCCTTCTGTTTATAAGTTAAGATGAGTGAATCCTTAAGACAACCTTTCTTCAAATTTAGAGTCCTTGCTATTCTGACCATGTGGGTGGAAGACCATGGGATGCTGCAAGACGACCCGCATGTGGTTCTAAGATTGAGGGAATTCTTAAGCATGATCATCTCACCACCAACTTTGGCCCTCTCTGCAAAGCTGCTTTTACAATCCATAGACAAGCTGGTTAGCATTTCTTACTCATCCTGTTAGTCACTCAGACGTTTGACCGATATGAATTCTCTTCAGTCAAATGCAACTGCACAAACGAACCTTCCCCCACCTGCTCCTTTGACTCCTGTCAAACGACGCAAACACAACCGCATACCGAAGAACGAACTTACGCGATTCGAACCGGCGGATATCGCGGCTCAGCTCATGCTTTTTGAGCATAGGCTGTACGTGAAGATCCGGCCTCGCGAGTGTCTACTTTGGGCGAAGAATCAAATGGGCGATGGTGTTGTGAATCTAAGTGCGTTTTGTGCGACGCACGATCGAATTGCAGCATGGGTACAGAGCAGCGTACTTGGACACGAGGGTCTTGGAAAGCGGGCTGATGCGGTGGAGTATTGGATTAAAGTCGCCGAGGTTAGTTGGCAATGGCTTTTTCCTCAACTCTACTTTTTGCTAAGGAATACGAAAATCTATTTTAGAAATGCCGTGCCATAAATAACTTCTCGTCCATGAGCGCCATCATCGCAGCACTGTCAAGTGCCGTCCTCGCCCGCCTGCACCTCACATGGGCACACGTCGGTCGAACGCACCAATTCGAGACTTTACAACGCCTGAACGAGCCAACAGGGAACTTCACCACCTACCGCGCGATGCTTCAATCAATCGACGGACCATGCGTCCCCTTCATCGGGATCTTCCTCACAGACATCGTACACATCCAAGACCACATGAGAGATAACGTGCAATTCCCACTTTCGACCGCGAAGGCACATAGGATTGTACGGGCCGTGTCGCCTTCGCCTTCCGAACCTCAACCGGATCGTTCTCATTCTCATCATCATCATCACCCTTTTGCCAATGCCGCACCTCCGCTGGCAAGCCCCGTACCGTCATTCTTGACGGGCCTTCCTTCACCATGCTCCGTAATGTCCTGTCCTGCCGCTCCGGGTGCAGGAGGAACCTACACTTCCGCCCCACTCGGTCCTCCACTCATCAACTTTGTCAAACGTCAGAAATTCTACGACGCTATTCGTGCAGTCGTTCGTTTTCAAGGGAAAGCGCCTAACGTAGTGGAGGATTCGACCGTAATGGCTTTTATCAACGAGCAACTTACGATTGGTGCTGCGAAGCTAAAGGAACCTTCAGCGTTTTGGACGAGGAGTCAGGAGTTGCAAGCGAGTGAGATTTCACATGCGGATATTCGGAAGGGTCTTGAGGCTGCTGGGTTTTGATTCTGACAAGCCGATTGTTTGTTACTTCGAGTTTCTGAAATTCTCTTTTTTCGTTTTTCGTTTTTCGTTTTTCGTTTTTCGTTTTTCTTTCTTGTTACCACTTTGGGCTTGGGTATTATCATCGAGTAAATGTAAACTTATTTTGTATCTCCTCTTCGCATTTCTCTTTCTCGAATCATCTTGCGGAATCTTGTATTTGCATGTTCATACCTTGAAATTGGAACGAAATGAAATTGGAAATGAACTTGGTCCATATCTATCAAGGGAAAAAGACCCGCCCCTAAACTGTGCATAAAGACAGCAGGGACAAAGTAAGCCATCAAACAGACTGTGATTAGATTACAGATGAAAAGGTAAAGAAGGGCTAGGAGAGAACATTGTAGAAGTAAGTGTGCAGGGAAAGGAAAAATTGACGCGACCAACAAAGTATGATGGTCACTGCAATGCAAGTAGATTGCAGCGCTCGCTCCATATAAGGGGATATGATTGAAAGGAATGAAAATGATGTGAAGGAGTTGTGTGATGTCCCACACATTGTCGTCGTTCAACAGTTGCATGCATCTTGACCACCCGTTCCAGGACCCTTGGTGAGATCAACAGCTGCCCTCGGACCACCAGCACTGCCTCGCGCCGAAGCGCCGCGTGCTTGTGGCGGAGGAGCGGTCTGTGGAAGTTTCTTTGCTGTGTAATACAAAATAGCGTCAGCAACGGACCCTCTTCTTCCTTTCGCCACCTCGTTCGAGACGAGTGACGGGATCAGATAGAAAGAAAGCAAAGGTCATACCAAGTTCCGTAAAGATATCGTTGACACCCAAACCAGTCTTGGCACTCGTCTCACCCCACATTAAACCTTCCTCTTTCGCGTAGTTCTGAGCCTCTTCCTGCAGAACTTGTCGACGCTCCTCGAGATCAACCTTGTTCCCGCAGAGAGCGATGACGATTGATGGATCGGCTTGTCGTTGGAGTTCGCGGATCCAGGTCTTTGCTTTCTCAAGCGACGCAGATTGTGTGATATCGTACACGACAACGGCACAGTTTGCGTTTCGGTAGTACATAGGAGCCTTGGAACACGTAAGGTCGCTATGGGATAAATAAGCAAACCTATACCTACCAAAGACTGATCGAATGGTAAATTACGTTGTTCGCAAGTCAAGACAAATGATAAACACATACCTTGTAACGTTCCTGTCCAGCCGTATCCCTGTTTTGCAAAACAAGATGAGACGATCGCATAATGCGGTGAGCAAAATTACTAACCAGATTTCGAACTTCACTGTCGAGCCATCTTCCAAGGAGACCGTCTGTGTCAAGAATGCCGCTAAATACAAGTGAGATGTAAGAAACACATGCTACGTGATAGATGTCACATTGAAACAAACGAACCGCCAATTGTACTCTCCCGGTAGTCATCGAACTGGTCCTTGACAAACCGGAGAACTAAACTGTAGAAGTTTCAATGAAACAGGTTGAGTAGAGTTCTTGCATCAGAGTAACACGCGTACCTTGACTTCCCCACAGCAGATTCGCCTAGTGGTCGCACCTTGTCAACGACACGTACGGAGTTTGTATAGAGTGTAATACGACTCACCCAGGAGCACAAGCTTGAATTGATATTGTTTTGACATGGTGTAGATGGAGGATTGAGGGGGAAGATGGTGGGCAAGGCAAGGACTCCAGGAAAGTGGTGCCTCGAGTGCGCAGCGTGATGACGTGACCGTGAGACTAATGGCCCCTACACGCGGAACATGTGCCGTGAAAAACTTGTCTTCTGCCAGCATCTCACCAAAGACACCCTTTCCTGCTCGCCACAACCTGTCCCGACGCCGTGAGGCTCACTGAAGTAAAAGCCCTAGCGTGTCTCTGCGTTGCCCTGAGCGAGTTGAGCGCGGAAAGTCACTCAGTCTTAGGTCTTACCATCACTCTTCTCTATACCCCCCGACACGTCATCGGCATAAGCTTAAGCCTCTTTTGCAAATTATTGCTTGAGAACTAGCGCAAAATCTCGGAAAGTAGCCATGAGTCGCCACCATCCGTATGGTGGATATGAGGGAGGTCCCCGCAGGGGCAACTCCTCTGGTCCAGGTCCAGACCGCAGTACGCGATTTTCATATGATAGGGGAAGTGGTTCGCCACGCGGAAGAGGGCGCGGTCGCGGAGGTTATAATAACGCAAATCACTACGGAGGCGGTGGAGGATACGGTCAGAGTACAAGTTACGATTCCGCAACGCCAGAATCATACAATCAGTGGGACAATAACTCTCAAGATTATTATGGTCAGAGTGGAAGTTATGGCGAAGCATATGCACCATATGGTGAGGCCTCTGGAAGCTACAATGAACAAGGATATGGAAGCTACGAAGGTGCGCTAAATTAGATTGACGGTTTTGAGAGCAGAGTTTTTCTATTGAATTCCGGAGTCGGCGGTGAAAAATCGAAAAGAGGGACACATAAATATTCGCGCTAAGCATTCATCAGCTTGGTCCGTCCTTCCTGCAGAATCTGACGGCTGATTGCGAGTCGATGTTGAATGCGAAAATAGACGCTTGAGGCTGAGATTCCAGTCAGAGATTATTTAAGGAAGCCTACACGATCGCCGAGGCACAATTACTACATGGGAATTCATTTAAACGTTCGACGAAAGACACTGCTCCGCTATTCAAAGCAGCTAGTCTGAGGAAGAGAATGCCGTCCTCTTGAAGTTCTCTTGAAGTTCACCGTTTCATGGAGACAATTCAGCTCGCTTCCATTGAATTTTATTTCTTCACTACGCCGTTGGCGTCCTTACGCGAGGAACTTTAAACTGACTGAGAGTTTCACATAGATGGTTCACCAAACCGCAGAGGCCGTGGTGGTGGTCGCGGTGGTGCACCAGGAGTGCCTCGCCGCGAACGAGATGACAAAGTCCATGATTCTTTGATTGAGGAGAGGATAATGCGTGAACGGCCCTGTAGAACGCTATTCATCCGCAACATTAAGGCGAGTCTCATGCATGCCCGCTAGGTGCCAGCGTCGAATTTAAGCTCATGCTTTTGATAAAACCAGTATGAGACAAACAGTGACGATGTTCGCGCAATATTCGAAGAACACGGGGAAATAAAAACTTTCTTTGATCTTATTGCGAATCGAGGCATGGTGTTCGTTACATATGTGAGCGATGATCGCAAACTCTACATCGAAGGGATCCACCAACTTTTACATCTCACTTCTAGTATGATTTACGCGCAGCAGAGCGCGCCCGTGAACGCCTGCAAGACACGGACATCTCCGGCCGTCCAGTATGCGTGTTTTCTATTCTTTAAGGTTGCTTGTACTGATATGCATCGTAGATTGATGTACATTATTCCCTACCTCGTCCGGATGAAGTAAATAGTAAGGACCCCAAAGATCGTAATCAGGTATGTTTCGCAGAAGGATGAACTTGGTAGCTTTTAACGATCCTTCTGGTGTGTATGTATAGGGCACGCTTCTCGTGACTCTACGCAGTTCGTCTTCTCCGATCGACGACAATGAAGTTCGCCGAAGATTCCAGCAGTTTGGCGATGTGAAAAGTGTGAGAGTCGGTGACAATATGCACAGGTAATTAAGATGTCTTTATTTATATTTTGCAAAACATAAGCTGAACATATATTTCAATTAGTGAACGTTACGTAGAGTATTTTGATACTAGGGTATGAGGATCACCCCGTGCACCGTTGATACTGTAGGCTGATAGTATTATGTGCTTCCTGCAGAGCTGCGAGGATGCATATGACCGAATGCATGATCAGCCGTTCCAAGATGGCATTCTGGAAGTCCAATATTCATCCGATATTCCCGACGTGCCACTTCCGCCCGGTCCAATTCCCCAAAGGTGAATACTTTTCTTGCTTTCTATAGTGTTTGAGTTCGTTTTACGAATGTGAACCTATCAATAGGCGGCCGGACGAGAGATCAACCCGTGGAGGTCGAGATTATGATGACCATAGTACTCGGGGACATCGAGGTGGACGTGGTGCTCCTCGTGGAAGGGGTGGCTTTGCAAGAGACGATTGGGATCGGCGGGATGACTGGGACCGTGATCGTGACCGTGATCGCGGTTACCGTGATGATTACGACGGAGGAGGAGGACGGGCCCGTGGCCGCGGACGCGGTCGGGGGCGTGGAGGAGGCTTTAACGACCGTTATGATAGCAATAGAGGCAGCGACTATGGTGGTGCGCCGCCTGCTAGCGGGTACGGGCAGCCTTCGCCCTCTGGCCCTCAACCTCCTTATGGCCAGCCTTCTACGCCCTCTGCACCGGTAAGTACACTCGAGAATTACCGTCTGTTGTTCGATACTGATGAGTGGGATTGGAAAGCCCGTCGACGAGCGATTGGAACAAGCAAGGAAAGTACAGCAATTGCTCGCTGCGTTGAAGCAACCTCAAGCTGGTGGACAAGCGCCGCCCTCTGCACCGCCGCCAGTATCAGGGCCCCCGCCTCCCCAAATGCCGCCCAGCGGTTCGGGATTCTTCCCTCCACCTCCGTCTATGCCTGGTATGCCGCCTCCATCGACGTACGCTGGTGGCCCACCTCCTGTGCCGAATCCATATGGTGCACCACCTCCCCCACCCTCGAACCTCCAGCAACCTGCGAACGGCGCTCCGCCTGGTTCAATACCGCCCTCCCTATCGGGTCTGCCACCAAATGTACTTGCAATGCTGCAGCAGATGACACCAGGGCAGCCAAACGCTGCGGCGCCACCACAGATGCCTCCTGGGATGCCTCCTCCTTCCGGAGCGTATGGTGTTCCGCCCGCACCACAGGGTGCTCAACCTGGCGCAGGAGGTGCGACTGCGCAGGACTACCAGCAGTTGATGTCGTTCTTGGTACGTTCTATTTTTTTTCATCTTGATATGGTCCAGTCGACTAAGCTGAGATAAACGTTTACAGCAAGCTCAGGCAGCGAAGCGATAAGCCAGAGGAAGATTGAGTTGTAAATATTGATTTTTCGAGATTCTAATGTCTATATTCATTTGCCCCTGTAAATACTGACGATACAGTAGTATGGCTAATATGTTCATATTTGATGTTTCGTTTTGCCTTTATATACCTCGGTTTTATGATTTTTGTTCCCTGACGTGGCTGTGCGCTCGGAGGATCATTGGAACAAGAAGGGTTTAGTGTAAGGCAACATAACAACCGGAATTATCACTCGAATATGAGCTGTCTGGAGTAATTTCGAGCAATCACATCAGCTCGGAGTGTCCTTTGACAGTCATCATCACTCACCACCACTACTGCACAATGCTCTTGTAAAAATTAGTAATGAACGTGAGAGAAGACCGCAGCTATCGGCGTACTTAGAACGCCTTCCTGACATATGATGGAGTTCCGCTATTGATTATATGCACACGACGGCGGATGTTTTGCGGACGACTTCCCACCCCAATTGAGATATGGAAGGAGGGGACACAGCAGCTGGCTAAGGGGTTAGGTAGATAATAGAAGGAAGTCCGAACATACCGCGTATGTCATTGTTCGTTTCGTTGCCCCGGAGGAAGTTAACTGCCTAGCCGTCTAGCGGTAAAGCGGGCCTGTGGGTGCCAGCATTCCGCAGCCTCCCTCCCCTCAGCTCCACCTGACACTTAGTACTGCTGCTGTCTCATCTCACTGCCTCCCGTCGTCTTGTCACCGTCATTGTATTTTTCTCCTGGTATTGACACGTCGGTGGCGACGCCATTACGGGATTTTGATATTGACGGCGGCGTAGGTATCGGGCATTGATTGTTGCAGCATCAACCCTCGTTGCAATTTGTACTGCAAGGCATACACACGGGCATTTGGCCGTATCTCATCTCCCTCTTGCTTGCCCTGAGTGGAGCCCTCGATGTCTGTGTTTGCTGGCAGACGCAGATTTATCCTTCTTGGTCTATTCCTCCTTGCTTTTATCTACCCGACCGTTATCTACTGGTGAGTCAGCTTAATCAATAAGCCTGCATAGGATCGAGCTGCTCACAATGAATCCCCGGTGCTAGGTATGAAATCCAAAGCACGATAACGATTGCCACGCGTCCGCTGCTCTCCTCTCCTCCAGCCGGTCCACACCACATCATCCCGCATTACTATGTGAACAACCTACAACTTGGAGACTCGAATATATGCGAACTTCACGGATGGACTGCACATACTATTCGAGAGTCCGTCGAGCGCGAAGTGTGGGACGCTATCATCCTTGATGCGCCTACAGCAGTGGAAATCGACTTGCTTGAGATTAGGATGAACGAGCTTGACAAGGTTGTAGACAAGTTCTTCATCGTCGAAAGTAACCGTACGTGTTTCGTGTCCAGCCCTTTTTATATTCATCCGTCCCTTCCTTCATCGTTCCTCCGTGCTACGTAGACCTGGACCTAGAATCCGGTACCGGCACTAATAAATTGCAACTGCAACCTTCCAATACCAATTCTATCCTAGGTTGCTCATTCTTCCGTGCGTTCCTTTACAGGCACGATCAACGGAACACCAAAAGGTCTCTACTTCAACCAAAAGCGGTGGGAAAGTGCACTCCTCCCATTCCAACACAAGATCGTCTACCGCGCAGTCCACGCACCTCGAATCGACTCCATTCGCTCTCCATCCCCCGAAACATGGTCCGCGCGTCTCCGATCCGAGATGAACGCACTCCTTCGTACACGTTCAAGTAACACCCGTCGGCCGCCGATCGTACTCTTCTCAGCTCCGGACGAGATACCCGCGGCACATACTCTTCAACTCCTTCGTGACTGTGCGTTCCCCAGTCCATTGCACCTCCAATTAAGGAGGTTTATGTACTCGTTTGAGTGGCCTGTTGGATGGGATAGTTGGCGTGCGCAGGTACATGTTTGGGATACTGGGACGAAATTGGAGGAGTTGGGGAGAGGCGAGGCGAGGCTTGCGAGGAGGTATACGGAGTATTCGCGAGAGATGGTGAGTTCGGTCGCGCTCGCGGATGCTGGGTGGCATTGTAGCTATTGCTACAAAAACCTGGACGATATTATCGCGAAGATGCAAGGTGTGTATATGCGCTGGATTCCTTCGGGTAATAGGGTTTGATATCTGACCGGAACATGTTTGGTTGATGTAGATGAGTATGGGGCTGAAGCTGCTTCGGTGACGCCGGAGAACTTACAAGAGGCCATCTGCGAAGGAAGGGATATGTTTAACCCCTTACCAGAGGTACGACCATCTTTCTCACAGAGTTTTTTCTTCTACTAACATGCTTCTTCACAGGCTTATACTGTGTGTTCATTCCCTATATGCGCCAGCCTAATACTATTTACTAACAATTGATACTATCTGCAGTACAAAGACATGCTCCAGATGCTCAGCTCCGATCCGTACGTCTTCTCTCCTTATTTCCTACTCTAACAAAGCATATACTCACCCTATGGATATGTATAGATCACCCTCATCCATCTTCCTCCCACGATACGCAATCGCAGGTGGAAAACGCTTCAAACACCTTCTCCCAAAGGGCTGCAACCGTCAACCTCCTCCTGAACGTCCGAAAATCCCAGGATTAATCACAAACGAGAAGGAAAATGAGAAAGAAGAAGATGGTCAACCATGACCAATAGGTGTCACTTAGAGTTAGAGAGGCTTCCTATGACTTACGACCTTTTTCTTTCCTCTTTGCTTTCACTGTTATTTTTCTTGCTTATTAGTCTGCGGCACATGCATATCTTGTACAATACATACTTATCCACTCGTCGGGCCTTCCTTTCCCCTTGCTTCATTTTGTACACTCCTTTTGCATCGTTTCAGTTACTCTGAACATGTTTTGTGGATACCTCTACCGTCAACCCATCTGGTTCCCTTCTTTCTTGCTGTCACAGCTGCTATATCCTTTCTTCTCTGTATATTCTGAGAGCTTCTGAAGATGCTTTGCCTTACTTGCATTCATGTACATAAATATTTTGCTTTCTTTTTCCTCTCCTCCTTCCTATTCACTCCTACGCACTACGTAGCATTCAGGCAAATTTGATGGGATACCCTTCCCCATATGCAATCTTCACTAGTATGTAAATGTGTATAATATTAGATGGGTAGGTGCTCCATTCCGGTAGAACCCCAAACGTGGATGATGCAAAATCAAGTATAGTAATGACGGGAGAGTAATGGATGAGAGCTGTTTTTTTAATGAACAGGATCGAATAAATAACTGGGTTAGGATGTTGCAGATAATAGGTGGATGTGAGACAACAAGAATGAGATACACAGACACACAAGACAGCATTTTCAGAGTGAAAAACAAGAAAAAGAAAGAGGCAGGAAAAACCAAGTCGGGAGGGGAAAGTCTTTTTGAGCAAAATATGCGACGACTTATCACACCGCTTCGTCCATCGCGAAAGACTCCACAGAGACGCTATGTCTCATTTTCGACGAAGGGAACGGCTGTTTCTCCGAAAGCATAACAGACGACGGTGGTCTCTCTGCAGGGTTCACAATATCCGCCGACCCAGCGCGAGACGAATCAGCCGTCGAGCCTCCAACACTAAGTGAACTACCCAGCTTCGAGCGTCCAGGGGGCTTAGCAGCGATCGGTACAGCAGAAGGAGGCGCCCCCACGCTGGGTAACTTGGAAGCTGAGAGCGCAGGAGAGGCTAACGTACTTGCGTTCGCACTACCTCGTCCTCTTCCCGTCGGCGTATGACTGTGACTATGTCCATGGCCATGTCCGCCAACGACGAAAGGAACGTTTTCAATCCCGATGGCGTCTCTACCCGTCACAGTAGCATACGTACTTTCCTTTTCACCGACCCAGGTACGCGCGAACCACTGCCCGCCTGCGATTCCGCGTATCGCGCGTTGCGCGAGTCGCCAGTGCCGTACAGGTGCACGAGCGGCGTTGCCACGCTCGAGTGAGAAAAGGGGTGCGAAGCCCGCGGGGATCTTGGGTGGGGGTTGGACAAGGAAGGGTTTTGTTGGGAGGCGGTAGACGGGTATGGGGACGGAGGGGTCGAGAGCGTGTTTTTCTTGTTGCTTTTCTTGTTGGGTGGCTTGAGTTTGGCCGGGTTGTTGGTGCTGTTGTTGAGCTTCTGAAGCCGGGGGAGGGAGGGCGAGTGGAGTTAGGTCATGCTCTGGTGTCAAGAACTCTCCTCGCATGACTGGAGAGGAGCTAGCTGTTCCGATGAGTGCTGTAGAGAAAAGTTTGAGGACGTGTTCACTTTTCCATGTCGAACATAAAACGTACATTCGCTGGCAACGCTGGCAGCATCGTCCTGAAGCTGCGCAACTTTAGATCCTCTGAACAAAATCACGGAAAATCAGTATACGTGGGCAATGTTAGGAGTGCACAGAGTGACATACTTTGGTTTTCGACCTGGTTTCTTCTTCTCGCTATCTATCTTTTTAGCGGCACGTTTTCGCGGGGCCTTGATTGACGAGGGCGTCCCGAAGCCCGCACTCCCAGTATCAAGTATACCGGGTGTCCCATGCTCCGCCTGAGCGATACTCGGCTGAATCTCGAATATCGTCTGCGGAGGTTCTGCAGCACTAACGGCAGCACCTCTCCCCCTTCCTCTTCCCCTTCCTCGTCCTCTACCAGTGCCCCGGCTTCTGGTAGGCGGGGTCGGCACCGCCGGCTGACGACTCGGTGTCCCGACGACAGAAGGCGGCGGCGGCGCTGCATCGTCATCATCTGCAAGTTGATCCCACTCCTCTTCAGTGTCCGGAGAGTCGTGACTACCTTCTTCCTGACTGTCCTCCCCTCTTGCAGTACCTGCCGTCGACGCTGCTGCCGTTTCAGATGGTGCAGAAGCAGCAGACGATGGCTCAGTGACTTTCAACTTGACCCTGAACTTGGATACGCGTCCAGAGGGGGGTGGAGGTGCGGGAGGAGGACTTGCTTCGTCGCGCAGAGTAGATATCAGCGGGGCGTCCATGTCGACGTCCTGATCCATATTTTGCGTCGTTGCTATTTTATGAGTGTTTGAATACTCGTTAGAAGGGTGTGGGCCGTCTGGTTCGTATGAAATCCAGGCGGAAGCGCGGAAAGCGTTGTTGGATGTGGACTCAGACATGGATTGTTGGGCCTTAGCGAATTAAGCCCATCCATCACGACCCTTTCCGCGTCGCTTCATTACATTCCTATTACATACCTACACAATTATTATAAAATATTCTTATTTCCTTTTCTTATATTCGCTTTTTTCCCAATAAAACACGCTTTACGGGAAGAGTGTAGTTACTTCTCACTCCTATTAATTTAAGCCATCATCTCCATCGCCGCTGCATAAGAGCAGCTGGTTTAGTTTCAAAAGTTACATGTATTACAATAATGAATGTACACATGAAATATGGATTGATTTGTCCCAAAATAAAAATCACTTGGAATCCCTAGTTCAAATTGACATTATATTCACCTCAGTTGCAAGCTAGTAAGGCTGAGATTCCGTCGCTGAAGCGTCCACAGAAGTCAACATTCCTGTCCCTTCAAGTGGCCCGATTGCAGACATAGACATAAGGGCCTCGCTCTCAATCCCAGCTTCACTATCCTCCAATCCTCTCGGATTTCCTTCGAATTGCATACTTTGCAAATCAACAGTAACATGAGACGAATCGGTTTTGTTTGCTTTGTTCAGAGTGAGGAGCAGACGTCCTGTCAGGATTGAGTGTGTGACTCGCTCCATGCTGGAATGCAATGAATTAGACATTGTTCATAGATGTTTAATTCACCAGAGAACTAGTTAATGGTAAGAGACCCCGACGTACCTTGCAAGCATGCCCAACTTGGACTTGTCATGCTGCAGAACCAAATGCCAGTCAGCAAGAGATACATGAAAGTCATACAAAAAGTCTCAGCGCGACTTACTGCAGAAAGGGTGGATATTATAATCACATTCGTCACCGATAGGGCTTGAGTACACCAAGGTGAGAGTAATTAAAGGTCTGAGTATAACACCAAAATCGCGTAAAATGCTTACTGAAAATGTACACGTAGAAAACTGCGCCTAGATTATATGCGTTAGCATGTCAAACGGAGAAGACATGTATAACGTACCATCCCTGAATAATGCTAGGTAGAGAGACGATTTTCCAAGTTCCTTGTCTAATAAAGGGTCATTGTAAGCTCAACAACAGCATACGCCTGTCTGGTATCGCTATTTTACGCACACATTTGGATGCCCTTAATCACTAGAAGTAAGAGAAGAACTAGAATGTAAATGTAAAGCGTCAACAGGTTGCCGTTACTAGTAAAGTAGTTCATGAGCGAATACTTACTAGATTCATAGATCATCAAGATAATCCAGTCGCCGATGAGCAGAGTGTTTCCTGAAGTAATTAGGCAACCACGAAGCCCTCCTGGTAGAGGTGTGACTAGATAAAGGAGGCAGGAAAGGGGGGGTGGGGCAGCCAGTTCAGGCATAAGGACTCATTTTAGTTCGAGGATGCCAAGGTATAACTCACATTCAATCGATTGTAAGAAGAGTGCCATGGTCGCCAAGTCAGGAACCAAATTTGCTACGCCCCATGCTATAAGTAATACGAGCACGACCCGTTTCTTCTCCCATATCGCCCATGTCCGGAGAACAAGAATCACTGTGGATTTCGATTAAGATAAGACAGGAAGTACACCTTATGCACTTACGTTCCGCAATTATGATTCCTATATTGATTAGCCCTGTATAACAACGAGTTAGTTCTACACCATATTATATAGCGACAGAAACTTACATGCCGCACTCTTGTATGCAAGTGAACATTCTTCAGGAGTCAAACCAGTCCTGAAGTGATCTGTCGTAAGATGTCCGTGAGCACGCTGCCAGCCATAAGAGAGATGCAGTCGCGTACGTGAGGCAGTTATTGACAAATCTACAAAGGGCAGGTATCGTGTCAGGACGAAGAGAACTTTGCCGGCAGACCAATTAGATGGCCATATCAGTGTACGTTCGTCTTCGAAAGTCAACAGGTAGTCATAACCCTAATGCAATGTCAACACGCGTCTTTAAAGGTACGAGATTATACGAACCAGTATCGCGAAACTTGCGGCTATGGAGGAGATGAATAATCGATGCAATAAGCGTGTATTTCCAACGGTCTCTTACTATCTATGTATTACCAAAACGCACTCCGTCAGGAAGTGCATATTAAGACCGCGGGGAGATGAGGTGAAAGAACATACACTTGATGTGCGAAGGCCTTGCAAGGCGTGTATCAGCTCGAGAGCTTCCTTGGCAAAAGCAGCCATAGATGCTTCAGAAGAGGTGTAAGGAAGTACTGGGGTAGAACCCAGGAGGCTTTTTATATTGACAATATATTAAACAGGATCGTGTCCAATGTGCGCCCAACTTGTCGCACATCGCAACGAGTGAACGCATCAGCTTCGTGCAAACTTACGCAGTAGTTGACGCTTGCCAAGAAGCGTTGAAAGCGAGCAGAACCAAGCTTCGCGCACGTTGTATCGCCAGCTTCCATGTAGCCGGATCGGACAGAAGGTCCTCCGCTACAGTTAGATTTTGCTTGCACAGGATCACATGGATCAGAGGCATGACGCAGTGCAACCAAATAAGGTGCGTTCTGCTCATGGATATAATTATAACCACACCGCCTTGAATCGCTTTGAGGGGGATGCTTGGCTCCCGCCTTTATTCTGATGCCGAGATGTTTGGAAGTTCCTGTTGTAAGATTGTCTGAAGATCAGTAAGATCGGAGAAGAATATGCTGTCCGCCACGGTTTGGAAATCTCCATGGGTGAGGCGCTCGTTTACAAATGCCCCGCACTTCCCGACGTTTGACTAGTTCAAGAACTCTCACAGCCAGGGTACGAGTATTGCTGCAATATTGGAGCCTTCCAGTGAGCCGGAACTAGAACTGGAGTGGCGAGAACGAGTACCTTTTACTGACAGCCTCTCAACAGAGCCATCGGGCGTAAGGCGCTGCAATAGAGAACGCTTGCATCATTAAAAGTTGAAATCTCCTTTGCACAAAGAAGAGACACTGTACTCAGTGTCATGGCTGTATAAATACCTGTAACATAACTGGAACTGTTGACAAGGTGGGTAAGTCCAGGGGATTACCGCTCACCATGAACAGCGAATGGATCAGGGACTATTTCTGCACTGAAATGACCTAAGTAGTCTGGTGACCGAGTTGCTTGAGCTTGGAGATCATTTGTGCCAGCGAAGTGTGGTAAAAGTCAATGCGGGACCAAATACTCAAACAGTAACAGTACAGCTATGTTCCCACGCACCTGATGGACTAAAATTTAGTAGAAGCCACTATTCTGTATTTCATATTCTAGAGACTCCCGTCTCGTTCTTTCATGCACAGGAATGAATGAATGAGCTAACTCTAAACTACAAGCTTCAATAAATCAGCTTTACGTGACAAGTAGAAAGCGAAGAGTTGTCTGGGTAGGATCGCCAATGTAAAAGTACAAGCGTGCGTGTCTGGGCATAAAATCAATGTACACAATGTGTTCAAAAAATATGTAAAGTTGGGGTCGATTGAGTCGTGAGGAATAGCAATACAAATGGATCAAACATTGGCAGGAGCCTTCGTGGACATTGACAATGTTGAAGCCGAAGGTTCCGGACCAGACCACTGCGCATTAGAATTTGTTGTTAAGAAAGTGCTGGTCCCTGCTTCCGAGTCCACAGCCCTCTTCTTCATCTTCTGAGATTCAAATCCCTGCTTCACTTGACATTATACTCGGCCCAGTTGCAAGATAGCTCGACTGAGATCCCGTCGCCGAAGCGTCCCCAGAAGTCAACATCCCCGTCCCTTCAAGTGGCCCGAGAGCAGACATTGACATAAGAGCATCACTCCCGATCCCAGCTTCACTATCCTCCAATCCCCTCGGATTTCCTTCGAATTGTATACTTTGTAGATCGACAGTAACATGAGACGGATCGGTGAGCGTTTTGTTTGCTTTGTTGAGAGTTAGGAGTAAACGTCCTGTCAGGATGGAGTGCGTAACTCGCTCGATGCTGAGAAATTTAAAAAAATAATTAAATATACATGACGTTAAGTTTGTTTGAGAAGGGGTTCACTAACGTACCTTGCAAGCATACCCAGTTTCGATTTGTCGTGCTATAGAACCGATTATCGGTCAGCAAGGCATTCATGAAAGCGGTACGACTTGAAAGGTCTTAGCAGAACTTACTGCCGAAAGAGTAGATATCACAATCACATTCGCAACCGATAGAGCTTGAGTAACCCAAGTTAGAATAATTAATGCTCTGGACGCAGCGCTGAGCTCGTGCAAGCGCTTACCGAAAATGTACACATAGAAAACTGCACCATCCCTGAAGAGTGCTAGGTAGAGGGATGATTTTCCAAGTTCCTTATCTAATAAAATGATATAGTGTGAACTCAGCAACAGCAAATACTTGTCCAATATCAGTATTTTACGCACACATTTGGATGCCCTTAATCACTAGAAGTAAAAGAAGAACTAGGATGCAGAGCATCAAAAGGTTGTCATCCTACAGCTCGCAGGCGAGTACTCACTAGATTCGTAGATCATCAGGATGATCCAGTCGCCGATGAGTAAAGTATTTCCCGAGGTAATTAGGCATCCACGAAGTCCTCCAGGTAAAGGCGTAACTGGACAAAGGGGCTTACTATATTTGCACCGAGAATGATAAGGCAGTGCTCACATTCAATCGATTTCAAGAAGAGTGCCATTATCGCCAAGTCAGGAACCAAATTTGCTACACCCCAGGCTATGAGCAAGATGAGCACAACACGCTTCTTCTGATTAAATATTGCATATGTGCGGATGATCAGGATGACTGAAGAAAGGTAATCTTCAGACTGAGCCAAGGAATAAATGAAATATGAATGAAGCATTCGCACGTTCAGCAGTGATAATACCCAAGTTGATAAGCCCTTGACACCGGAATACTTATTAGACTATCTCTAAAGAGTATACTCTATGATTGCTTACATGCCGAAGTCTTTAGCGAAAATGAACATGTTTCCGGTGACAGGTTTGCCCTATATTGACCTGTAGGCTAATTCATCCCACGTCTCAAAATTGGTATTTGAGCTGTGGTGTGCTCACCTATTCCAGTAATTGTCAAGTCGAGGACAGGAAGATATCGGACCATAAAGAACAAGACTTTCAGGATTGACCAGTTCTTTGGCCACATGAATGTACGCTCATCCTCGAAAGTGAGCAGATAATCGTAGACCTGAATGTCGAGGATTAATCTTCTTCCAGCCTGCAATCCAAACGGTGACTCACGAAGATAGCTATACTTGCAGCTTCAAATCAGGGAGATGAGCAACGTATTGCGTTGTTCGTCCACGGCAATACTTACTATCGATATACTGTTCGAATAAGTAAGTCGGGCAAGTTTTAACTACAACTGGGAGGACGTACAGTGAGAAGACGAAGGTCTTCCAGAGCTAATATGAACTCGTCCAAGAGTTGCTGAGCAGGATTGGCCATGGAATTATAACCTAGGTGGGATGGGCAACGGGCACTATCCAGTACCTATCCATCCTTTTCATCTTATACGTATTCTGACTCCATCATCGCCCTAGATATCGAAGTACTGTCCTTCGCTCAAACTGAATGGCTTTGACGCCAGAGGTGGAGGAAGGGAAGCGAACAGCCGACGTTCCACGCTAAGAACTTGATATTTCGTGCCTTACTGGATTCTAAAGAAAGCGAAGTAAGTTAGTCTAGAACTGTAAATGAAAAGGAGTGCTTAAGCGCTTATTAGAAGTAGAAGTATCCTCACAGCATCGGCACATGCCACTTCCGTGGCGGCCTCACACGACATCATGGCCACTGTTCGGCTTCTGCAGGGAATACGGTAATTAATCAAAGTTTCCAGCTTCAGAATCAGAGTTAGCCTGCCGAGATGCTGATGGACGGTCTGATACGATGATGCAGGAAGTCCGGAAGCCAGTTCAAAAGAAGCTTGAAAAGTATAGGCTCGGTGCGGATAGACGCCTCTATCTGTCTGTTTGGCTTTACAGTACTTCGGAAATACATGCGCACAGTCTCCTGTGTCAGATGTGAGTGTAAATTTAACGTGGCGAAAACCTGTTTCCACTAGTGTAAGCACAGCACTGTCCCGAGCAAGTGTGACTTTAATGATAGGTCTTGTCAGGCTGCAACGCAGATGTGGCAGCGAAAGACAGAAGAGACAGAAGGGAACAGAGATGTCACAGTGAGCAGACGTAGGCCTCCTAATGTCTCGAACTTAAACAACAGAGATGGACCTAGTACAGATTTCAAAATTCAAAATGCTATTTTTTTTTCGCCTGTAACGTGTCACATGACTGTTGCCTAGAAGGGAGATATTTGATTACTTAAGCCATGATGAAGTCAGTTCCACTGTCCAAAGTTCAAACATCAAATATAACAACTTTTCAAATAATAAAATTATGCTCCAAAGGACTGCACAAGTCAGACCAGAGGTTAAAAAGCCCATAACGTAACTAAAAGTGTCAGATGACCCAGCTTTATCCTTACGGGGAAGGAGGACCGTTCGGAAAGCGGCGGTCCGTGAGACTTTCAAGGTTGTTTCTCAGCTACGAACACATGACAATGTCCCGAAGTCAAGCTCTTGCCTTCTCCTCGACAATTCATCCAGGCTGGCGCTCGAAGAAGCTTATGACATATGTAGCGATCACCTGTCTCACCCACCTTGCTCGATAAAATGACTATATCTGAAGTTGCTATCTCTTAAGCGTTTGCTCCCTTTTATTTGTCGCACTTCCAAGAGAATGCAGTCCTTGCATTCACTCCTTCTTGTTCTTCTCCTAACCTTCCTTGCGGCGGCTCGCGCTAGTATCGATAGGCATGTAGTTGTCTCGCGTTACAACCCGACGCGCAATGCGTCGAGTTTGACTACACCGATGCAAGTCGGTAACGGGAACTTCGCTTTTGGCGCGGACATCACAGGTCTACAGACTTTCCAGCCTTTTGCAATCATGTCATCATGGGGATGGAAGAATGACTCGCTTCCGGTTGGACGTACACTTGAAGACATTTTAGATTACAAGGGTACGTCACTCGATAACCATGGGCGGAATGTGACGTATATGTACGGTGGTGTTGTTGACATACAACAATGGCTCATCTCGAATCCTAATCGCGTTAACCTCGGACGCGTTGGACTTCTCTTCTTAACTGAGTCTGGCGAAATGATGAACGTGACTGAGCCCGACCTCCAGGATAAATCGCAGTTGCTCGAGCTTTGGACGGGCCAAATGACAAGCGAATTTACGATTAATGGAACTCGGGTCCAAGTAGAGACTGTCTGCGCACAAGATACCGATGTTGTTGGCATACAAATTGATTCGACTCTCGTTTCAGACGGAAGACTCGGTCTATTCCTCGATTTCCCTTGGAACGATGGCTCTTCCAAATTCTCTGCTCCTTTCGTCGGGACATTCAACATGACTTCTAACCACACGACGAGCCTTATCCAGGACTCTTCTGTAACAAAAGGTGCTCAGGCAGAGATTGTGCACACGTTGGTCAACAACTCGTTCGTGACAGCGATTGGAGGCTCCAAGCTCAACATCTCTCGCAACTCGCCTGATTCTCATAGATACAGTGTGGTTCCTTCGAGCAACTCTTCAACATTCTCCGTTACTATCTCGTATGCTCTTCAGTCATCAACCTCCCTGCCTGATTTTAATTCCACGACGAAATCGTCTGTGGATGCATGGAAATCATTCTGGTCAAATGGTGGATTCGTAGATGTGTATACAGGTTCCACTGACCCGAGGGCGAATGAACTACAACGCAGAATTATTCTATCAAATTATCTTCTGCGGGTCAACGAAGCAGGAAATAACCCGCCGCAAGAGGTGCGTTAATCATTCAGCTCGGAGAGTCCAATGATTTACACATTTCTTTAGTCTGGGCTAGTAAACAACGGATGGGTCAGTGAATTTTCAGCCACGCCTTAAACCGTACCAGACTCATAAAACCGTGGCACATATTCAGTATGGTAAGTTCCACATGGAGCAGTTTTATTGGCACAGTGTACATTGGGCACTCTGGTCGAAATGGGACCTTCTTCACCGCGCATCGCCCGTTTACTCACGTTTTCTTCCAACGTCCATTCAACGAGCCCAAGTGCAACAAGGATGGCCAGCTGGGGCACGGTGGGGAAAGATGTCAGATCCGTCGGGACGCAGTGCCCCAGGTGAAATTAATGAACTTCTAATCTGGCAGCAACCGCATCCGCTCGTCTTCGCCGAATACGAGTACCGCGCTTTCCCGACTACAGAAACGCTCTACAAGTGGAGTGATATTGTTCATGAGACCGCAGATTGGATGAGCGTATTCGCATTCCATAATGAGAGTACGGACGTTTATGACCTTGGTCCACCAATGTACGTTGTGAGTGAAGATACAGAGCCGCTTGTGACAAGGAACCCCGCATTTGAGCTATCGTATTGGAAGTTCGGACTTCAGCTTGCTGAGAGATGGATGGAGCGTTTGGGTGAGGATGTCCCTACAAGCTGGACGATTGTACGAGAGAACCTTGCAAGTCTGCCGAGCGACAACGGAACATATTCCGTATACGAAGGTATACCAAGCGATTTCTGGGATGGACCAACGTACACGAATGACCATCCTGCATTGGTTGGCTTGTATGGCTGGTTACCTGAGACACCGGGCTTGAACTTGACTATTGCAAAAGCAACGATGGAAAAAGTGTGGACGCATTGGAATATATCAAATTGTTGGGGGTGGGTACCTCCTTAGTTTGACTAGAAGAGGTGGCTAAGCATGACTTGGACTCAGATGGGACTTCGGAATGCTCGCAATGTCTGCTGCACGCAATGGTGAACCGTCTCAAGCTGTTTCTTGGCTCCTCAACGATATCTTCTCGTTCGATGATGTTGGAATGCCCAGCGGTGGTGCCCGTGTGCCAACACCTTATTTCCCTGGTTCTGGCAGCTTGCTACTTGCTGTTGCAATGATGGCAGAAGGTTGGGATGGAAGCAATGGTACCGCACCAGGCTTTCCTACATCCGGTTGGAATGTCAGGACTGAGGGGATGCACAAAGCGCTCTAAAATGGAACTTTATGATCGTGTCTGTCTCTTGATTTTCTTACATCGCTTTGGCCTGACTTGTTCGCTTACCCGAGAATCACAAAGGTCAGCCACATGTGTTCGACAATTCATCTTAGAATTCAGGAATATCAGTTAAGGTGTTACTATTACACTCCTTCCAAAAAAAACATGAAAATAGTGCAACGCAGGGGAAGGTGCAAGTGCTAGATGTCTTGCCAATTAGAAATTGGGGCCAGAATGGGCGGCCGGCATTGCCGAAGCAAGCGAAGAGGAGGCCTGTACCACCCTGCGACGCATCATCTTATTGAAGTTCATAGCCGCCTTCGCCGTGTCATCACCGCCTTGGTCGTCCTTTTCCTTAGATGTCACATGTACGATCTGACTAGAAAGTGCTTTGATTTGTTCCATCAGGATGGTGTCAGCCGGAGTTGAAGCCATCGGCTCGTGATTTCCTTCCGCAAGCAACCGCGTCTTGTCATGAGCGATGCGAAGCAGGAAGGATACAAACCTGTAAGGTTGTCGAATAAGTGAGCATATATTGTCACGCCTCAAAACTCTATAATCACTTACAGTTCTTTCAAGAAAGCGAAAGACCATCCCTCTGTCTCCTTCGCAACTTCTTCGGCAAGTTGTGCTGTGTTCTTCTCGAACTGAACGATAGGACCTCCTCCCGAAGAGCCTTCCTCATCTGTCGTGAGAGCCGTGATCTTGCGAATCCATTTAGACGCATACGTGACGCGAAGTTTCTCGGTAGGAAGGTCGAAATTATACTTCACATCGAAGCGTGATGGACGGTTCAGAATTGCATCATCGATGCGTTCCGGGTGGTTGGTAGTAGCGATGGTAAGAATACCCTCGTTTTGACCCTATGGAGAGAATGGTTAGATACTGGAAGATTCGATAACTGATTGCAGTACCAATCCATCAAGCTCATTCAAGAAGAATGCGCGGACGTCAGAAGTTACTAGGGAATCAAGGTCTTCGATCACGAGAATGCAGGGTGCATTCGCCCTTGCGTGATCAAATATTCTCCTCACTCCAAGTTCAGGTCCCTGTCGAGAAGGCGTTAGGCTAACCGTATCGGCTAAAATAAAAAAAGAACGAAACTTACATCTTGTGTAGTGAATGACTTGACGTAGAGAGCGGCCTGTCCAGATTCCTTCAAAAGAACTTTGATTGATTCTGTCTTCCCGTTCCCAGGAGGACCAAGCAAGAGAAGGCCCCTCTTCCACACAACGCCTAGATTCTTGTATATCTTCCTGTTTGCAAAGAAGGTTTGCGTGTCGCGGCGCAGTCCTTCGAGGAATTCTGTCTCTAGGACGATCTCGTCCCACGTCGCGTCGCGAATTGCACCCCAAAGAGGCTTGTCTTTAGACCAGCCCCCATCTTGAAAGACCCACATCTCATCTTTGAGGGCACCGGCCCAGCGATAGACCTCAGAGATAAGATTATGCCCAGCCGACTTCATTGCTTTATCGCCGTAGTATGTTCCGTCAAGTCTGGGGTTTCCAGGGTCGTCAAAGACGAAGTCGAAGAGGCAGATCTGGTCGCAAATTCCCTGATGCCAGGTGACCTTGTAGACCAGAAATTCTGTGCCTTCGTATTTGAATTTCAACGAGCCTGTAGCAATGTGTGGTACGAGTTCGCCCTTATCGGTTCTCGCACCAGCGTGCAGGTTGGCAAGGAGGCCCAATTGCAGACCAGCAGCGGATCCAGCACCAGCCTTCGAATTCCATCTCACGAGGTCGTGCAGAGGATCCTGAATGATCTCCACGAGAACTCCACGAGAGTCAAGGAAGCCTGAGACTGGAAAGGAGGGGCACGTTGCACTATCGAGTAGAGCAACGTGGCGCTTGTCGGGGTGCAAAGCCTTGAGTGATCGAAGAATTGAGAAGTCGACGTTTGGAGACCTGGCGCTGAACCGGTCATCAAGTATGCTGGCGAAGGAAGAGTTATCAGAGAGCTGAGCAGGAGCCATGTCGTGGATGTTAATCAGACCCAGTGTCCTTGCCAGCGCTTTTATACCCTCATCGTTACTAGCGATTTAGTCATATCTGCAGAACAAGCGTCAGATCGCATCATGATATCAGCGCCGAGATGTGAAAATGTAAAGCACGGCAGAGGCTGCTTGATTTAATGAGTCACCAGCAAGTATGCACAGCAAGAAAGCATATGTTCTGGCAAAGTTCACTGAGTGTTATCGCTCATACGACATAGTCGGTAAATTGTAAAGGGTCACGTTACTAAATTGAACATAGCCGAACAATCCTGCGCCGCCGCCAGCACTCACACACCCAGAAGGAGTCTGTATTGTTCCATCTCTATATGACGGACCTACTTCTGCGTTTGCGGTTATCCATCAAGCTGCACAGCATTTTTCGCCGATCAAGTCGATTCAGCCTATTCCATTTTGGGCTCTAAGCTGTGCTTTATTCACTAGGATGACTTCACATTGACTTGGTTTCCCTTGATATATTGCCTCAACCTGCTTGCTGCGGACACGTTAACGGTCATGGACTCTACGAATTAGCACATCTAGCCTATATGGGATAGCTATATGCGAATTTTTGTGATGAAGAAATAGGAGCGGTTGTGACGACCCACGTCCTAGTAGTGAGGTGAACTGGTGATACAGATATGTTTTGCGCTCATCGAAAACACGCGGTTCCATTTTGCCAGGCCAGACTCGTGGAGGCTTAATCGAAATAGCATAGCCCCGAGAGAACACGAATAGACTTGATGAGCAAGGCTTTGTAGTTCGTGAGGCTGGTGGGCGTAGAGTTCGCAACATGACAGACAGTTCGAAGTACATTTTCTTCGCGGCGTCAAACTTATCTTGTCACGTGGTCCAGGTTCTCGCAACTAAAATGCCACTGCCGTCTACTACTCTATCTCATAAACTCATACGTTTAATCCAGAATTATCTGCGAATCCCATTCGAACGGCCGTTTAAGGCGATGTAGCGTTGATTTTACTCCTCTTTCCCATGTTTCAGCGCTGTTCTGTCGATGGAACCACGAATTAGTGTATCCTCCACTCAGGATAGTCCGAGTCTTAAATGGCAGTTTCTTCCGTAACAACTAATAAGTAGCCTAGGGAGAGGGATCCTTGAGCCTGTATAAGAACGAAGGCATTCGTTGTACTCATCGCAATGGAACCTCGATCTACATATAAATGTGCACAATGTCTGTCCAGTAGCTGAGCAGGATGATAGATAGTGTAACTCGTACTACTAACTTTATCTAAAATGCCTATAATAGGATAGAGAAGCACCGCTTGGCTGCTCTGAAGCAAAAGTTTTACTTCACCTCTTCCAATCGCCCAGAGATCATAGGTCTAGACTGGGTGCTGATCTATGTAATACTGCCATACTCATTGACAGTCATGTCTTGTTTGTACAGTAGGGAAATAATACAAAGCTAAAAATAAGCAAAAATGCAATATACTTTTACTAGCGTATTCATGCAATACCGTTGCCTTTGTGGAAAGAAAGTGCCGTGAATGTGTTCTAAGGTAGGGAAAGTATAAACTCAACCGACCTCATGTAACCTTAATTGCCTTTTTTGGCCTCACACTTAGACAACGAAATACCATCTTCCACACACCACAAATTAAAAATGTAATTCCATCAAAATATTTGTATTTAAAGTAGCTACAAATTGATGGTTTTATTTTTCAAAAATATTAGAAAATGCCTGACTTATTTCCAAAAGAAGCTTTTTTTGACTTAAACACTCTAGAATGTCCTTAGCAACATTCTGGCGAGAAAATAACTTTTTTTGAGTTTTTAGGTTTTTGATTTTTGCCACCTCGGGTAACCATAATATTACAAATAACTGCCTTATTTGGTATATACATAATTATTAGTCATCATTACAGCATCTATATCCACATGACTTCTGTACTAGAGTACGAGTGGAAACTCCCTAGTTTCCCACAGTGAGGATTACCACAGAGGTTTCCCACGAGGTAAACCTCACTACCACAAGGGTTGCCGGAAATTGGCCTGTGGAAAACTCAAATGTATTAGTCATACATAATATTATGTCAGTAGATAAATTAAGAAAAAATGCCTCAACCTGACGAAAAGCAAGGAAAATAGATAGTTTGAGAGTGCATATACTCTATGTCTGTCATTTTATTAGGTTAACATCTCCTATTTTGCTTGACATTCTTTCAGATACTCCTTCATTTGAAGGAGTACACTCTGATAAAACTGGAGAGGTACAAGTGATAGATATGGACAATATTTCCAGTACCTCTTCAGACAATTTACAAATTTTGAACAATAATAAAGCCTGGTCAATGTAATTAGCTGCCTCTTTCTTTTTATTTCTCTTAGATATATCTATTTATTATGTATGTTTCAACACTGGTAGACTATAAAACACAATAAAATTGCTCTCAGCAGTATAACCAATGTCTGAAATTAATATTGTACCTTTTGTAATGTTTAATTATAAATATCCAAGTACCTAAATTTTCAGCTCAATAGAGGTAAACGACACAAAATTCTTTAAAATTTCCTTTTTGGAACATTATAATGATATTACTAATATGCTGACTAAGTGTTGTCCACGCGAGGTTTACCACGCCTCCAGAGCCCCAGCAAAATGACCTGTGGAAAACTAGTTTCCCACAGGCTCTCGGGAGTTTCCACTCGTACTCTATTCTGTACGCTACCAACGCAACTCAGTCAATAATGCCCTGCCGAAAGAAAGTAATACAAGCTAGAACACAAAACCTGTACAGTAAAGGAGGAGCTGTATCATTTGATTTGTTCAGAAAGTAAGTATCTTTTTCAAATATTTATGTATGTAGTTTTATTGAATTTCTTTCATAGGTTTGCAAACTGGTCAGCTAGATTCATGAATGCATACCAGAAAGGCTTGACTGGCAAACAAGCTCAATGGGCAAACCGGAAATACCATAGTCATAGAGTGCTTCCTGATAATATTTTGGCTGAGTTATAAGTGTAAATACACAATGTACTTTCTACTTGACATATTTAAAAGCTTTTACAATTTTCTTGAGACTGAGACAAAAATCATATCTTCACCACGATTTTTGCCGCTAGGGTCCTTCCTAATGGAGTAAGTGGCTGTGTATTCAGGGTCGTGCACGTGATACCTTGGGTTTGTCGAGTTTATACTTTCCCTACCTTACCTTATCAGGCTTGTCCATTATTCGGACTCGAGTCTGACTAAGGTATATCCTAGTTTCTGGGGGAAAGATATAATTGTCGCTTGAAAGATATGATAGATTGTCAAGGCTTCTGGAATGGTGAAACTTAGGAGGGAGATCGCTGCCGCGACATTACCGAAAGGCACCCAACTTAGTCTACTTGACGCACCTCCAGATTCGGATACATTACCGCAACTTACTATTGTTCGATCGAGTATATTCGGCGTAGCGCTGCGTAATCAAGCACCACTCGACCAGAAGGCAACTTCGGAGATTGCAAAGATGGCCGGTGGAGATGGTTTGGCCATCCTTAGCTTGCCAAGTCTCGACCCACCAACACTGCATGCCATCTTACGCGCACTTGAGCGCTCCGTCCCAAAGAAGTCGGAAGGTGGAGCGCAGAAAGATGCAAAGAAGAACGGAAAGGAGAGAGCGAATGACGATGATGAGGGTCGTGTTCCAGGCCGTAGAGTGAAGCGCCAAAAGCCCATGCTTGACCCTGAGCTCGCACTGGTCGGTGCACTCATAGAAGGACGAGTATTTGGGGTGGAGCAAGTTAAGGACGTATCCAAACTTCCGACTTTGGAGACCCTTCGGCAACAGATTATTGGCCTAATTTCGAGTCCCGCAGTGCAGTTGGCGATGGTGCTCGGAGAAGCTAGCGGTGGGAAATTAGCACGGACTTTGGAGGGTCTAAAGAAAGGCCTTGAAGAAGGCCAACCTGCGAAAGCAGAAGAAGCAAATACCCCATAATCGTTATCCGATTCTCTTTTTTTGGTGAGTTGCTCGTTTCGATAGTACGGTCTATATTTACCGATCGAGAGACCTGCGTCTTTTGGATAGCACAATTAATACATCAATTTTACTATCCTTGCATCAAGCGCCCACCGTGTGTGGAAGATACTGGGTATTAGGATGCCGAAATATTGGATCAGCGCTATTTCACGGCAATGAACGTGCTTATTAAATGGTTTCTGCTAGTGACTCGGGCATGCACCTCGTGGTGTAGACATTCATCTTGACTGATTCTTAAAACCTCCGCGGCGTCTAAGGAGTCTGTTCTGGGTGTGCATTTCCTCGAAGTAAGTTCAGCGCACAGGTTTTGTGACCGCAGTAAGAATTGTGTTACTCAATGCTCCACAAACTCCGGCAATCTGATGATGGAGTTACGATGACTCCAACTCTTCTAATTCCTGGTCGGACCTAGTCACTTCAGTTATTGTTGCACATGCTTATCTACGGAACTTCACTGGCAGAACACACTCAGTAACAAAATGGCTACCACTACTTCCTCATTGCCCACAAACGTGTCTTTCGCGTCCATCCTCGATGAACAGTTCTCAGCTCCGACTAATAATGACGATTACAAGCTTCTATCCGCACTGAAAGCGCTTCATCCTGGGCGGAACACTTTGCACGTTGCGCTGCTTGATAATAACTTTGCCTTATCCGCGTATTTGCTTGCTGAAGGTATATCAGCGGAGATTCAGAATGATAAACCGAGGCATGAACTACTTGCATGGAACGCCAGGGCAGGTGGTGGATCCGCGGCTGGCTTGTTTGGTCGTGCCGTACCGACGGGCTCTATAAATGAGTCGACCGAAAAGGGTGAACTATACTCTACTCTCCGTATTGGTTGCATGACATTTAAATACAAGGACACGGACTTTACTGTCTACAAGGTTACCTGGGGTCACAACACTCTGTACGATTTCGTATTTGAGGCTCCCACAGACGTTGTGCGTGACGTTAATGAGAAATCAAGCACTCAAAGCGCGGGTCATGCATTTATTACTGCAGTCTATCGTTGGAACAATGCACTCAAGGATGAGATGTGGGTGTACCAAGGCGGAGTCTGGGCAAAAGATAAAGCACTTTGGGCAGCAATTCGCAATGCCTCATGGGATGACCTCGTCCTCGAGGAGGGATTTCTTGAAGGATTGCGTAGGGATACGCGCACTTTCTTTGGGAATAGGGAGATATATCAGGACCTAGGCGTAGTCTGGAAGAGGGGCCTGCTATTGCTTGGCCCACCAGGAAATGGAAAGACGGAATCGATCAAAGTTCTCTTGAAGGAATCTGGACAGACCGCGTTGTACGTGAAGTCCTTTACAACTTCGCGGGTAAGTATTCCGTTACACAGTATGTTATTCTTTCTTAATCGTTCCCACGTGCCCATAGGGACCTGAACTTGGTGTTCGTGCGATATTCGACCATGCGCGATCCCACGCACCTTGCATTCTCGTCATCGAAGACATTGACTCGCTCCTTTCAGCCAGCGTCCGCTCATTATTCCTGAATGAACTCGATGGATTGGTGCGTACACGCGTCCTTCTGCACTTTCTGACTTTCTCTGACTGACCTTCGCTTTCATAAAGGCCCAAAATGAGGGTATTCTGACAATCGCTACGACGAATCACCCCGAGCAGATTGATGATGCCATCCTGAATAGACCATCTCGTTTTGACGTGAAATACGATTTTGGATTGCCTATTTCTTCATTACGTACCACGTACGCACTTAAATGGATCCGAAAAATCGTGTCAATAGGTAGTTCTCCGGGTTCCTCAGCGAAGAAAACGACCGTCAAGTTCGAGCGAAGCGACACTGATCTCGCGGCAGAGGTCGCAGAGAAGACAGAGGGATGGTCTTTCGCTTTCCTCAAGGAGCTGTAAGTCGGAGCTTTTGCAGTTTGTGTTTTATATGTGACTTTCACCCTTGCTTACCTCACATTGCGCCAGATTCGTCTCATTTCTTTTGCGCCTTGCGCATGACAGGACTCGCGCTATCGCACAAGGAATGTCTACCGAGGACTATTCTGGGCAACCTTTTAGTGATTCAGTCCTCATGGACCAGATTAAAGTCCTCTCTAAGCAAATTCTTACCGTCAACGCGGACAGTGACAAGGCGAACATGGCAGAAAATATGGGAATAGTCCCAGCTGTCGTCGGACACGCGCCTCGAAGGCAGCTTGCAGTCAGACAGAATCTCCTTCATCCTGGCCAGAACTTCTAAGGTTGTAACTTGGTAATGTTCGGCACGCACACAATATCTAGTCGGATTCTTGTCAATGTATAAATTTCAATTACTGGTCTGTCATATATACAGTTTTGCGTCAGAATACATTTGCTTGCATAGATTCGAGTTAAAAGAAATTTCGTGGAGCCAGCCGTGAGAGGTTGCCACAACTAATCTTCCCGTCCATGATCAATTCACTAACAGCACGCGCCGTCCCAGGGGCATTGCAGATACCCTGGATTAAAATATATTTTTCCAATATTAATTGGAGCATAGAAATAAAATCAATATATGCGTACCCAGCATGTATGTCCTGCAGCAATAACTAACCCTTTCACCATGTGGTCTGCACCAACAATCGGACATCCACGCGGTCCAGAATTGACGTTAGGGAGGTAGCACGCCTGTTTCACCGTCACCTCCCCACCGCGCACCTCCGGACTGATAGCAGCCACTTGCTCGAATAATGCGTCGCATACTTTCGTGTCTACTTGAACTTCTGCGGTCGAAGCTGGTAGAGGGAGCCCATCTCCTGGAGAGCACGCATATACCTCGTTATTCGGACGAGCGTAGATCTCAGGCGTTGCACTGCGCCCATTTGGCATAGTAATGTCTGTAAAGAGGCAGTACGCAGAGACAGGGCGGGTGGGTCGGACTGTGATCGAGTGCGCTCGTGTACCGGTGATGGGTGCCTTTGGGAGGATAGTCTGTGTCCAGGGACCAGCGGAAACAAGGACGTGCGTGGCAGGGATAGTGGCTATCTCTCCGGAGGCAGAGTCAACATATGACACACCTGATACAGCCAGCGCCTGTTCCTCATTTGAGTCTTCGGATTTTGTATAAATGATATTTGTTGCTTTCCCAATGATGAGCTTGGCTCCTTTCTCTTGTGCTAACGCACACATGCTCGTCGTAAATTGATACGGGTGCACCTGCGCCGATTCCTTTCCTCCAGCCATTGGCTCATAGCTCTCCGTAAGCTCTTCCTTTACCCAGTCAAGGTCTCCAGGAAGTCTTTTCTTAACTCCCTTATAGCAGGAGTCCTGGATCGTTTCAGAAGTGTGTAATCCATCTTTCTTGTTCAGCGAGACCTTCGACGTCATATCTTGACTCCCGATATCCTCCCCTCGGCCTTCCCATTGACCAACATTAGTATATCTCCAGCCCCAACGCTCTGCGCCGCGGTGTTCCTTCGCAAGGCGCTCGTGTTCGCCGAAAGTAATGTCAACAAGTTCCCTTGGATAAGCCCATTTTGCAACTAGACCGCCTGCCTTGCCGGAAGCTCCTCCGGCAACTGAAGAGGCTTCAAGTATAGTCACTGACGTCGTCTCTGGGGAATAAGATGGATGATGCGTTAAGTAGTATGCGGAAGTGCAGCCGATAATACCACCGCCGATAATGACTATATTTCGTTCGGTAGACATTGTTGTGTGAATGCGTCGATGAGTAAGAGACAAGCTCAAAGTCGCGAGACACCAGGTGCGTGAATAAAACTTATCTATAAGGATGTAGGTATATTTCATCAGAAGTAGCCAATGTGCAATGGAGACTACATAGTACATACGGTTCGCTCTCGAAAGAGTTGGTACTCCGTGAGTCAGATAATACCTGCTACTGAACATGCAAGAAATTATCACTGTTTTTGAGACTGTGTCTGATGTCATTACCTAGGTGTCAACAGCTTTGAATTTCTCTGTCCTCCAACAATCCGTATGATTCTATGTGAATGTTACCAGATGTTACGATTCCAAGCCAGAGTACAGCATTTGGGAATAAAGCATGTGACGTAGTGATCGGGTCGGAGGATCGGCGGTGGACAGACAATGCTGACATAATGAATAGTCCTGAAATAGCCATTTCAGCGTCTGACTTTTTCTCTCGCAAGCATTCACAGAAGTTTCTGAACCTGGTTTAATCGCTGCTTCCAGATTCAATGTCATCAATTGCATACGTTTGTGTCGACATTATGTCTCAGGCGCACAATGGTCTGCATCATATGTGAATGCAAAGGGCGGGTTCTCAAGAAGGCATACTCTAAACTGTCGAAGTGGGTGGGCCATCCATACGATTCGTTGGAAGCTTCGCGAGTAAACGGGAAGAATGAAACCTCATTCTTTATGTGAAACAAAATAATGATACAAAGAAAATATCAATCTATCTGATCGATGTCTCTTTCAACGTAGGGGCCACTCATTGACATCCGGGCGCGCTTCCGATCTGTTAGGTAGCGAACACAACAATGAACAGTAGCCACGAACATGGTGCCACTGTTGTGTCCCGAAGTCTAGGCCTGTATATAGGTATAAAAGCACACTGGCGCCCTCCCCTTCACCTCAACCGTCGACCTCTCCCCTACCCGATCTAATCAAGGCCTGCATGTTAGCCCTGATAGCTGCGAGCCAACTCTTTCGCTGTGGTAAACGCACTTAACAATACCGCATTGGGTATACAGGTACACTTTACCTGTAAGTTGCATCCCTCCTTTAGGTACTGACTGTACACCGATGCGAATACAGACTACTTAGATGGCTCGAAACGAATCCTCCGGAGGAAATAGCAAGACTTCCCTTGCTGAGGCGGACAGCTGGTCGGAGCCTGCGCATGAGCTTCAAAGATCTGAGGACTTGGAACATCTAGAAAAGCGAAAAGAGTTCCAGCCCCAGCAAGACGAAGAGCAAGCTATGTTATCTAGGGTATACGTTGGGAACGTAAGTGAAAACAACCCACTCATCCGTATGAATAGCCAAACATTTTCTTCTGCACTTCAGATTTCACAAACAGTCAGTACAAAAACGCTGGCTCGGATATTCAAAGTCTGTGGACCTGTCGAACAAGTCAATCTGGGCTGTTATCACCTTGCACCAGACTCGACTGCTTTTGCCGAAGTGGTCTTTAGTAACCCCATCGCGCACGTGAGAGCTCAATACCTTAACGGACTGTTACTAGAGGGTCGTGCTTTAGTTGTACGTATATTCCCGCGGAATTTCGAATTCCTTGCTCACCTTTTGCTAACTCATGTGTCTAGATCTGCTGTAAGAGTAGTGAGACTCCCGAAGAGAGACGATTCGTCAGGAAGTTTGCAAACTCCAAACCCATGGAGAAGGCACAAGAGTGGAGGAGATTCTCGCCTCTGGATGGGCCTGGATAAATTATCTGCCCTCTGTATAATCTGTACAGTTAATGAACGAATACCCGTTTCGTAAACTCGATATAAAGGTACCTGTTGACTGGCATCACCCACTGGTGCTGAGGGTGGAAGAGACGTGGATGAGCATAAGAGTGGTTCAAGGTGGCTCGCGGCTGTCCGAATTTAAATAAGAAATCTAATCAGTGAGCCACCCATTATATAGTATTACACAGTACAATACAGACACATTCAGTCCTCAAGTGCTTGCAGTCAATTTCGAGTTGTAACCATTGCACTAGATCATCATGGCAAAATGGAGAATGGTGTGTAAAGATATTAGTATAGGTCTGCTTAACGTGCAACCTTCGACACACGAATATTTTACAACAATAGCAGCTAGACTCTGCCTTTCAAACGTCAATAACGTCAACGCCAGCCAATCCTGGAAGACATATTCTAGGCTACTAAAATCGGTACATTTATTCATTTGATCGACTGACTACTTCACGAACAAACGAAAAAGAATGAATCCTCATCCTTTGTCTGCATGGTAACAATGATATGAATGAAATATCATTCCATCTAATCGATGTTTACTTCAACATAAGTGCCACACATCGACGCAGCCCCTTCCAGCCGTGCTAGGTGTAGACACAACAATGAACAGTAGCCACGAACATGATGCCATTGTTATTTCCCTGCATAGATATAAATGCGCAGAGTGCGCCTCTCGCCTCCCCTTAGTCGCTAACTACCTAGTCAAAACCCAGGCGTCAGCCTTGACAGAGACTGGTATACGTGTGCACTGCGTCAACATAGTTGAGTGTACAGACACACGATAACCGTAAGCTGTGTTCTTCCCTTTAGGGTTAACCCAACGCTGACCATATCCAGCTGCTCAGATGGAACAAAATAAACCGTCCGAGGAGAATAAGGAAGTGCTCTTAGAAGGAAATGGGCAGGCTTTGAAGCGACTCGGGAATGAGCTCCTGGTTGCTGAAGGTATGGAATTCCGGAGACGGCGACAGGAATTCCGCAAAGAACTGGACAGAGAAAGAGCTAGCCTATCCCGAGTATATGTCGTGAATGTAAGCAAAGTCAATCCGCGCATGCATACACATGGTCTGACAGTTTCTTTCATTTCCACAGATCTTGCAGACAGTCAGCTCGAAAGCTCTCGCCCGGATCTTCAAGGCCTGCAGTCCAATCGCCGAGGTCAGAATTGGATGTTATTACCTTGCGCCGGACTCGACTTGCTTTGCCGAAATAATCTTCAATGACCCAGTGGCATACTTGAAGGCTGAGCACCTGAACGGGCTGCTATTAGAGGGCCGTTCGTTGGTCGTGCGTAACTTTCTGTAAAACGTCAAACTTCTCGCTGACCCTTTCAACTTCTGGTTGCCCAGATTTGTCATAGGAGTAGCGAAACTCCTGAAGAAAGACGTTTCCGGAGAAAGTTCACAAACACTAAACCTGTGGAGAATGTATAAGAGTGGAGAGCGAATTGCTCGTTCGATAGCATCTGGATAAATAATTGCTTTTTCCTATGTAATCTTGTTATAAATAATGGCGACAACCTTGTTTGTGTGCTTATTATAAAACTCACCCGCTGACAGTCACAATCTGTGAACTTCGAGAACAGTACAATTGTGGATGGACGCAGAAGTGTCTTAAAGTGGCTCACTGCGATTCAAGTTTAAATAAAACGCCATTTCGTTACTGTGACGTAGGCCACTCATTCTACGGTCACGGCACGCTTTGGCACAACAGTATTTTAAAAAAAAATTTAACCTTTACTTATATTCAATTTCAATTTCTAAGTTACTATACTAACAACAATCAACCATGCAACTAACAATACAACGTAAAATTTCTCTTGTTATTTATGCCATATCATCCTGCAGACAGAAAAAGAAAATCACCACCCTCCTACTGGCTCCATCCTCATCAAACAACGTTCAGACTACAGTCCCTTTCCCCTGCCTCCTTTCCGTGAGGATCGGCCCTTCTGAAGAACTCGAATTAGCTGCTCGGGCGAATCCTCCTCCATAAGTCCCACCGCGCTGATCTCGTCAAAGCGCTCGGTCTCCTCAACTGCATCCATGTCATCAAGCCAACCAGCGTCAGCTGGCTCTGGTCCAGTCTCAGGAAGTGGCATATTGTTATTCGTTGACGGTGTTGAGACCGAATGCGAATCTCGCCCACAGCCCGAGTTGGACATCGCGTCATTATCATTATCATGCGCATGTTCACTCAAGAACGCTTCGTCCTCTTCGTCGAATTCCAAAGGAACTGATTCGTCCGTGCGCGACGGGTTCATTCTCGGTGAGCGTACCTTCCTGAACTCTCTGCTGATCCTTCCAAGGCCTTCGTTTACACCTTCCGTCAAGTTCGCCGCCACGCTGCGTATTGGTATCGCAGTTCTGAATGAACCAGGGCGAGCTCCGTTAGGGAGCATCGGTATTATGGGAGGCGATGATCCAGAATACTCCAAACCCGAATAAATAGCCGATGCAAGCGGCTCATCAAATGAATGACCTGCCCGCACTGCGTGCGGAGTAGTTGCGGCACTGACGAAAGATTCGCCATGCCCGGTTGCGTACGCACTAGCCTCTACTTCCCTGCGCACATCAATCTTATGAACCGGGATATCAAAGTGCAGACGGCGGACGAGCGCGTGGTAGTCGTCACTGAGAGCGAAGAAAGAGAACTGATGAGAGAGATAAATTGTGCCGGGAAGTATATGTGTAGAGCGGGAGTGGGTCGACAGCTCGGCTTGTGCAAGCCATCTAGGTAACGAATACATCATCAACATAAACAAAGCTGAACCAAATTAACTCAAATAAATCGACGTACTCCGACTTTGTAAAGGTCCGTCGCTGTTCTTGCTGCTCTCGCGGAACAACCAGTGGCTCCTTAACGTCGTTCCATTTCGAATCTCTCATCAAGTTCCAAGTTGCAATGGTCGCATCCTTCGCAACCAATTCCGTTGCCAGCTGTTCTGACATAGCTGATGTGGAAGTAAGCCCAGCAGGTTTCGGTGGTGATGCGCTTGGGCGTCCCATAAAGCCCATTCCAGGGAGTGAGATACTTGTTCCTGTAGGTATAGGCAACGAAGCCAACATCGAGGAGCCCACCTCGGAGACCGTAATAGTCATTCGGCGTAACGACAGTGATCCATCTGCTGGGTCAAACGTAAGAATATCCTGATAGTTCGTAGGCCGTGTCTGAAGTCTTGGTGAGACGGATTGTGTCCGTCGGTGAGGTATTGAAGAAGGGATCGATGACGACACGGATGATGGTGGCGAGAATGTGCCCTGCGGAGGTAAGAATCTCGTGGGCAGTGAATCCGTGGATGACGAGATGAACGTGAAAGCCAATGGGATCGCGAGTTGCTCCGGTGAAGTGACTGGATTAGAACGAAGCCTTACAATAGGCCGTACTTCAGTCGAAAGCGGTTGCTGCGGTGGATATGAGTAACAAACATGAAGTTAAAAAAATGAATTATATACAATTTCCTTTGCGTTCTTAACCCTTCCCTCGATGTGACTCGCATCGTCTGGCTTTCCACCATACGGATTTGTAGCGAATATGTGAATCGTACGTTTCCGAGTACTAATACCAACCCAACGACCGTCAGTGGAGTGATCCGTGAATTCAATGATGCCACTTGTTCGACCTCGACGCAGATCATAGAGATGCCAGGATGTGGTCATCGTCGAGGCTTCCCCGGAAGCGGGACGACTCTCTATACTTCCACTGGAATCCCTTCGTGTGGGGCCTGATGCAACTTTGTCGCGAGGACCAGGACCAGCATCCAGTGACGTGGATCGCAAGACGCGAGAAGTCGGCTTGATTTGATACATACGAACTGTGCCACCATCTTCTGGAATAACACTCAAGTTCGTCCCATCCTCGGAGAACTTCAAGTCGGCTACTATCTGACTATTCGGTGATGAGAAATTCAAAAGTAGTTCCGGCCTTCCTGTATCCCGGTCCTCGAGAAGCGGCTGTAAGTCTAAAATCGTAATATGAACGGAGTCCACAGAAGAAGCCGACCCAGACCTAGTCTGGTCCGCCCCATCGGCTCCTGAATCATGAACATTAGATGGACTCCGTTCATGGCCAATACTGTGAGAACCGGCAGGTGCACTTCTGGAGAAGAACTTTCGCAAACCCCCTGGATCCGGAGAAGAAGTGCTCCTGTCTCCACGCGCAGCAGCTACTGCCATCCCTCCAAGTGTCCTCATTCCACTTAAGAACCCACCACCCACCTTCAGGGCAGCATTTCCTATGTCTGCCTGCGTAACATTCAGTGATCCAAGTTGAATAGAAGGCATCTGTGGAACGGCCATGCGTGGGTAGATGTTAGAAATGGATGAAGACTCCGATGCTGGAGAAACAGATGCGAATGCAAGCAATCGCGAAGAAAGGGTAAATACGGCATGAGGGCGGTCTTGCCGCGCGGAATAGATAGTTTCTACAGAGCCCTCGGGTGTGTGCAATGATACAGGTCGCGAAAAGATAGACAATTGACGTGTTTGGATGGTGTGTAAAATGTTAAAAGTCCGAGAGCATAATATATGCAAAGAGAATGGAGAAGTGGTGCTCTATAGTTCATTAGTGAGAGTCATTGAAGAGATGCGATCAAGGTTACCCACAACGACAATGAAAGAACTGCTTGCTCGAATTGACATGACAGTAGCGCCCGAAAAGTTAAGTTTCTTGATTTCTTCGTGGGTAGCCAGTGAGTAGACTAAGAGATAGCTTGCATCATGTTCCTCAATTCTATGAACAGGCAAAGTGAGAAAGTAGAAGTATTAACGAGATGTAGGTTGAAGCTTACACAATTCCGAGCAACGGCCTCAGGGGGGCATACACGTCCCTGACTGAATCCTGACGGAGAGGTAATCTCGGAGTAGGCAAGATGCTGCATGCGGCGACTGCTCCGGGCATGCGGCGATTAAGAAGCTCACGGACTTCACTCAAACGGGTGGTATCCCATGTCTGTAAGCCATTCTCGTATCCAACGAATAGTAACCTCCTTGGCGGGGACGATGGCGAAGGATATGCTAACGTCGCGAACGACGCGAATACAACTTTGTCCTTACCTCCAGATGTCGTTGGATATCGAGTATGTTCTGAGATGGTAGATGGGGGCATGGCATCTTCATCAGATTCGCTAGATTTAGAGGCATGAGGAGTCATTCTGAGTCGTGCACGATCACGATCCTTAGTTTCTCCGGACGTTCCCGTGCTTCGGCGTCTCGCTTCCTTTGCATTCACAAAGGGGTCGGTAGATGGCCTGGACGTAGGATAATGAAAGCTCGATCCGCTAACTGTGACATTAGAAATCCGGGGTGCAGCAAAGTTAGACAAGGGATTTGTAAATCCAAGCTGCGGAGAGGTTGGAAGGAAGGCTTGAACGTTCTGCAGCTGTCGTGAGAGAGAAGATGGTGACGTAGGATTACTATTGAAAGCTTGTTAGTGCTTGGCTACCAAATGTGCGAAACGTGCTTACCGCGAAGCAAGAATAGGTGCCCGGGTACGACCCGGGGCCCGAGCGGGGGATACTGGCGGCGAGTCCAGTAGCATTACTTCGGATATCTGTCCTGGACCGCGCTCTGGTTCCTCCGAGCGACTCGCCTCCAAGATATCTGATAACGCACCATAGCGGGGAACGTTCCGCTCTACTGTATCTCCGTCATTGTCGTCAGAAGAACGTAATCCCCCTGGTCTCTCCGGTTCTGGTTGTGGCATAGGCTCTTCACGATGTTCGTAAAGCGAGTTGTGAGTCTCAGCGGTCGTGCTAATGTCGCTAACACTAGAAAAGGGGTTGAACGTGAGATCAAGCGCATCCTCATTCGGACCGTCGCGTTCCGCGGGAGCACTGCGTTCATCAGCGCTCCGTGCCCCAGATACGGGCTGAGGGATCTCTTCCACAACCTGTCTTGCCTCGTCCTCATCCCTTAACTGGAGTAAGTCCAGTTGCGGGGTATCTACTACGAGTTCCTGCTTCTCATTGCTATCCATCGTGGTGTCTTCCACCGGCGGGGGTGGTGGGTGCATGGTAGCACATTCAGGGAGAGTGGTGATGGGCGTCTGTACGAGCGAGTGCTGCTGCTGGCCTTTTCTATTATTGCGTCTTCTGGTGTTCGCATGCTTTGATGTGCGTGAGGATGGCGTGTTGTTCATTAACCAGGCCGTAAGAGGTGGCTGGGCAACAGATGGGGGTGTACTTCCCAATGAGAACCAATTGGACGAGTGAGATGATAAGGTAAATGCTAATGAAAGAAAGCAAACGAGAAATCAAAATTAACAAAAAGCCCAGATGTCCGATAAGTTAAGTAGTGCAAGCTAATGCAATACGTGGGGAGAGCAAAGCAGTGGTGTATCGTCGACAGCGCGCAGGTGGTGGTACAGTACGCGCTGACCGCATACGTCGCTGACTCGTTAGCTTATGTACCCACGTAACCCGAATAACCCATATCGGGTAGAAAACCCCTATTTTGGTGAACACACAAGACCGTCTCTACCAACGACAACCATGGCCGTGACGCCCGCTACAGGAGCACATAAAGGTCAAAGGTACGAAAGAAACGTAGCGAAGTAATCGATTGTGATGCCCTTTGTGATTTGGTTCGAGATTCTCTCTTTCATCCTCATCTTCCAAGATCATAGCTTATTATACTAATCCGAAGTTAGCAAAGAGACTGCGGCAACCAGTGCCTCAACCTAGAAGCACGGGTCATATGTCTTCACCCCACGAAACGAACCCCCTCGAGGCCTTGCCCATAATAGACAGTTGGCTGAGTTTGCCACCGGTCTCTTTGTATGCGTTCAAAACGGTCAGCATCAAACCTTGTTATCTATGAACGCATAAGCAGACCGAACTGCTCAAAGCAAAGCAACTCTCGCCTCTCGCGTGAAGGCATGTATTATGGTGAAATAAAGCGACTAGAAACTATATCCTTAGTATATCCAAATAATGCATGTTTCAGCACAAAGAATGATACTATGACATGCACTCATACTCGTGCTGCATGTTGAAACAGGTTTCGATTGGACATTATAAATAATCATTTCATAACAGGATTCCGTTTCAAAGCACTTAGTAAACCCCTTATAAGTCCGACACTCAAATGGAGCTTCAGCACGCATTTAATTAAACAAGTGTTCTAAGCTAGACCAGGGCGAAAAGACAAAACAAACGACAGAAGTAAAGCTACGAAGACATCATGCTATGGATAAGGACCAAACAAATGAACAACGAAAGCCTGGAGACCGATTCAGTTTGGTTTACTTTGAATATTCATACTGTATTTATTTTGACTCTGCAAGGAAACAACTTGTGCAATGAGCGACGATGGGTATTGTATATGTAAGTGACGAAAGAAAAGAAAGGAATGTGTTGGTTGGTTTCTGCTGCTGAATTTGATTTGATTGTTGTTCAAATAGATAGTAAGAGGGAAGATAGAATAAATGTTGGGGGATCGCATGTATACTCGGGAGGAAAAGTGAGGGAAGCGAGGGAAGGTAAGTGGACGGGTGAATGAATGACCGAATGAACGACCAAAAATGCAAAGCTACAAGACAAGTGATAGTAATCCCAATAGCAATAGTCAACGTGTGCGGATTAGCTAAATAAACGCTAAAGACGATAGCGAACAAGAAGGAAGAGGAAGACAAGAGTCCAAATGCAAATTGCCAATGAATGAACTGTCCAGAGAGACCAGTACTAACGAGGTGAAGCGAAGATAGACAGCATCTTCTCCGCACCCTCCTTGTACTTCTTCAGTTTTTTGTTCTTAATTTTCTCCGGTTCATCAGTCGTAATAGTCCGTGTACTAGCATCCGGTGATTGTCCACCACTAGACAGCACATCTGCCGACGCATTCGCGTTTGGTCCTTCACCGTTGAGCGATTGGTCATCTGATGACGGAGAGCCCATGGACGTTGTTGACTCTTTGCTTTTCAGTGAAGGACCTGCAGTTACGTTTGTTTGGCTGCTAGGTGCTGGAGAGAGGAAACTGGCATTGCTCGAAGGGGCAGAAGACAGGGTGTTCGCTTTTGATTGTTGCTTGAATGTCCGGTTAGAGTCATTTGACGACGCACTTGGCGGTGGCGAGCGAGCCTTAAGGAATTGCTTAGGATGCCGACGGAATGTAAGTCCAGGATTCCTTCCTCTTCGTTGCTTGTCCGACGGGGTCGGTGAGGCAGCCTCCGAGGTCGTCGCATCTGACGCCAACGACATCCCAGAAACATTCCGACGCGAAGAGGTCTTACTTGGTGTCGATGACTTACGGAACACCGCCAACCTGTACCGATCAACCACGCCGCGCGCAAATAGACTTGTACCCTTCGGGCCGTTGCGATCTTCCGCACCCATAGGAAGAGCTTCGACAAAGTCCCAATCGTCATCTTCGTCACGCTCCATCAAGTCATCATCCGCACCGTCGGACAGATATTGATCCAACGCAGGAATGCCAGACTTCTCTCGTCGAGGACGGCCTGCACGTGCTGGTATAATCTTTGATGGAACAGCACCAAGTGGCGGCTTCGTTATCGCGTTGGCCGTCGGAAGAGTGCTTGCCTGGGGAGTTACTGGCGTCTGTGGTGCCGAAGTAGCGCCATCAATAGCTCCCTCTGGTGTCTTGTCCGTGTCATCCGAGAGAGGCGGTACAGGTGTCTCCTTGACCGGTGTCGATGGCTCATCCATCGCTCCCGCTGCTGCAAGTGCAGCTCTATGCAATGCGACAATCTCTTCCGCAGGTGTAAGTTCAGGCACCACATGTACCTCAGGTTTCGTAGGTTTAGGTAACTCTGGTAATTCCGGTTTCCTTGCCTCAGGCGTTTTCGGCTCGTCAACCTCATCCATAGGTTCAACTTCCTCTTCCACATCCTGACCTACGTCCGCGTTAGCCAGTCTCTGGATGTCCTCCTCTTCGTCGATTTCTTCATCATGCTCCCCCTCCTCGGCTTCAGCGTCCTCATCGTCTTCAACTTCAATGAGCACTGAGTGCCTGCCTTTGAAGGAGTAGCCATCGAAGAGGTCTGGCTGATCCTCTTGTGGTAGTGTAGGGGGACTGCTCGACTTGGCTGGTGTACGTGCACCTGAGTCCTCGCCATCAGTCGCCTCACTCGTCTGACCGTTATCTTCACCTGATTCGGTCGGCTCCTCGTCAGCAATGATGGGTTCCATGTCAAGGAATGTATCATCGAAGTTCTGGGTATCGCTTGCATTAAGCGGGTCAATAGGAGGAATGTAAGGTGCTAAAGTACTGTTGTCAACAAAGCGAAGAATATTACAAAATACTCTACTTACGTATGTAGCGTTTGTAGTAAACATGCGACCAGTCTCTGCAATATTTGGTCAGTCGAAGAGAATATCAATTATATCTAAAACTCGTACATCATAGAGAAATAAGGATGACGTTTGATGCGAGGTTGTTTGATTCGCAGTGCGGGGTTTCGTTGAAGAAGCTATATCCTGATCAGCTAGGTCTCTATCTCACAATAGGCTAGCACGTACACCACGGATAAGGGACTTCGTGTCCTGATCCATCACTCTATCATCGGGGAATTTGAGTTCATCCTGCAACACTCGGACATACATCTCTGAGTGGTTATTTGCCCAGAACGGCGTCTGCAAATCGAATTATTAAGACTCAGAAACAGTACAGTGTGGTGAAAATTTCACTTACAATGCCTGTGAGCATCTCGTACAACATCGTCCCAAAACTCCACCAGTCCACCTCGTAGCTGTACGCTTGACCTTGGATCACCTCAGGTGCAAGATACTCAGCAGTACCGCAGAACGTTGCGGTCGAGTCGTTCTGTCCGATTGCCCACCCAGTCTTGTTTTCCTCGCCCTTCATCCAATGAGGCAACGGTTGTGTTTGGAAGTCAGTTCGGGAACCTGAAGGTGTTGCAGGAGCGGTAATGGGCGATGTTCGTCGCGGAAACTCCTTTGACAAACCAAAGTCCGTGAGGACAATATGTCCATCTGCACCAATCAATATATTTTCCGGCTTCAAGTCTCGATAGATGACACCCGCTGCATGTAGACCGTCCACCCCTTCGACAATCTCAGCGGCATAAAATCGGGCACGATCACGTCCGAGACGGCCCCATCGTGCAAGTTGAGTTGCAAGATCACCACCAGGATGGAAGTCCATGACAAGATATAGATTCTCCTTATCATGGAACGACCACCACAGCTTCACCACAAACGGATCCTTCGCCTCACGAGCCATGCGTTTCAGAACCGCCTGCTCAGTCAAAGTATGTTGCAACTCTTGATGTGCAAGCACATGCCGTTTTGTGATAGCCTTCAAAGCGTAGAGATCCTCTGACTTCTTGTGTCGAACAAGTAGAACCTTCCCGGCACATCCTTTCCCAAGCACACGCATCATTTCAAAGTCGTCAATGACAACCTTCTTTGTTGTCTTCGGCTTCTTCAACTTTGTTTTGCGTAAGACAGCCTTTGTGCGCTTGTTCCTTCGCTTAACACCGTTTGTCGAGATGGACGAATCGTCGTCTACAGTCGTCGTGCTCTTCCCTTCCTCAACTTCCGTTTCAGTTTCCGTGACCTGCACCTCGCTCTCGTACTCAGCAGCAGACTCATCTCCGTCGTGTTTAATAGATGATGACTGCAATAGTCGGGACATGCGAGTCGCCTTGTCCGGATCGGCAGACTGCGAACGCGGTATTCGATTTGCAATACTGGCGTTCGTCTCAGTAGTGGGTGTCAAAGCAGTTTCCTCCGGGATGTCTAAAGAAGTCCGTGGGATGGTATCCGAAGGCTTAGGAGTGCTCGGAAGCTCCTGAGCAACATCTTCATTTTCCTCAGCCTTCTTCACACCAATGTTCTCCGCTGTCGTAACTTCCTCCTCTTCCTCTTCCTTTATATTTTCGATCGCTCCTGCGGTCTGGACTGGCTCCTCAGCTTCAGGCTCCTCCTTCTCTGCTGTGATCAAAACAGCCGACTCTGCCACAGAGGCGTCATCGCGCATTTCGATCTTCCGCGTCTGGAACTTCGAAGCGGTTATATGCGCAGCTAGATCGCTCCTAACGCGCTTTACCGCCCTCTCAACGCGTTCACTGATCAAATCGTCAGTTCGTATCCGGATAAAGCGCCTCCATGCCTTTGACCGCTTCAAAGAGGGCTCGTTAGCTAGCGCCGTTAGGTATCCCGCAAGCGCCGTACTTGTAGCGCTATTCGTATCTGATGTTGCGGTGAGCGGAGACATATATGGATCCCAATTGTCTAATTCCCGAGCTGGCGTTGACGCGGAGGTTGAGTGCGATATGGGCGATACCGCAGATTGAGCTATGCTATTCCTCGAGCTCGGAATTGACGGAGTGGTTTTCGCATCCCTCGGACGTTCCCTCTTATTCGGTCCTGGTGAAGCAAAGCGGGAAAGCGTGGTCAAAAAAGACGACTTGCGCTTTTTCTCTGTCAGACCATTCTCGACGTTCTCATCAATAGGCTGTAGCGGGATATCCGGTAATGAAAGATCGGGATGAGCGGAAGCAATCTTCCGGTGTAATGCCTGAATTTCTTGTCCGGTTCGTGTGAGCGTCATATGGTGGGTAGGAGCTGGAAGGAGTGGAAGCGGGTCAGCCATGGCAGGATGCGGAGACAGAAAGAAGAAAGGAATGAAATAAACATGATGGCTCTATGCATTTAAGACAAACTAGAGCGGGAAAATGCAGACTCGAATCGCCGCCCCCTTACGTAAGTTGACAATGGTGCATGACGCGCACTAGACGTCGGGTCGCGTGCCACGGTGAAGAGAAAACGGGAAGCGAATCCGACAGGAGAATGCAGTGCATACAAAATTTTGAAATATCGTTAAAGGAAAGCTGTATGCTAGTTGCAGGCACTGAAATGCATGTCCCACGGCATGGTCCATCCGGTGTACACGCAAAAGGAGTGAAAGGAGAATGATGCAGAGACAAAGAAACGTTGACGTACTCTTGATATAAATGCTGTAGCAATTCTTGTCATAAGGCGTTTCAGCAACACTAATACTCCATGGCCCCTCCTCTGCGCCGAACCGAATTAGCTTGCGACGACCTGGGCGCTCATACGGTATCTCCAATGTCCTCGTCATTTTCTGCTTCCTGTCTGGCGAGTCCAATTTAATCGCCGTCGTCTTCGGGAGCGGATCGTTATCCGATGTCGAATTAAAGGTGGTAGGTGTGGATGAAGGAGAGGGAGGAGATACGGTTTGTTGAAAGAAAGAAATATCGGTGACACTGGCCCGGCCGTCGCGTGTGCGAGCTTTCTGCCGTCCGTAGCTGAGCGATGCAAAGTTCGAGCCGTTCTCGGAGGGTGTTAAATCTACGCTGCGACGCTGTGTGATGGTATTGAACTTTTCCTTCTCCCTATGCAGTTGCGCACTGCGCAGTGTAAACGCGTTGGGGTAGTAGGGTGCTGGGCCAGGAACAGGCGGGCTGTTATCGGAAAGCGTGGATTGATACAAGCCCAAGATGGACCTCAACGTCTTCTTTGACTTTGTGTTGGTGTCGATTTGAGAGGTCTGTCTTTCGGCCGAGGAAGGATCGATGACACGAACGGGCATCAAGGAGGGAAGGTGTGTCTCAGACAGACGATGACCTGCTTAGCGCCGGAGCTAAGTGAGGATCCCACTTTGATATGCGATGTGACTGCTGTGGGTGCGGGGAGGTGACAGGGTAATAGTAAAGAACGTAAAGAGAGACCAGCTGCAAATTATTTCCTGCTGTGTCAGGGCCTAGACGAAAAACGCGGACGTGCGGATGAAACGTGTTGCCTCGAGGCCGGCACAACCAGTGGGAAAAACACGGCTTCCCGGGCAAGTCGTTGCGGAATTCAGTCACTGCTTCGTGGTAACGTGGCTTAGATGCACTCAAACTCTTGATCAGGGCGAAGGAGTTAGCACGGCAGCAGCGTCGATGCACAGTAAAGGCTGGCTGGATGGTGTGGGTGTTCAGATGACGAAGACGGAGGTTGAAAAGATTGCACAGGCAACGGCAACGTTGTGTTGGGATGCGCTGTCTATGTAAGTCAAGCTCTGACGTCTGTTTCCGTTAATAAACTAAATGGCCACCCCCAGTTAGGATGTCTTTTTCAGATTCAAGCGCGTCGGCTACTAAGGTTACTCTCAAATGGAATAAAAGAATCACACCCAAGATGCAGCAGAAGCTCTCTGGCAAAGATGAACCTTTTGTACTCCTTTGATCTTGTTCATCTTCGTAAGTGCTACCGATCCGCATGATACAATATCCGGTTAGATCCAATTTCCAAACCAACATCAACGCCCTTTCCTCTCCCAATTCAACAGTTGTGCACGATCACCACGAAGGAGCTCCGGGCTTTCCTTGTCGGTCCAGAACTCTAATGCGCAGGCTTTGTCATCCCCTCGAAATGTACCTTTCCACTCAAGGAATCAAAATGCATAAAATAGAAATCACCAACAGGGTTAAGTAAGCATTGAGCAACCCTAAAGGTGTAATTATGGTATCCGGATATACCCTATTGGTCGACACGCGTCACGCATCGCTCGTTGATCACGTTCGTTTCGCGTTCCACTAGGGACTGGCGCGGATAGCTCTAACCGCGGATCCGCACCGCGGTTAAGATTCTCGCGGATATGCTAACCGCGGTTAAGATTCCCACGGCTACCGCAGATTTCGCGGTAGCCGCATTATTGTAGTAGAAAAAAAAATAAACCAACTACTTTCATTCATTCTGTTAATTCAACTACACAAAAAGTCAAAAAAAATGTCTCAAATCAATTCACCAACATCTCCTCACTCTCATTTCATCCAAAGTTACAATATGTCTCGAGTGCCAGTTGGCATCATTTCATCACCCACACTGGCATCATTCATAGATGCTGTAGCTGCTTCTATCACAGGAGAAGCTCTGCCTGTACAGCTTTCTGCACTAAAAACCTGGAGAAGAGTGAAGACTTCTATATATGATCAGACAGATGGATCAAGTTTGGGTTTTAAGTGATGAAGAGATTATTGATGCATTATATACTTTATTTACCCAAGTATCACTGCTAATTATACTGTATTGAAGCTGCCAGTAGAGACAAATGGAAGTCACCAGCATATGACCATTACAATGTCTCTGTGCACTGGTTTGATCAGGCAGGCTTAAAGAAACTCTCCTTCATTAAATGGCTGTTGGATCTTGGAATGATACCCTACTTTTTTCTAATATTAATGATGCTTTTTCAATTCTTGAAGCTAAAACATCTCAAACTACCGGTTCTTAAGTATATTTTCAATTACTTGCATTAATTTTTCAATTATTTATATTTTTTCTTTGTATATTTTAATGTTGTTATACCCATACTAATTAGTGGAGTTAATAGTACATGTTGATTGACATGTAACTACAAAAAGTGTGATAAGAAAATTAAAAGAGCAAAACTTACACCAGGTATCGAGCGAAGGTTTGCTTAACCGCGGCTACTGCGGTAGCCGTGGGAATTTTAGCCGCGGATAAGCTTATCCGCGGTTGTTGTTGCGGTCAACGGTGACGGATGCCGCGCCAGTCCCTACGTTCCACTCAGCTAAAGCCTGCTCGCGCGATTGGAGGCGGCCCTCACACGCCTCTCTTCGCTGCTGCACTTCCCATCTCTCCTTTCCCTTGCTCTCCTGTCAGTACTACCAATCTTCACACTGCGCGTCTCATTACCTGATCCTTGACCCCCGGCCTCTTACTTACCAGATCTTCTTGAACGCCATCAATACATCAACACCTCAAGATGGCTGCTCCTCCTGTACAGCCTGCTCCTGAAGAGGAAGACGAATACGAGTCCGACGAATATGATGTCGAAGATGATGGTGAAGGAGATGCTGATTTCAAGGACGCCCAAGATGATGAGGACGAGGACGAAGACGAGTCCGGCGATGAAGAAGAGAGTAGTCAAGTAAGGACTCTCCGTCCTCTCGTTTAGGTCCACTCAGCTCATCTTATGTTTCCAGCAGAACCTCACAGCGCTCCTCGTAGCAGTATATCGCTTCCCGATCATCCAGGCTTCTTATCCGATCGCTGATTTTCATTCCTAGGACCCAAATTCATCTGCTCAAGCTGTTGATGAGGAAGAAGATGAAATATATGCGCCACCCGGCGAAACAAAACCCGCTGGCGATGTCATTGATGGCAACACACGTGCTGAAGCTGCCGGAAAACCGCCTCTGGTCGAGGACCTGCCAATTGATAAGGTAGCAGACCGGATTAAGACATCAGCGCCCGCGGCGGGTATAAAACGGAAAACGTCCGGCGACGAGGACGACGAGGACGACGAAGGGGAAGAAGATCCAGAGGCAAAGAAATTAAAAGCCTAAACACGGCTAGGATTTTCGCAGTCCACAAGAGGCTCTCTTCGTTCGTCTCTGCTTAATATACAACTCTGCAATGCTTTGAATCATATTTATTCTGTATCTGTTTCCGCGATGTACGATTTCGCTTAGCTATCTTAATGTATTGTCCTACTATAAAACACTTCAGACTATAAATTCAAATTGCATGATAGCGAGTCCAACAAGCTCCAGTACAGGAATCAGAAATGGCATGTCCACTCATTTGAAGCGCATATAAGCAGTCCCAATTTGTCCGAAGTGCATACACTCAGGGCACCAGCGCCTCCTCCTTCCACTCCCATCCCTCCTTAAAAAACCTCGTACGCCGATTCGGTATAACACCAAGTTCGACATAATCCACCTCAATCGGGTCAATCACCACAAGCGCAAAATTCCGCAACGCATCTTCCACTTGCTTCTTCAGATTCTTCTCTCCCCCTTTTTCCTGATTTACTTCCTCAAGCTTTGGAACGGTCTCGGGCCACTCCTTCGCCGAATTGGGATCGACAAGACGCGTCCCAGGTACAGGACGTAACCACGAAGCGCGCATATGTCCACTCATACCATCAAACCTAGCACGACGCTCCTTTTCCCAGTCAAACTCCCCTCCTCCTGCAAGCTCTGTACCAGGGAACGATCCGCGCAGCCCAGCCACACTCCTCTCGATATCGCGCTTCTTCTCCCCGGGAGCTGTGTCTGCTCCTGTGAGTATGAAGTCCGGAGCGGGGTAGACATATGCAAATCCGGCGATACGCATTTGAGATTGTTGTTGAGGGAACCACCATGCAAGCTCTACGTAAGGGCTTTTTGCAAGTTGTGAGACCTTGGGCGTACGTGCGTCGGTTGTCGTGAGTAGGAAGGGATGGGCGGCAGAGCGCGGAGTGACGAAGGCACGATGAATTAGTGAACGGACGCAAGGGATTGGCACATCCCTAAGCGAATCGCTTCGTTGAATCGTTGCGAATTGATAAACTAGGCATTACAATTAACCGTAGTAAGTAAAATATTGAAGTCTTAAGGGCGATGCAACCAACTATGCATATGAGTAATGGGAATTGTGCCACCGCCACTCACCATTAGCCTTCTTGTCCTGCTCTAAAGCTTCTTCAATAACACGCTGCCACTGTGGTGCAGAGTTCCCGGCTGACATTATATGTATACTTGGGCTGAAATTGGCTGCTCTTCTGAAATGGTTTACGAGGATTGAAAGGCGGCTACTGGCATTCATGCATGCATGAAAACACAGATGAACCCTAGGAAGTCCGCTCATTCCGAGGCAGAGATATCGAGAATTTGGCTACGTCATCCGATCGACATCCGCTTGATGCCGCAGATATCTGCTTGCACGAAACTGTATCTACAGTCAAAATTGTCTTATTGCATAACGTTGGGAGAAAGTAAAATCCAATGCATTATACAAATTATGCATCATGACAACACATTTTGGCTGAGAACTCAACTTTTGTTCTGACCAGAAGCTATGCATTGTGATAATATGCAATAAGACAATTTTGACTGTATCCGCCTTGTTGCCAAACAGCAATGGGGTACCGATTTCAACGTTCATGATTCAGCGTCTATCTGATACAGCGATAGTGCCTTCTCGTCAAGTTCGCTCATTTCGGGTGCTCGATTTGCAGTAGACGAAGAAAACTCCCCTAAGACTTTCCATGTAATACACCACAGCTACATCAAAGATCGTTTCATTCTTCGGTTCCCATTTAAGTTTACAAGTACACGAATACGGTGCCCTCTCCTTCCTACATATTCAATGATGGCTCTATCATCACTGCTTTGACTTTGCGATGAGTTCCTATCGTAGACGAATCAGCACTGCCTTCCGCATCGCTGGAGCAAGAGCGAAAAAAAAGGTCGGATCACATACATTCAACTTTCCGGGGTGAGCACCCATGAGGTCGTCAACCTTCTGGCCGTTCTTGAACAAGATGAAAGTAGGCATCTGAAATCCAGAGAGCATAACAACACCGTAAAATCAGCATCGATACAAACATCAGAAGTGTCCAAGACGAAAGGCTCCAACTTACCGCCTTGATTCCAACTTCCTGCGCAATATCAGGCGCAGAATCCACATCGACCTTGTAGAACTCAATCTCATCTCCAGCTGACTCGGCGAGCTTCTCAAAAATGGGAGAGATCATACGACACGGGCCACACCATGTCGCCCAGAAGTCGAAGACGGTGTACTTGTCCTTATTAATCTACACGACGCACAAAAGGGCCGTCAGAGTCGAGATAGAGAGTATACATGGATAAAATATCAACATACAATCTCCTGGAATTGCTGAAGGGTCTCGACTGGAGTGACACCGCCCATTGTAAATATCTACTTGTGGAGCTGACGTGAAAAATCGGAAGTGGCTGTATGCGCTCACAAATACTGTAGGCGCGAAGAAAGGACGCGAAATGGAGATATCGTAGACGGTGGTAGATACTGAGACAGTACTAGTTAAGACCCAAGAGGGTGGGGACTGGTAACTAGCCGCTCAGCACTTGACCTGGTTTTATACCTGCTCGGCTGTGTTCGCTAGGATGACGCCTTCAGATGACATAATAAAATCCCCCATGCTTCTGACCAAGCCCGAAGCACAATGAGTTCGTGCCTCCACGTGACATAACTAAACTCAAATCACTTTGATACTTTCTCTCTCTCGATACTCTCAATAAGGTCTTGAGTCATTAAAGACGAAGGCATTGGTCCTTCGAGTCAGCAGGCAGTGTTAAGTAGTAAAAAAATTTCCATTTGATTTTCTATCACGAAACCCAGACAATCGTACGAAAGATCGGATGAAACAAAACGAAACAAAATATTTATACGTTTGCGAGTTAGCAGAAAACACGAATCATCGCATAAAAGCCAAATCAGAAGCAGGGTGAGAGTGGGGTATGAAAAGCAGATTGAAAGGGGAAAGAGCGCGTGAATGTGTTCGAGCCAAGATATTTTCATGCAGTGCAATTTATACAATGAAAGAGAGAAAAAATAAGAAAAATAAAATAAGTCCAAGATATGACAAACAGATAGATTAATCCAAGTCTTGTATGGATCTCCGAAGTTGTTGAACTCGTCCCTCTACGTTATCTAGCGCCTTATTCAGGTCGCTGAGTTCTGTCGACCATTCCGCCTCGCCGGATGGGACAACTCGAGAAATGAAGTCGCTCGGTTGCTTCGGGGATCGTTCTTCCGCAAGCGCAGCAACTATGCTCGCGACCCATTTCTTCTGCTCCTCGATCTTGATCATCTCCTTCCTTCGGCCAACCTCTTCTCGTTGACCGACCTTAAGGAACGTCCATATGTTGCTAAACACGAGCAGGACAATCAGGAAGTAAAGGATCGTTGTGATGGTCGACTGATCCCATGCATCGCTAACGAGGTCAAGCGCAACAATTGTCGATTGCTTCGCCACCTTGTATGCACCCATGACGGTGTCAAACGCCCATTGCGTCGCACGTTGATTTCGCTCGTGTTCGCGCTTTCTGTCCGCCTCTTCCTGCGTAAGCGGCACCTGGATGGCGGTCTCTTCGGTGTTGGCAGGGCCGACGGCTTCGATAGTGATAGGAGCTTCGGCCATCTCTTCCATACCCTCCGGAACGAACTCGTTCTTGTGTGCTGCGATGTATCTTCGCATGGACTTCTCAAGATCGGAGTGGTATTTCTTTTGACCGTCGACAGCAGAGCTGTTGATCATAGCTATTTCGAGTCGACCACAATTAGTTTCTCATACCTTGCAACTGGTGAAAGAGGCTAAACTTACCTCTGATAAAGCTTCGTCCATACCATTCCACATCAGTAGTTACAATGACTCTGGTCATCGCAACTCCGGCCCACATAATGCAAGTACGCGTCTTGACTGCGAAAGCGCTTCCGCTGGGCACGTCTAGTGTACGAGTCGTCGTCAAGGTAGTGATGTAATCATCAAAGTCACAGTGCAACGTTTCGTCGACAAGCTCGCATTTCGTTTGTTTCACGACGCCGTTAAGGGTTTTGACATACGTATACTTCCGCGAGAGAAGCTTTGTTTCGGGATCGAGCATCCAATCGGATATTTGTAAATCTGTAAATTTCGATTAAACAGTCAGAAATAGGACCGTATCACAATAGAAATATTGACAAACCTCTCAACCCTTGTTCGATCCCCATGAAATCTTTCATGTAACCACTCGCAAACATGAGGTTGTAGATCTTCTCCGGCGTGCCCGGGAACACCGCACTCATACACGTCTGAGAGAAGTGCTGGTTGTTCTTTCCGCACGCGCATATCGTCGTCTTGCCTCCGAGAGGGCTCACAAGCGAGGTTCCCGCAGTTGATGACCCACCCTCGTTCAACATGCCTGGGTCATCCAGAGAAACACGGGTGCTGATTTCGCCAGAACGAATCGACTCAGCATCAGGACGTGCTAGGCGCCAAATGTTGTGAATGACATCGTATGTTGTGTCGCGTGAGAGGAAAGAGGCGAAGGTATATTTCGCAGTACGCGTCGTGATCTGAATAGCGTTCGGGATGAATAGCGCAGTCATACGCTTCTCGATCGAAATTATTTCATAAACGGGTACGATCAACTGGAAGAGAACGTAAAAATCAGTCAGGGATCCCGAATAACAGATTATGAAAAAGGTCATACGTCAGTGATCCAACCAAAGATATTTGCGTGGAAGCATATATGGTTCTCAGATATGTACAAACGCCCTTGAATTAGGATTTCGCGTTGAAGGGCACAACCATAATCTGCGGAAAATCATGAGCATGCTGCGCGGAAAGGACCGGACGTGAAGCATACCTTCAATAAGATAGTCACCCTCCGGTACTGAGGGGAACATCTCGTGGAAGTCCGCATTACGCTTGTTGCTGGCGACAGCAAAGCCAGTCACAGGAATCTCATCATCGAGATCGTCCTCTGAGCCGGAGTCCAAGTCCGAGTAGAACTGGTCATTTTCCTCCGGGTTCGAAATAGAGCGCGCATGACTAGCATTTGAAGGACCGCGCGAACGAGTCGCAGAGTTCTGTGGCGGGCTGTTGGGTTGACTGCGCGGTGAAGGCTGCGGCGCGAATGATGCAAGGGACTGTGCAACACCGGGGTTCGCCATGGCAAGACCAGAGGCAGTTATCGCACTCGCCAGACCGGTCGGCTTGCGTTTCTTGCCTGAACCTGCGGAACCTCGCCTCCATGGCATCTTCTTGTTCGATGATACAGCTGATGAGACTGAGACAGCATCTGAGTCCCGTGCGCGAGGGTGCAACGAGGATGCTTGCGAGGTCGTGCTAGTCGACGGAGGCAGAATCTCACTGTCCGATGGAGCCGGGAAGCTCGCAGTCGTTGGGGTTGCGTCAGACGTGGGTGAATCAACAAGCGGTAGCGCTTTTGGTGAAGCCTCGATCTCCTGTACTCGGGGTACTGGGGGAACGTCACCCTGTGGCTGCTGTATCTTCTGACCCTTGAGTGATTTGAGAGATTTAGAGGATAACTTTCGCTTTACCACAGGTTCAACGCCATTTGTGGTACTGCTTTCCATGGGCATACCGGAGTGGTGGGAAGCAAGGGCCGGCTCGGGAAGCTGAGGAAGCTGACCGAGATCAATGCCGAGTCCCATAGACGGGTTCGCGGGTACTGCGCCTTCTGGGCTCGTTGTCTGAGGGAAGCTGACAATGTCTGGCAGATCTTTCGATTGGGAAGACGGCGTTAGCGTGACCGAGCGGGCGCGGCGCGATGACGAGTCTTCGCGATGAAGGCTGCCAGGAGTCGAAGGTGCAACGGGCGAGTCGCTGTTCTCTGTGGTGAGAACGACTGACGGCGGGAGTGCTTTACTGTCAATTGAGCTAGAGGCTGATCGCCCGCGAATATCTCCAATGTCGGAAATCGTCCGAGCACGGGGATGGCTGTCACCGTTTGCCTTTACGAATTTGGAGAGGAAGTTTGGTGCCATGATAGTTAGACTTAGGGAATGAGTTGATGCAGATTTTCATGCAAAAATCGAGCTGTATAAATAGGAAACGGATGTATTGTTCTCGTTGACGCTGTGCTGCTGGTGTAGGCGGTGTGTCCGTGACGATGTCCAGGCTTCTCACACCACACGCTAATCTCGACTCTTCCCGCACGTGGTTTTTTTGTTTCCTCGACAATTTCGGAGCCTTTTCTTATTCTTCTTTGCTATCTTCTCCTTCTTCCGTCAATAACATAGTAAGCTGAGACTGTCTTGCTTTCGCTATATTGCTATTATTACAACCTAAATTAATCAATACTATAAACACCGATTTTGAGACATACACTGCCTTATTAGACTTTTCTCAATTGTTAAAATATTTACTTCCGGTCTGGACTTGGTCCGGACCTGCCATGTTTTGGATCCACCACTCGACTTTCTGAGACACATCGAATGGCAGTATCTGTCAAAACTGTGTTCCAAGCACTTTATTGGCTGGATTGAATTTTTATTTGTTACAGTGCCTCAGCTAATGGAAGGCTTTGGCTCCAGCTCTGTCTCTTTGCGGTATCTTATTTTTGTGCACAAAAAATGGATGCCTCAACTACGCCATATTGTTTCAAAATAAAAAATGCAAAGCTAATCTCAACGGTGGCAAGCGTCAGATACTACTGGCATGGAATTTCTCTCGTTATGACTTATCCACTGTGCTTCTGCCGGATCCACAAACGATGACGTTTTGCGCACAGAAAATTCTTTTGATAACATAACATGTTCCAGGTCGTTCGAGACGTACATTAGATACACTTTTGTTTGGAACATCCAGATTCGGTGCTCATGTTATGATTACGTTATGTTGTCCGGCGTCGCTTGCTCTTTGTTGTCGACACAACTTCCAAATTGAATATGTCTAAGTACCAACTGTTGAAGTAAAGTGTTAGTACTGTTGAGGTATCCGTAATAGTGTTCTAGTGATCCTACTTTGAAATCAACTAAACCACTCTCTATCTTAATAATAGTGGCAAACTAATTCAAGACTTTATTTGCATTCTGCAAGCCGACGGCTCTAAATAAGATAAACGAGGAAAGTAGAATATATGTACATTGTAGTCCGAGATACATTGACCAGAAAATAGAGGGAAGTCGAATATATAGTAGCCTCAAGCAATATGCAAACTGCAGAGCTTAGACAGGCATCATATCCTCCGCCTCTTTCATTGTTAACGTGTTTCCTTCTGGGATCAGTTGGAGTTGAAGGGTCAGGTCGATGCTAAGTCCTCAGAAAAGGTGCTAATTCTAACTTCAGTATCGATAGTATCTCTATCATTCTGATCGAACTGCAATGTCTCAAGTCCTTCCAAGTTATCCTCGTCCAACTTGTTCCTTGCCGCTCTGCGGAGGGTAATAAGTAGTCGTTCCGCTAAGACTGCATGTGCAACGCGTTCAACACTAAGGCAAAAGGTCAATTACAAAGCCGTTACGATATGATATATTACCTTTCGTACCTTGCAAGAAGTGCTGCGAAGTCATGCTTCAATCACAGAGGGTAGGGTGCATACACCTCGTCGGCATGGTGGATCAAAGCAGATATTCAGATGACGCACCGAAAAACTCGCAACAACAATCACGTTTGCAACGAAAAGCCCTACACTACGAGTGTGAGCAAGATATCGGAATTATTGTTTGTTAGTTACTCACCGAATATGTAAACGTAAAAGATCGCACCTAAAGGCAATATCAGATCCAGTGGTAGAGGATATTTGGGATCATAAACGCACCGTTTGTGAAGATCGCATTAAACAGTGCTGAGTTTCGTAGTCTCTTGTCCTTGCATTCTTGATCTACAATTTAATTGATGAGTGATGCATGATGCTCCAACTACACAACAATGTAACCCACACAGTTGAATGCCCTTTAGCAATGTCATGCCGAGGATTCCTTAGATCAAAAGGAATATGAGCTCCTCCTTCCGAAGTTGTGATAGCACACACCAGCTTCGAAGACCATAAAAATGATCCATGACCCAGCAAGGAGAGAGTTGCCATTACTAACAAGGCAGCCAGGAACTCCTGCCGGTAATGGTGTGACTGAGAAAAAATAACATGACGAAAATTTTATGTAAGAGTCTATTTTGAAGGCACTGATGCTTACAGTGAGTGGAATTGAAGTAGACGGTAATGATTACGACATCGATGCCAAAGTTAATAACAGCCCATCTGAAGAGTACGATAGTTATGGTGCGGCTTCTCTCCCATATTGCCCATGTCCTGACGATCGGGATGACTGTAAGACAAATTTTATTCTAGATGGCAGCCTGCGTAGTCGAAAGACATACGTTCTGCAATGCAGATACCGGTGTTGGTGAGATCTGATGATACACTATTAGGACTACATTACATTTTATACCTCTGATGACAACTTACGCCCAATGGCTTTATATCTCGGTGACATTCATCAGGGTTCAGGCTCTTGAAATAGTCTATATAAAAGCTTGTTAATCACGCTCTAATGCATAGCATGATTGCTTACACGAGGTTGTCATCGACAGATCTACGATAGGAAAATAGCGAGTAATGAGGAACACGACCTTAATGAAAGACCACTCTGATTGCCATATCAATGTGCGTTCATCCTCAAATGTGAGCAGGTAATCGTAAATCTAAATGTCATATTTCAGTAAGCATTCCATTGATATTAAGCGGTACAAACTAATAAAGCGAAGGATGCGGCTAAAGAATGGCGTCAGATACGTGCAAGATATGTTCTCACCCGAAACCCTTACTATTAATATGCTACCGATAGAGGATTGAGGGAATGAAAGTGTGCTTTAACTGGACTTAAAAATGTACAGCTGCACGATAGCGGGATAGGCGATGCAAATTGCGTATTTCCCACCCCGGCAAAGCACACATACATATGTTTAATTAGCGAACTAAGAATGACTGCCGCCTGTGCTATACAGTTGAAAATATCTTATTGCATAACGTCGGGAGAGGCCTCAGACCTATGCAATATGAGCAATATGCATTATGGTAACCGTGCGAAAACATTATTTAATTAGGAACCCAACATTCGATATTACTTTTCAATTTATTTGAAGACATATACACTATGACAAGAAAATAAGCACATATTTAGAGCATCAAGAAAGACAACCAAGACAATGACAAGTACAGTAAATGTGTATATTACTGTAAAACTCAAGGAATAGTTTGTAATACAAGGAAATACAGTCAGAATCCGTAGAAACAAAAAGATAGAAAAAGCTAGTCAATACAAATAACTTTCCCCCACATATCATGAAGAGATCTTTGCTGCCCTATCTTGGCCTTGTGGCAGCATCAAAGACATTGTAAGCAATGAAATGTCAATCAGAAACATTCTTTTTGTATTGAAGTACGTCAGAGAACAATATGTGAGGCTTCTGGGTACAAAAATCACAACAGTAAGCAGTCTAATTTCCCAAAATGCTCAGAATTTTGCATAATTTTCTCACAAATCTTGATGCAATATGCAATAGACTATTTTTGTGCATAATTCCCTTATCCCAAGCTGGGATTAGGCAGAAAGCTATGCAATATTCAATTTATGCATTATAATGTGATGCAATAAGGTATTTTCAACTGTACTGCCTTTGGAACGAGCCTGAGAGGTTCAGACGACATAACCAACATAGCATGTGGTTCTTCTCGCTTCCCGCGATTCCCTCGAGCGTCACGCTGGTGTGCAGTTTTGGCGAAGCTGTTTCTCCTAACAGCCATCACAGGGAAGCCGATTTCAAAGCTAGCTTGATAAATATATATAAAGCTTGCTTGTATCCCGAACGAGGTACGATCCCTGTTGCCCATCCCTTGTTTAGCGGAATGGCAGCTTCCACTGAAGGTGCCCTCGAGCTAATAACTTCGATTAAGGGCCTCCAAATTTTGAAGCAGAAGACTGGCATCTGGAATCTCTGGTTAGACTACAAGAACGATGCACAGCGCCCGTCTGCTGTATGTTCCTTCTCAAGCTTAAGGTCCGTTTGTTTGGAGCAGAAAGGTGGGTACACTTGAACTGTGAATAACATCGAGCGTCATCGCTCTACTGCCAAACTCAGGATAGGTTAGTCCTGGGGCTTCGCACGCAAGAAAGGTGAATTTCCAGCGATGACATACGGAACATCCTGTCAGCCGACCTCAGCGTGGTGGCTGCGCGTCGCGGAAATTGTCACCCTTTAAATTCTCGCACCCACAACGTTCTGTCGGTGCAATTGAAGCAACATGCCCTTTACTTATCAATTTGTCATATCCACAGCATGATAAAATGATAAAAATTTTCTCTCACCAGCTTGCGCCAAGATAATAATGTCAGGCATACTGCACAGAAATAGGATAAAGGATAGTTCAGGGACCGAGTCGTGTGTAACAAATTCAAGTTGTACTAATTTGTACACCTAGTCATGTGCCACGTGATCAGAGCGCACACCTTATAATTATATAATCACTTTAGGGACCTTACTGGGAATATTCAATACATTATACATATACCTGATATGCCACCTTATTACTCCTTTCATACTCCTCCACGCTGGTTTACACACACATAAACCAACCAAATACACTGCACAAACTTTTTTTTTGTATCTTCCTTATACCTCTCTTTACTACCTTGTCTGAACCTTCAGAATGCTACTTGGTGGCTGGCCTGCTAAGTGTCTCGTCGTAAATAATCCTAAGTTCATCATTATTCTGCCAGTTGCTTATGTCCAAAGCTAGGTGTCTAAAAATGCTCATTCTATTGATATATCTATGCTAGTACGCTAGCCTTCATTCATGCATTCTTATTCAGTGTTATTACAGAATCGATCGATTTAATCTGCCTATCTTGTGTATTGATTAACTTTAAGATTTTAAGATTTTAATTTGAGACTTGCCAGGTGCTAGTTCGAAATAATAACATGAGGAAAGTGGCATACATGTACACCATATTCTAATACACTCTCTAGAGAAAATTAGAGAAGGCGGAATGTGTCAGCTATTTTAGGGGGCGTGCTATACTACAAAGTTAAATCAGACATTAAATTCACCACCACCTCCCATATTGTTCACAGGTTCCTTTCCCGAAGCTGTAGAAGCCGAATGGCCGAGGCAAGTCCAATTTCCAACAGAAGATGACATGAAACTGCTGGCACCAGCTTTGGTATCAATTGGTCCTATATGGCTTTCTTGAAATCGTAATGTCTCAAGTCTGGTCAGGTCTTCTTCGTCTGTGCCGTGCACTGCTGCTCTGCGAATAGCGATGAACAACCGTCCCGTTAAGAGTGCATGTGAAACCCGTTCAACACTGAGAGAATATTTCAATACTAATTCCGGTGAAAGGCGTTACGTTAACTTTCAGACCTTGCAAGGAGTTGAACGAATTCCCGCTTCAAATTTAGGAGCAGCGCACGCATTTCATCAACGTGGAGGATCAAATTGAAGATTCGGATGACCCACCGGTAAGCTCCGAACAACAATCACATTTCCGACAGAAATGGCTATGCCACGAGTGTGAACAAGATCTCAGCACCAGACTTTCCTAATCACTCACCAAATATATAAACATAGAAGATCGCACCTATAAACAATGTCAAGTGTATGCCATGTAACGACGAGAGAGATTTAACGTCACAAGCGTACCATTTGTGAAGACTGCATTAAAGAGTGCTGAATTTCGAAGTTGCTTGTCTTCGTATTCTTTATCTGAGAATTGATCGATGAGCCGTTTACGACGCATCACCTACATAACAGGCGGGAATTTACACAATTGTACGCCTTTCAGCACCGTTATTCCCAGGATTCCTTGGATCAAAAGAAACATAAGCCACTTACTTCAAATAGGATGTGAGAGCACAAACCGGATTCGAATACTACAAGAATGGACCATGATCCAACAATGAAAGAATTGGCATTGCTTACGAGACAGCCTGGAACACCCGCTGGTAATGATGTGACTAAGAAGAATAGTGTGATGACAAGTAGCAAACTTGACGACAACAATGCTCACACTGAGCGGAATTAAAGTAAAGGGTAACGAGCACAGCACTGATACCCAGGTTGATTGCACTCCATATGAAGAGTAAGATCGTTATGGTTCGGCTTTTCCCCCATATTGCCCATGTTCGGAGAACAGGGATAACTGTGAAATAGTTTATTCGGAGAGATTGATTGCTGCAATTAGAATGCATACGTTCTGTAAAACAGATCCCAAAGTACAGGAGCACTGGAGATGCGTTAGCAAGTCTGCATCGAGTTTGTAGCTCCACTAATGACTTACTCCCACCAGCTTTATATATCCGTAAACATTCGTCAGGTGTCGCGCTCTTGAAGTGGACTATAGCGAGACGTTGTTGATTATGATTCTAGTGCATACCATATTCACTTACACGCAGTAACTATTGACAGGTCTATGACGGGACCATAACGAGTGATGAGGAACACCGCTTTGGGGAAGGACCACTTTGACTGCCATATCAGTTTGAGCTCATCTTCTAACGTGAGCAGGTAATCGTAAAACTAGGTGTTACATATCAGTCCAAATTGCATTGGTACAACGCAGCACAAACCAGTAAAGCAAAGCATGCGGCTGAAAAGGGGCATCAGCAATGTGCCAGAGATGGTCTGAAACGAAGCTCCTACTGTCAATATGCTATTAAATTAAGATTTAGAGGGAGATGGTGCCGTCAAACTAAAATAAACGACTTACAGCTGAAATAGTGATGCCCTTAATTGAGTTTACCAGTTCGAGGGCATCCTTGGCGGAAGTGGCCATCCCAGTACTGCGTCTGAGGAGGGGCTCTGGGCCGCAAATACTAGACGGACCTTGGTTGTCTGCACATGCAAGCTATTTAAATGGCTGCATAAAGGCTCCGAATTCGGCTTCCCTGCGATGGCTACCGGGCAGAACAGCCTCGCCGAACTGTGCAAAGGGTGTGACCCCTAAAGAAATCACGGGAAGCGAGCAGGAACATATTCATTTTGGTTATGGCCTCTGTATCCTTGGGGCCGATTATACAGCCAGAAGATCACAGATCATGATACAGTAATTCCTAGTTCACTAATCAGCATATATGCTGTGCAGAGAGTGGAAGACACAAATTTAAAATTCCATTGCATTCTCTTAAAAAATTTTTTTTTTTTGCATCGTGTGAATCGGAGGTTTGGAAATTGCGCCTCCCCCTGTTTTCGATAGACTAGACAGTGCATCTAGCGCTCTTATCTGACGTGCCGATCCGTCTGAGAAGAGCTGCAAGGCATGTGCACATGGATTATGAATTAGAGTTTAGACCATGTCAAGTAGTACTTAGCCACAAACAAATTCTCAAAGTTGCTGCACATACAGAAAATCCTATCACCCGATGGCTCTTTACAATAACCCGCTTTCCAACCACTTTGTACGAGAAACAGATGCATTAACTAAGTTGTATTGACGACAAAACTTCTTTCGTTATGATTCACCCGAAAGGGTCATGTCAGTTCGAAGATATGCCTTACTACTAGTTACTAGCACCTCTCTCAATGACAGCGTTCCGTATTGCACAAGACATCAGTATTATACACTTTCAGCAGTGCTTATTTACTGTTTACGCCGTGTTATGTTATCTATGTAAGGCTGATATCAGCAGACTCAGATCTTCTGGGAAAGAAAGACTAAACGTCTTTGTCCTCAGTCGTTAATAAGTTGCCAGTTGATTATGTCAGAAGATTAACTATAAAAAGCTGCTAAAATACCGCCGATATATGTGATAGGGCCTTAGTAACAAATCATTCAATTTCATTGTGGAATCAACCAAGTCAAACCCCATATCTGGTTGATGAATAGATTCCAAGACTTCATTATTCTTCAAGTCAAGTTTGCAAATGGAAGCTCCAGATACTACCATGAAGAAAGTGGAAAGTATGTACACTATAGTCAAACATACATTGCACAAGAAAATCGGAGGAGGTCGAATGCGACAATATTTACAGCCAGCTACTTGAGGGAATATGCTATACTGCAAAACCAAGTCAAGCATCACATCTACTACTTCTTTCATTTTTAACGGGCCCCTTTCAAGTAGCGGTTGAAGTTGAAGGTCCGGGAGAAGTCTGGTTTCCGGCTAAAGATGATACGGTAGCCCTAGTCTCAGCTTCAGTATCGATAAGCCTTCCTTGGCTTTGTTCGAACCGCATTGTATCGAGTTTGGTCAGGTCTTCTTCCTCTGGCTCGGGCCTTGCCGCTTTACAAAGGGTAATAACTAGCCGCTCCATTAGGACTGCATGCGCAACGCGTTCGACACTAGTACAATAAGTCAATCTCCGAACTTGCGCTACAGCCCGGTATTTTGCTTTTCAAACCTTGCAAGTAATCCTACATAGTCACGCTTCGAGATCAAAAGGCAGAACATACAAGTCGTCAACCTAGAGTATTAAAGCTAATATCCGGATGACGTACTGGAAAACTCGTGATAATAATCACATTTGCGACAGAGAGCGCTGAACCAAGAGTGTAAGAAGCAGTTTGGAAATAATTCTCCCTGCTTGCCCACCAAATACATAAACGTAAAAGATTGCACCTATAAGCAAAGTCAGGTGCATTAATGAGTGAATCCATTTTCTAAACGCACCGTTCGTGAAGAATGCCTTGAACAGTGCCGAATTTCGGAGTTGCTTGTTTTCGTATTCTCGATCTACGAACTGATCGATGAGCTATTCCCTATGAAGCAATTGCAAAGCAAGGAAACCTACACAATTGAATGCCCTTCAGCGCTGTCATGCCCAGAATTCCTGAGATCGAAAATATTTTGAGCTGATCGCTTCAGTTCAGTTGTGGCAACATATACCAGCTTCAAATACCATAAGAATGATCCATGCCCCGACAAGGAGAGAACTGTCATTGTCAAGGAGACAGCCAGGAACTCCTCTTGGTAACGGTGTGACTAAAGGAAACAAAATGATGATATTTCAAAGCATCAATCCCGAAGGCGTTAATACTCACGCCGAGCGGCGTTAAAGTGAACGGTAATAATCACGACATCGACGCCAAGGTTAATAGTAGCCCATATAAAGAGTACGATGGTTATGGTTCGGCTTCTCTCCCATATTGCCCATGTCCGGATGATTGGGATGACTATAAGATAAAACTGAGTCGACATGGCGGCCTGTGCATTCGAAACGCATACGTTCTGCAATACAAATACCAGCATTGATGAGATCTGAAGATACGTTATTAGGACTGTGGTACATTGTGTATCTCTGATGGCGACTTACGCCCCATGGCTTTATATTTCCGGTAACATTCATCAGGAGTCAAGCTCTTGAAATAGTCTATAGCAGAAGTTAATACGGCCCTAATGCATGTCATGTTTGCTTACATGAGATTGTCATTGACAGATCTATGACGGGAAAATAGCGAGTAATGAGGAATACGACTTTTGGGAAAGACCATTCTGATTGCCATATCAATGTGCGTTCATCCTCAAACGTGAGCAGGTAATCGTAAATCTAAATGTCATATTTCAGCACGTATTCCATTGATATTACGCGGTACAAACTAATAAACCGAAGCATGCGACTGAAGAAAAGCATCAGCCGTGACGCATTTTTTTTCTTACCCAAAGGTCTTACTGTTGATATGCTACCGATAGAAGATTAAGAGAATGAGGGCGTATTTAAAATAAAATACGAAACGTACAGTTGAAATTTGGAGGCCCTTAATCGAATCTATTAGCTCGAGAGCATCTTCGGTAGAAGCAACCATTCCACTGTTCATGGGATAGCCGACAGGGGTCGTACCTCGCTCGGAATGCAAGCATGCTATATAAATGCTTACCTTGCTGGCTTCGAAGTCCGCTTCCCTGTGATGGCTACTAGGAGAAACAGCTTCGCCAGAACTGTCCACAGTGGCGTGGTGTTCGGGGCAATCGCGGGAAGCGAGAAGAACCAAGTGGATTAGCTCTATCCTCTCAATCTCCCGTTCGGGTTCCACAGACAGCAGTCACCGACCGAAGTTGTCCTTAGATTGTTACTTAAACATATACTCTTCGCAGAGAGTGGGAGATGCTTATATTGCAACACCTTTTCACAATTGCCTGTATCGGAGAATCAGCCATTAGCGCGTCCAGAATCCTCGCAGATTAGATCAATGCATAGTGCTCGTCCACTGTAGGTGCTTTTCCAAGATCCGTCTGAGAGAACCACCAGGTGGGTACACTTGAATTGTGGATCAAATCAAGCACCATTGCTTTACTATCAAAAGTCAAGATAAGATGGTCTTGAAGCTCCAGACGCATGAAGGTGGATTTCCAGCGATGACATCTGCGCATCGTGTCAGCCGAAATCGACGGAGTGGCTGCGCATCGTAGGAGTTTGTCACCATGCTGGCCATCCACAACATTCTGAAGCAACCTGCTTCCCGCTTGTCAACTTGGTCATGTCCACAGCATGATGAAATGATAAAATTTACTCTCACCAATATGCTCCAAGATCGCTTTATTAGTCATATCTTACACAAATAGGATCGATAGGACACAGGAAATAGTTGATTCCCATATTTGTAAGATGTAACAATTGTACGACGGCAAATTCCAACCTTGACAGTTGACTTTCGTTGTTTTTCGTCTCCCGTCGAGTCCCGAGTCCCGACCAAGCCATGCACCACGTGATCTGAGAGATAGACTGCTAGTCTGCTACTACTGAAACCGCTATGCTATCCTTCTTCTTTCCTCATATGTTCTTTACGCTCGTTTACTCAGAAATCAACCAAATACACAGTACAGACGTTGTATCTTATCCTTCTGGCCGCTCCCATCATCTATACCATTCTTTACATTTTGCTTAAATACTACGGAATGCTACTCGGAGTGCGACTTCTCTCATTGTAAATAATATTAGTACGAAGATCTAGTTTCGTTCGTGGTCAGCTTCTCTTATTGATGGCGAAGCTTCTTTCGTTATAATCAAAGTGGTAATGTCAACTCGAAGATGTAGTACTTCTGCTACAATACAATAATGGAATGTCGCTCTTTCTTTTCTTAACAGTGTTCCGTGTTGATTGAAGCATCGATATTACACACTCTCGTTTGGAGCAGCTTTCGTTCAGTGATCGCATTGTGTCCTGTCATTTATTGGTGGCTAATGCCAGCGAATTCATCTAGGCAATGATATAGGATGTCTTTAAACCCATGATCACCAATAGTCTGCTGGTTGCTTATGTCCAAAACTAAATGTCAAGGGACGTACTCGGATTAATGACATATTCACATTAACCGGCCAGCATTTATCCGATTGATTTCATTATAAATCTTCCAAGCCAACTCTTCTATCTAGTCAGTAAAACGATTTCAGGACTTGATTGAATTTAAGCAGAGTTTTGCAAAGTGGACGCTCTTAATAGCAACACGAGGAGAGTAAAGTACAAGTACATTGTAGCCTAATATACATTGCCTGCTGAAAATGGGAAAGGTAGTATGCTCCAACTACTCGGTGGTTATTTGCAGACAGCTATTACAAGGGATGTGCTGCACGGCAAAATCAAGTCAAGCATCAGATCTATCAGCACTCTCTTTCTTTACGCGTTCCTTTCCAGAAGCCGCGGAAGTTAAAGGACCGGACAAATTCAATTTCCGGCAGAAGACGACAATAAAGTGCCTGTTGTAACTTCAGTTTCGATAGGTCCTCTTTGGCCTCGTTCAAAGCGTATTGTATCAAGTTTGGTCAGGTATTGCTCGTCCAGCCCGGGTCTTGCTGCTTTACAGAGGGTAAATACTAGTCGCTCCATCAGTACCGCATGTGCAACCCGTTCAACACTAAGGCAATAGATTAGTCTTCATTCTGTTACGCGATGATAGCCTGCCTTTCAAACCTTGCAAGTAATCCTGCAAAATTACGCTTAAACAGCGAAAGATGGTGCATACATCTCGTCAACTTGGAACATCGGGCTCGACATCCGAATGACGCACCGGAAAAGTCGTGATAACAATCACATTTGCGACGGAGAGTGCTAAACAGATATTGTAAGGAAGAGCTTGAAAGTGACGCTTCCCAATTGCTCACCGAATATATAAACGTAAAAGATCACACCTATAAGTAGTGTCAGGTGTACCGCCAAGAGAACGTTTAACATCCCAAACTCACCGTTTGCGAAGAACGCCTTAAATAGTACTGAATTTCGAAGTTGCTTGTCTTCGTATTCTCGATCTGCGAAACCCTTGATAAGCTACTTATCGCGAGCCGATTACCTAGCGTAGGGACATACACAACTGAATGCCCTTCAGTACTGGATCCCTTGCATCGAAAGCCACATGAGCTACTCGCTTTAGATATGTTGCGAGAGCACAGACCAGCTTCAAAAATCATAAGAATGGTCCATGCTCCGACAAGGAGAGAATTGCCACTGCTAACGAGGCAGCCAGGAACACCCGGCGGTAGTGGCGCGACTAAGAGAAGTATCGCGGCAACAATTCTAACAATCAGACTCGAAGGCATTGCTATTTACACCGTTACTTACACTGAGCGGCATTAAAGTAGAGAGTAATGAATACAATATCGATACCAACGTTAATAGCAGCCCATATGAAGAGTATGATGGTTATGGTTCGGCTTTTCTCCCATATTGCCCATGTCCGGACGATCGGGATGACTGCAAGATAAGGTTTACTCAAGGTAGCCACTTACTGCATACGAAATACCTACGTTCTGCAATGGCAATTCCGGTGTTAATGAGATCTGGAGATACGTTATCAGGACTGTGTCATATTCTGTACCTCTGATGCCAACTTACGCCCGCCCGCTTTATATCTTCGGTAACATTCATCAAGAGTGAAGATTCCGAAGTGGTCTATGGGGAGAAGATATTAACTATGGTTCCAGCACATACCATGTTCGCTTACACATGGTAGTCATTGACAAGTCTATGGCGGGAAAATAGCGAGTAATGAGGAACACAATTTTGGCGAAAGACCACTCCGATTGCCATATCAATGTGCGTTCATCCTCAAACGTGAGCAAATAATCGTAAATCTAAATATGATATTTCAGTACGTATTTTATTGATACGAAGCAGCACAAACCAATAAAGCAAAGCATGCAGCTGAAGCAAGACATCAGCTATGTGCAGAATTTATTATCACCCAAAGCCCTTACTGTCGATATGCTAATAGAAGAAGTTTCAAGGGGAAAAGGCATATTTATAATGAATTAAGCAACGTACAGCTGAAATCTGAAGGCTGTTTATCGAATCTATCAGCTCGAGGGCATCCTTGGTAGAAGCGGCCATTGCAAAGGGAGGGATTGCCGGAAAGCGGTCATACTTCGATCTGGGCACAGGCAGACCATTATAAATGCCTTCCTTACCAGCTTCAAGCTCGACTTCCCTGCGATGGCTGCTAAAACAGCTTCGGCAAAATTGTGCACAAGGCGCGACGCTTGAAAGAAACACGGCAAGCCAGAAGAACCAAATGTCATGTCAGTTATGGCGTCTGAACCTTTCCGGCGGATTTCACAGATAGCAGGTCACAGGTTATAACCATCCTTAGCTCGTCCGTCAGAGACATATGCTGTGTGGGGATGGAAGATGCGCGAATAGCATTGCCGTTTCGCTGTCGTGTGAATCGGATAATTAGCAATAAGCGCGTCTAGAAGCAGCGCTAGACTAGAACAATGTACAGCGCTCGTCTGCTGTAAATTATTTTTCAAGATCCGTTCATAAAGAACTGCGAGACAGGTGCGCTTGTATTGGGATCATATCGCGCGTCATCGCTTTACTGCCGAAGTCAAGACAGCCCAACTTTGAGGCTTCACCCGCAAGAAAGGTAAATTTCCAGCAAGGAATGCGGGGAACTCCGTCAGCTGAGCTCGGCAGAGTGGCTACGTATCGCAGAATTTGGGCACTTTTTAACTAAGATTTCTGCCACCAAGATGTCCTGTCAGTTTAAGAGAAGCAACATGTTTCGCACTTGTCGCTAAGGTCAAGCCCACGGCACGTTGAAACATCAAAGTTAACCCTCACCAATGTGCTTCAGGATCACTATGCTAAACTATATCGCACGCGACTATGTAGGATCAAGGTTGCAGAGAAATGTTCGCGTTCCACACATGAGCAAGTTCTAACCTGAATTTTTAATTCATTTTCAGCAAGCTAAGCACCACGTGATCTAAACGCGTCGCATTTTTTGAGTCGAATGAATTGAAACTGCCATGCCACCAGATCCCTTCATATCCTGCACACTCGTTTACTCACAAAACAGTCAGATAAGCAGCACAAATATTATATCTTATACTTGTTTATTCGCACCCTCCATACATACCACTCTTTACTACTTCACCTGAATCTCGCATAATGCTGCTTGGTCTGCTAGGTCTTTTGATGCACATAATTCTCGCAGGTCATCTTGTGGCCACGGCAGCACTCCCAACAGACCCACCCACTTTCCAGCACCTTATATCCACCTATGGCTTATCTTCCCTGACCATGAAATCGCCTGCAGCTTCTAGCCAGGGCTCTGGAACGCAAGGAGTGGCACAACAACAATCGCAATTAGCACATAACTATGCTTTCGACCCCTTTGGCTTTTTTGGAAGTTCGGAGGGCCGAGAAAGTAACGGAGGCGGTAATCAGCAAGCGAAGCAGACATCAACAAGCAAGGGATCCGAGACAACGTCTAGCAGTGCTTCAAACTCGAAATCAAGCTCGCCTAGTAGTGCAAGCTCTTCCCCGAATACCGGTTCAACAGCCAAGATGGAGATTTCCGCTGCGTCGATGAATACTAATACTCAGGGATTTTCTTCCAACACACAAAATGCAGCAACTCCTACGAGCAGTAGTCCCGTCGCTAGTCCTTCGTACACCAAGAAGAGTGATGCTGCATCAGGGTCAAGTATGAACTCGTGGAAAGTTATTGGTATCGGTGTACTCGCTTTTGCTGGTATTGTTATGCTCGTGCTTGGGACTGCCTTCCAGGATAGTATCGTCCATGCCATCTGCAGCCCCTTTCGACACAGTAAAGCAGGCAGTGAAGAAGTCCTTGTACCCGATTGGCGAAGAGGAAGCTGGAACTATGGAGCAGATCAATCAAATACAGAAAAAGGTCTCAGCAATGAAGACGGACCACGGATAGTTGAAAGCGAGAGAGGAAAGTTAGCGTTCCCGCTTCCACCTCTATCGCCGTTTCCGCTACGCCGTACTCCGAGCGCAAATACTCGCGCTCCTGCTCCTTTTGCACCAGGGTTAGCTGGAGTGGGAGCCGGCACCGCTTGTAAAACGAACGTAGACGGTAAAGACTCTTCGATTATCCCGTCACCTCCGCCCGTGGTACACACGCCTCCTCTAACTCGGCAAAACCGTACGAGCGTAAACACGAAACGATTCTCAAGTCCAAAACGGCGTCCTTACTCAGAAGCATACGGCGGGATGGAGTAACACCAATTTCATCCTTAGGTTGTTCAGACGCCAATTTGAAGTATTGTACAATGACCAAATTCGCACTGGTATACACAGCCAACTATATTGTTAGCACTGAAAGTCTTTAATTAGCATATGTAGCAATAATTTACTTGTAACATGTACATTACTACTCACTTCAGGACTTCGGCCCTGGCTTCTTGACAGAGTCACCCTGAGCAGGAACCTTCTCTTCCAGTTTGTCGGATATGTAAAGACCAGCCAGAGCAGTACCGAAGAGGATGCAGGAAAGGACAAGACGCTGTCTACGTGGTATGGCTACAAAGCACCATGAGTCCGAATGAAACGAAGTTCAATTTATCTACAACCGTACCAAGCCATGACTGAGCGAAGGTGCGTTGAGCCGGTGAGCCTGCTGGCTTGTGCGACAAATCTGGACTTAAATTTGCTTCAACAGCTTTCTTGACGTGGTCCTTAGGTGTGCTCATGGTTGTAGGAATCAGACAGAAGAAATAACAAGGTACGCGTCGAGGGAACCGACACGTGTTCCTGCCAACTCAGTCCTGCGCGTCGGCTGCCGTCGACTCTGACCTCCACCTTCTATGCTGAACGCTTAGAAGCAAGACGACGTTCACTTTCCTTCTTCAACAATGTCGATGTCAAGGAAGGGTGACATTGGAGCATCTGGCGCAAAGGGCGCTCTATCTGCTGCTGCCAAGTTGCGCGAACAAGGTGTGTCGGACGCTGCGGAAGCGAGAGTGTAGATTGTGTACTGACGTTTAACGTACTGTATTGATAAAGTTGCGCTGGACGCGACGGTGCAAAATGATCCAAAGTACAAGAAATATGCGCAGCAGGTTGAGAAATGTCTTGCCAGCTTTGAGACGATGCATGAATGGCCGGATTTCATTGCGTTCCTGAAACAGTTGCTTAAGGCATGTATAGCTTTCGAACAATGATTGACTGTACAATGCTTATAAATTTATGTTCCAGACGCTTCAATCATATACGCAGTTTAAGGAGATACCCCGTAAACTCATCGTATCGAAACGCCTTTCGCAGTGTTTGATTCCGGCTCTGCCATCTGGAGTGCATCAACGCGCACTAGATGTTTACTCTCATATCCTTTCAGTGCTTGGTGTACGCATTACCTTTACAATAGAAAAAACTACATTCTAACTATGGCATTGTATAGCCGGATGGACTGAAGCGAGATCTTCCACTGTGGTCGTCTGGCCTATTCCCATTCTTTGAATATGCCGCAACAAATGTCAAGCCAGTACTTCTTGGTCTATTTGAAAAGTATTACGTGCCTTTGCAAGCCGAGCTTCGCCCAATCATGCGCGCATTTATCCTTGCGCTCCTTCCAGGCTTAGAGGAAGAGACAAGTGAATCGTTTGAACAAGTACGTATTTATCTGGTAAATTGAGACGTCGTATCTGAAGTGCTGTTTAACGATAATACCCAGGTCATGGACTTGCTTGATCAATTATCCAAGGCAGTATCACCTGCTTTCTTTTTACAGAATATCTGGCTTGTTATGTTGACGACACAAGTCCCGCGTGCATATTGTCTGACATACCTCTCACGTCGGCTTCCACGATTAGACGCGAATAAAGGTAGGCTGATTTACGTTCGTCGTTCTGATATGGATCGCCTTAATCATTCGTAAAGATATTGCACCCATTGTCGGACGCGATATCGGACTTATGTTACGAGCATTCGCCGCCGCACTAGGTGACGACAACTTACTAGTTCAGCGTGGTGCCCTCGACTTGCTTCTGACGTCACTGAGGCTGGAAGGCGCAGCACTAACAGCTGCTTCGGCTGCCGACCGATCCCTATTGATGCGTGCCGCGACTGGGGTGGTGTTGCGACGTGATCTCTCACTCAACCGCCGGCTCTTCGCGTGGCTCCTTGGACCAGACGAGAACGCCGAAAAGCAGGCTGAATATTTCCAAGCGTATGCTCGCTCGCTGCTTGTGGATACATTGCGTGATGAGATGTTCCATCCTTCCTCAGAGTATTCTATCACGCGGCCCTTCAAGATATATATCTCATTACTTGACAAGTGGGAGATTGGTTCTCCACTTACAGAGGTCTTGATATATGACGTTCTGAAGTCGATTAAGAGCTCTGTACAGAATAGTACAGATGGTGGGGAAGAAGTACGTACCTGTTTCCGGAATTGATAGTCTTTGACCCATTGCTCTTCAGATACTTGTAACAGCAAATACCTTGTATGAGGCCGTTGAGCCTCGCGCAATATGGAAGCAGCTGTTTAAAGCAGTCCGAAACGAAGTGTTGAACACGACGTCTGAAACGGAGGTAATACTGTGTTGTATACAATAATGAATGTGGTATTGACAACAATACACAGTGCATTGGGATGCTGCTCTTTGTCCTGAAAACATTCCGTATGGAGGATGACGAAGTACAGAAGTTACACCTTCCGCTTGTCTTTTGTGCACTCATGGAGAAGCTTGAGGCGAGAAATTTAAAAGCTTGCAATAGATGGAGATACTGATATATTCTTTCTAAAGCAACTTGCAAGGAAAGACCCGCATCGAGTGACGTCTACTACTTTCAGAGCTGCTATGGGTTTGCTTGAAGAGGTCGCAGAACACACCCCTGTATCAGGAATGACTAGTCCATTGCATCTCCCTGACTTCGCTTTTGGCGGAAGTTTCGATGACGCAGCGTGCGCTTTCTACGGCGTCGCGTCAAAGGAATCTACTGAGAATGTCACCGGAGAATCCGAAGGCGGTGCAGACTCGAGCCCAGTTACAGCCAAGGCTCGCCGACTTTCATCCGCCGTACCTTTTGTTGCGTCCTTCGAACATCTTTCTGAGCTGACGTCAACTTGTGTCCATACAAGCACTGTAAATGGATCAAGTGGGGAAGAAAAGCATTCAGGGCCTCGTTCAGATGCGTTGCATCTAGCCTTCGTACAAGGTGTCTCTCTGCTGCTGAAATTGATCACCTCGCTAGACGAAACAGCACACACCTCGGGTGCCTTCCCGCTAGCACTAACATGGGATGCTGAGCAATGGCTCGACTGTATATCCAGACCCCTCAGTTTGCCAGTAAGTTCAGTAAATATTCGTACTGGCAGAATAAATGAATTAATTTTATTCGGAAGAGCTGTTCTTTCCAAGGCGCAGACAAAGTCGTTTCTCTTGCAATCCGTCTACATTCGACGCCCGTTCTAGAACCGACTCCGTCTCTCGATGATCGGCAAAGGTTAATAGCAATGATGCACGCAGTAAGTCACTATCTTGATGTATTGTGTTTGATTGTATATGCGCGTAACAGCTAAGGAACCTTGAATAATATTCTAGCTTATGACCTACTTGCGACCCGAAACGACCCCATATCACGTTCGTGCCATTCGACTGATTTGGGAGCTGGAGCACGCGACGACGCACCAGCACCTTGAGTCAATTATTGCACGTTCGCTGGTGGCGGACAGCCCCAAAGATGGTTATAACGCATATGGAGCATTTGGTGTGCTCTGGAGATTGTCTGGTAAGTATTACGTGAACCTATCGCGTAACCGAACTGAGCCATTTTCTTGAACGTTAGACGACAACCAACAACCTGGCATACACTTCAAGATCCCAATGCTTATCGTGCTGGATAGCCTGAAGAGCGACGATCCTGTCTTGCACCGTATCGGCGAAACATGGATGCGATGCAATCTGAAGTCCTATCCGCGGTAGGTTCATATTTGTTTACTAGATCATATACTGAATGACTTGCTCAGTGTGTTGGATCCTATCCTGATTGAGCTACTAGACCCAGCGATCCAGCAGAGCGCAAACCTGATAATAGTTGGTGGACGGGAGATCCGAGGCTTTGTTTACGACAAGGCTTTTGATCAACATCGTGTCGCTTACCTGCTTGATGTGCTCTTGCAAATCGCTAGATATGGAGGCCAAAATTTCAACAGGATAATCTCGTCCACTTACGTGTCTCGTACATCATGTCCTCAACTACTTGAAGAGATTTCAAGCCGTGAGTAATTGCTTAATTCTCCATTGATTCTGCTTGCAGACTATCAGACGCACGCATTAGGCGGTCTTAATCCCGCAAATGTGACGTATTCCGCTGTGCTAATGGAAATGTTGATCCGGTACGTAGAATTTGTGCTGAAGAGGATGCTGCTGCCACTCTAACCGTACCCCAGCTTCTTGCAGACTGAACCGAAGACGTCATTGTTGAAGTCGATGCAGCGGATGAATACCGAAATTCACTCCGTAGTCATTGATCTTTTACAATGCGTAATTTCTCGCGGTGATCTTGATCAACCCACGGTTGACACGCTGGAGTCAGCAATAACAGCTAAACTATTTGCATTTGTCCACTTCGAGCACCTGGAGTTGCAAAACAAACTGCTACATCTGTTGCACTCTGTCATCTCTCTATCGGCCGCGGCGACGGACAAGCAACGAACGAAGAGTCCGGCCATGGCGTTGCGGGATCTTACTGATCCTATATCGGCTGATGGTGATGCAGTGGCACAACCGCCAGCAGGTTCCGTCTCTACCAATGCCCTCTTCGTACAAATGCTTGTCGATGGTGTCTCCACTCCTAGTAACCGACCTTTGCTTCATCACTGGCTTGATTTCGTTCTGTTGACTGTCCCCCAATTCCCACACATTCTTGCTCCCGCTATCTTTCCGCTGAATGCCTGTGCATGTCGACAAGTTCGAAGAGCACTAAGCGAGTTCGGATCTGTCCTTTCTATGTCTCAAGCACCTTCAAAAGAAGTTGTATCTTGTGTGGATGATGCAGAATTCGTCATGCTTCTAAATGCATTGGAGAGGCTCATTCTTCTCAGTTTGGACGAAATGGACTCTAGTATAACAGAAGAAGCAAATTTACCTGATAAGCCGACGTCAGACGGCACTGGGTTGTTTAGTATGGTCTCGAACGTATTCTTAGCGGATTCGCCGAATACGGCGGTTGAGACTAACATGACAGTACGTGCAGAATATCGTGTTCGCTAGATCCTGTGCTGAATTGATTCCTAAGGCTCGTTCCCTGGCTTACCGCGCCCTTCACGAAGGTGTCAGAGTGCTTTACGAGACCTGGAATCTTGTGTCGGACGCTGTGTCCGCAACTCACCCCGCGGTTGAAACGCTTGTCCACTTATTTGCGAGGACATCAAATCGATGCCGGAAAGTTCTGGAAAGGCTGTATCGGGCACACGCATTTGAGGTTATAGAGTCGGTGATCGAGTGTTGGCATATTGATCAGGTATGTTCGACCTTATTATGACACCGGATTTATACCAATGCTTTATTTTCAAGGACAAGGACAAGCTTGGCCAAGTCGCTTTCGACATTGTCGATTTCTTAACGGCGAGCGCACAAAATGTTGTTCACATTGTATGTGAGAGCATTTCATGGCGAATAAACCCGACGGCGGGAGAACGCACCAGGAAACAAGTGCTGAACCCTGAACTGTATGTGTCCTTTATTTATCTTCATGAAAGGTTTTCTGACGGGTTTTTGCGTTAGGACGGATGCCTTGCTGTTCACGTTCCTCGAAGAGTATCTATCGAAATTAGAGAACCCATTAGCTCTTCAAGTCTGGCCGCGATATCTGTCCTTGGCGAAAGATGTTGCGGCTAATGTGAAGGAATTCCGATCTCAGGTGTTCCCTGTCCTTCGGTAATGTCTGACCTCGTCGTCAACACTGCAAGTCGCTTATAAATGATTGTAGATGCATGACAGTACTGGCCTTAAAGATAACCCAGACGACTGCAATTGAAGATCGTAGGACAAAGAAAGATATTCAGGTTTGCATAATCATCTTTGAGGTATCTCAAGGAATTCACTGTTCAAATCTAGGACACGTATGGGAAATTACTCGACGCATGCGTTCTTTTGTCGGGGAAATCTCTTGATCAAGGTATCTGGCCAAGGAGGACAAAGGAAAACCTGTCTTCTATTAATGGCAGCGGTGTACCACTCTCTCGTAGTAAGCCTTACTGTGTATTAATGGAAACCAGTCGTAATGAATCGACAATGTAGCACAATCCGAGACGAATCTGGCTGAAAAGCACAACGCTCCACCCTCTTCAGACGAATCGGCACAGAAGTCACCAGTTCTAGACTTGACTGATCGCGTAAGTACAATACTAGTCAATGTCACTTCCGTATCTGATATTGACCGTCCTCTTACAGATAAACCAGTACTTAGCAGTCGACGTATTACCGAACCTCCGTCGTTTCCTCATTGAAAATGACAAAATCCTTGCGGCGTGCAACAATATCGTATATTACGTCCTAAACCCTGTGCTGAGGAGTCGTTCAAGGTAGACTGATTCATTGCCTATTTATTTTCCTGCGACTCATGAAGGAGCGCAGCAGGATAGCAGATATCGATGACATCTATATCACCATAATAGAGCAGATGTCCAAGATCCCTGCAGCCGTGAAGTCATGGCGCAGCCCGGCTGTTGACATCTTTAATGACAACAAATTCTTCTCAGTGGCGCCGCCCTCAGGTCTGAAGTGGCGAACTATTGTGAAGACGTTGATTGATGCAGACAAAGCTGCCTTTGGTGAACTACTGGGTAAGGACATTTTCTGTATTTCGAAGAATGTCTTGTTAAGTACAGTTCTTTAACACAGGCAAAATTACTTCTACATCGTCAGCAAATATCTTCACCAATAGGGAATATGAGATGCAGATGAAGGCACAGAATATCCGAAGGCTGTCCTTCGTCCTTTTCGCTTCCGAAAAGAACCATTTCCTCACGCAATTGCCTGCCGTGCAAGAAAAATTGGTTGATCTTCTGCGCAGCAGTGGTGCACCTGTCGTAGAAAGCGAGGTGTTTCTCTGTATTCGTGTGCTCATCTGCCGTCTGTCTCCATATAATTTGTCAAGTTTCTGGCCAGTACTCCTTTCCGAACTTGTAAGGGATCATATATATTACTCTTTCAAAACGACGAGCTCATGGTGATTCTAATTAGATTCGTATCTTCTCACAAGTAATGGCCGAAGCACCCTCGGATGGTTCCGACGCGTTGCAAGCCGTTCTCGCTGCTTGCAAGCTTATTGACTTGCTACTTGTCCTTCAGACCGAGGAATTCCAAATGTGAGCATTTATTTTTCCTTTTCGTTTCTGGTGTTGTACCGCATTTGACTGATATCCGGAACAGTCACCAATGGATGTTTATCACGGACACAGTCGACGCGATCTACCGCCCTGATGATTGGTTCCCAGAAGCGATCATGGATCAGCTTTCCGAAATGGTCGGCGACCTTCCTGCAACGGACCTGAGGGTAAGTATACCTGTCTGTCATTCTGTTTACTCCAGACGCTAATGTAAACTACAGCGTCCGTCGGGCTTTGCTTTACCGGATGCAATGTCGTCGAATGGTGGTCGACAGCCCCTGCTTTCATCAGTGAAGCAAATAGACAGCATCCGGGATCTAGCGCCTTTCTTTGCGCATCTGAGTATTATGTCCTATGAAGGTGTTTATGCAAGCGCCGGAGCGGTCGATTGGGAAGCTGTCGAGTCAAGTTTGGTGACGGATATTTTTGACGGTCGATGAGTTTGCTGCACATCGCTTTTAAATTATCGCATTCTCGTAATATTTGTTTCTGTTCACGACGTTCACGACCATACCCTTCCCAGTCCGAGGATCTGGCATATCTTTTTTCTTCGTATAGTATCATAATTAATTCTGCTGCCTGAATATATCCGTCGGTCGGAAGAGAAGAAACAAAGTAAAATTCCAGGTTCCCAGATCTGTGCCCAAGAAAAGTATCTCACGTGCTGATCCGCGCGGTGCATCTTTTGCTCACACCGATTCCTGTTTGACACTCTCAAGACGCACTGGACACAATGCGCAAATCGCACTCTTTATTACAAGTTTTACTTCTCTTCAGGCTTGCATTGGCACATGGAGACCATGGACACGAGAAAGTCATGGATTTGGGTGGAGAGGCGGAGTATGCTCAGAGACACGTATGCAGCATTGATATTATGTTTCTTCCGTCTTTACAGTGAAGGTCTGATGTAGTAATGCTTTCGTAGATGGCTAAGGAACACCACATGTGAGGGGAGATGCTTGAGTGGGTTAATCGTAGCTGACAATGGCGGTTAAATTTCAGTGATACGTTCGACCCGGAATCGTTCTTCCATATCCACGACTTAAATAGGTTCGCTGTTCCATTCCCAATCATCGCCCCAAGTTTCCACGTCTTATATCTCCTTATTTCTTGCAGGAATGGAGTACTCGATAAAGACGAAATCGAAGCCATCTACGGCGTGCACCATCCTTACTCGCAAAAGAAGTCAGCCGACGAGATAGCACACCAAGCCAAGGCTGACCATATCGTCAACACCGTTCTCGGGATTTATGATAAGAACAATGATGGGAAGATCTCTGTGGAAGAGTTTATGGAGAAGGGAGTGAAGGCGCTCCCGAATTTTGAGGGACTTGGTGCTGAAGGGCATCATTATGATGTTGAGAGCGGTATGTGTTTCCTTTTTATTTAATACATTTTCAATTCGTGTGTTTGATGCGTACTGACGTAAATATATGTAGAATTCTTCCTTCACCATGAAGGTGAGTGCTTTGGCAACGCAGGAGAGCTCTACGGCGATTAAGCATAACATTCATTTTATTCCAAACAGAGGAATTCCACTCAACGCCAGATACTCAAACGGACGAGTCGTATAACCACCCAGAAGACATCGAGCACTTCGCCGCCCACGAAGATATCGAGCGACAAGAAGCGATCAAGGAGGCAGAGTTCCAAGGTATCTCAGTCGAAGACGCAATCAAGATACACGAAGAAGCGGAAGCATCCGCGGAAGCACGTGCGAAGGAACGGGAGCTCGAGGAGAAGGCACAACAGCAGAAACCGAGGCCGACCAGACCTGTTGATCCCGAGAAGCTCGATCCAGCTGTGCGATTTGGTGGGGCCGTGAAAGAGGGCGAGGCGCATGGAGAGTGGGGGACGGGAGAAAAGGGGTATAAGGTGCCGCAGTCGCCTAGTGAAAGAATGAGGTCGGCTTGGTCAATATTCTTCAATTGTGTTTATTTGATGCTGATGATTGACTGTTTGTTGCATTTTCGTTTTGCTTTCTACAGGAAGAACGTGCCGTACAAGGTTCGTGTGGTATCCTTTGCTGTACCTTATTGTTAGTTATGAGCGCTGTGTTGACGGGAACTTCTTTTGACTTTTGCAGTACAAGTTCCGCCGCAATTGGGGCGATTTCTGATTCTTTTGATCTATTCTTTCCCTTTCCCTTTCCTTTTCAAACGGATGCACATCTTCTCTTCGTTTGTTCGTTATTAATAGTCCTATTCATTCATGGTTTTATATACGGAGACTATTGGATTTCTATATATATTGCTCCAATATCAAGCAATAAATATCCGTTATCAATGAGATTGATGCCACAAGGCGCGTGCTAAATGTTTTATGTCCTTGAACGTAAATAATGACATCAGGTAGGACATGATGTAGGACATGACATGACTCGCGGCTGACAGAAGCGGCGAGAAAGAATCTGAAGATGAGGAAAATACGTTCCGTCCTCCGGTACTCGTGTTTATGCATCCGAGGCCATGGAGATGCGCGGCAGCCTTACTTCACCACACTTCCAAGTCAAAACTACCCGTCCTGAAATAGAACATATGAGCATAAGTGCTTTCGATTATTCATTTGTTCCATTTATTGAACCCTAATTTAGACGAGTGGACCATTACTTTTTGCGTAGCTGAAACGTTTATTTTAGTAAGGAGACCAAAATAGGCGAGCATGTGACAAAGAAATAAACTGGGCGGTCACTCATAAATTGTGATGCAATCCGCTTCTGATTCGATTCGGGTTTGGAGCGAACGACTGCATTATTACATTCATACTATCATAGGAGTACATGCCTCAATGCCTGCTTGGAGAGCGCGACGAGCCTGAGCGGTGATGCTCAGAAGCCTCCTCCCTTCATCCAGACCATCAACACCACATGCACCTTTCTTTGCGTTCCTTTTATCGAGTGGCGGGTGACAGGAGAACGGGAGGCCACGCGACGCCTGGACAAGTGGAAGACAAGACTTTTTACAGTTGAAAATACCTTATTGCATCACATTATAATGCATAAATTGAATATTGCATAGGTTTCTGCCTAATCCCAGCTCGGGATAAGGGAATTATGCACAAAAATAGTCTATTGCATATTGCATCAAGATTTGTGAGAAAATTATGCAAAATTCTGAGCATTTTGGGAAATTAGACTGCTTACTATTGTGATTTTTGTACCCAGAAGCCTCACATATTGTTCTCTGACATACTTCAATACAAAAAGAATGTTTCTGATTGACATTTCATTGTTTACAATGTCTTCAATGCTGCCACAAGACCAAGATAGGGCAGCAAAGATCTCTTCATAATATGTGGGGGAAAGTTATTTGCATTGACTAGCTTTTTCTATCTTTTTGTTTCTACAGATTCTGACTGTATTTCCTTGTATTACAAACTATTTCTTGAGTTTTGCAGTGATATACACATTTACTGTACTTGTCATTGTCTTAGTTGTCTTTCTCAATGCTCTAAATATGTGCTTATTTTCTTGTCATAGTGTATATGTCTTCAAATAAATTGAAAAGTAATATCGAATTTTGCGCTCCTAATTAAGTAATGTTTTCGCACGGTTACCATAATGCATATTGCTCATATTGCATAGGTCTGAGGCCTCTCCCGACGTTATGCAATAAGATATTTTCAACTGTAAGTCGTGCAGAGGGATTAACCGGTGATTGCGGCGCTCGATACACATGGTTTGATTCCATGATTGCGCGGGCTAGCTATAGGCGGCTGGGACCCATCTAGGAGCGAGATCCGAAAAAGAAACGGATGAATGGATGTTGTCTATGGATAGATCTTACAACGATCATAAAAGACGTAGATGGCTGACTGTATGCATGATTGGATCTTGGAAGATGGAAGGGATTTTCTGTACCCCGATCCATGGCCGCTTATTCGCTACCCCACATTCGCATTGCACGTTTACGATCACCTATACGTTATGCTTGTTTTATTTTATTTTGTGTGGTGTGGGGAGGCTAAAAGGAACACTAGGCGATGGAAGCCGTGGTTTATCCGTTTACTCGCGGACTGGCTCTCTCCCTTTTCGCCCCCAGTCCGAACGCTCTCTCCCTCTTTTTCACGTCCTCGCTGTGCCACCGGGCTGTGGACTGTCTCTCCCGTAGAACGTCCACTCTCTTGAGCCTGCACCGTTCGTTTAATAATTATGGCTCGCGTGCTTTCGTCATATTTGCTGGTGGCACTTGCCACTTCCATCCTTAAGAGTGTCCCAGTTGTACGTGCGGACGCCCCAGTCTCTCCCGGGTTTCCCTATGGCTCTCAAAAGGTGCGGTATCCATCACTCTTCCATTGATCTGCACCTTCAAAATATGCCCTCAACCATACACATTACTTATGTATGATCTGCATACATCCAGGTCCGCGGCGTGAATCTCGGTGGCTGGCTCGTTCTCGAACCCTGGATTACACCAAGTCTCTTCGACGACACGGGGAACGACCAGATCGTCGACGAATGGACATTTTGTCAGTTCCAGAGTAAAGGTTCCGCCCAGGCTGCGTTGCAAAAACATTGGAATACGTTTTATACCGAGGCGGACTTCCAGGCTATTGCAGCTGCTGGGTATGGATTTCACTTTCATTCTGACTTTATTTTTTAATATTTCTTTTGATGAAGAATGATGAGGTCAACTGACTGTATGCGCATAGGTTGAACCATGTCCGACTGCCAATTGGATATTGGGCGTTTGATGTCCAAGGAGACGAGCCGTTCGTTCAAGGACAGCTGCCCTACCTCCAGAAAGCTGTCACTTGGGCAGGAAACCATGGTCTCAAGCTCATCGTTGACCTGCACGGTGCTCCAGGAAGTCAGAACGGGTAAGCAGCAAATCCAATCTAAGTTGTTTTTGTTTAGTACCTGACCACATGCGCTTATTCATCTCTGAATGTGTATTTAGGTTTGATAATTCGGGACAGAAAATGAGTCAACCGCACTGGCAATCAAACCAGAACAACATAGATCGTACAAATGCAATTATTAAGAGACTTGCGAGCATGTTTGCTAATAATCGGAACGTGGTGCCCATCATCGCTCCTTTGAACGAGTGCGTCTATTCATTCCCAATAAAACGAGCTCCACAAACATACAAATTTAATCATATAACTTGCTCAGACCAGCGGGTTTTTATCCAGACGTCCTCTCCACCGCGCGTCAATACTGGCAAGACTCCTACGGAAACATCCGTTTCCCATTCGGCTCGAGCCAACAATCCAACACAATAGTCCTGATCCACGACTGTTTCCAACCGCTGTCCTCCTGGTCCGGGTTTTTGACTGCGCCGGACCACCAAGGCGTTGCGATGGACACGCATATATACCAAGTCTTCTCGGACGGGCAGAACGCGGAGTCAGAAGACGATCACGTTAATGACGCGTGTTCGCATGCAGGAGACTTGTCGTCCTTTGATTTATGGACAATCGTTGGTGAATGGAGCCCTGCGCGTACCGACTGCGCGAAATACCTTAACGGACGAGGCGTCGGAGCGCGGTACGACGGATCTTACCCTGGCTCTTCCTTCATTGGGTCATGCAACGGGCTTTCCGGCTCCGCAGACACGTTCAGTAACTCCTATAAACAATTCCTACGCCGATTCTGGGAAGCACAGTCGAGTACGTACGAGAGCGGTGCAGGATGGATCCAATGGGCATGGAAGACGGAAGAAGGGACGGGTGAGGAGTGGAGTTATAGTAAAGGATTGGAGCATGGATGGATCCCGCAGGACCCGACGGAGAGGCAGTTCCCTAACGTTTGTGGATGATTTTTTTTCGAGACTTTTTCTTTTGCTGCAAGAACTTTGGTCTTTTTCGTTGTTTATTCTTACAACGGCGCTGTAAATTCAGTCTTTTTTTTCGTGTTCATACCGTCCCTTGTTCATTCGTTGTTCGATTTTCTTTCCTCGATTTGCATTCTTCTTCCATACCATCCGTAGTAACTGCACTCAAACTTTCCTGTCCCCACGGTTTGCACGATTCTCAATTCTCGATCGTAAACCGTTCCTCTTGTCCGATTAGTACCTTCCATGCTTTCTCTCCTTCCAAGACAGTCCAGAAACACGCATCTTGTAACACTCTTCCATTCAAGACCTTTGATACCCTTAATCACTTTTCTTCCATGATTCCTCTCAGTTATGAATTGTTACGATTGTTTCATTGAATCATTCTGTCCAATAACGTGAATTCGGTCTTTATAACGATCAAGATGCGCGTCGCGACGCGTCAAGGACACGATCACGTGCTCGCTCCCTCTAATAAAAAGGTCGAGTAAAAGAAAAAGATGAGTGAGAAAAAATCTCCTTGATTTGCCAGCCAATACATATGTATGTAAAGAGAAAATCGAAGCCAAGGATAGTAGAGAAATAAGAAAAAGAAATGCCATTTTGGATGGGACTACCAAGGTACGGAAACGCAGAGGTAGAATGGAGGAGCAGCTGAGTCGGGCCTTCACAACACATCACATCATGTAATGAGTGAGACAGGATCCAAGGATGCCATATAGGAGGATAAGAGGAAGTTGAGGTTGCAGAAAGGAAGGTAATAATAATGGAAATACAGGTGTATGCCCCATCTTTTCACTATTTACTTCCCTGTACGCTTCTTCGCGGATGACTCTTCTTCCTTCTTTCCGCCTGCGGGTGCGACGGGTGCGGGTTCCTCTGACTTCTTCTCGGATGCGGGTGCGACTTTCTTCGTAGCCTGTTAATCGAATGAATATATGATCAGAACAATTCGTAAAAGGAAAACACATTAAGCATAGACATACCTTGGTGACGGGCTTCTGTTGTGCGCCAATGATACCACCAAGCGATAGAATCATACCAATGAACGTGAATGCAGAAATGATGAGCGAACCACCAGTCTTCGGGTGCGCCTTGAACGCAGCGACCGGGTCTTCCTTCGCATCATCAATAAACGTGAAAATGGCCTGACGAATGAAGCCCATTGGGTCCTCCTTGAAATTAATAGGCTCCTCATCCTCCTCGTCGGCCTTCTTCGCCTTCTTGTTCACTTCTTCCTCAAGCTCGTGCTTGAGGTCGAACGTCTCTTTCGCGAATGACTTTGCGTCCTCGACAGAGTGGCCGATGAAGATGTTGTCGAAGAGAATGTTGGGCGTCATTGTCCAGAGTTCGATACCGATACCGCCGATGTGGACGAGGCTCTTGACTGGGGTCAGGTCCTCGAAGAAGTCGGGGTTCGCGATCTTGCGAGGTGCCCACTCGCCGATGTATGCTGGGTTGTCAATGAGGGGTGCGTACCACTTGCCCTTGTAGTTGGGGTTCGGCTTGTACGGGCTGTGAATAACATGAGCAATAGTCATAGTTTTAAGTTTAGTAGATAGCTTACCGCTTCCAAGTTCCACAGCCAGGTGCCTCCTCGCACTTCGGGTTGCGGATAGTCGGTGCGATCCATTCACCGTCTTCCTCGTCATCCCATTCCTCAGGCTTCTCAGCATCTAATAAATGGGATTAGGCACTGCTACACTTCATCTAAATTAATATGCTTACCAGGGTCGGGGATAGTTTCTGGTTCATCGTCCAACCAGCCCTCGGGCTTCTCGGCTTCCTCATCCTCAATCTCATACGGAGCGTCCTCATCCCAGTCATCTGGCTTCTTGGCATCCGGGTCGGAGATCTTCTTCTGGTCAACCCAGTCCTCAGGCTTCTTGTCATTCGGGTCGTCAATCTCCTTCTCGGGGTTAATGGCCGGATTGAAGTCTTCGAGGAGACTACCTGAGCTCTGAGACTCGCCGTTGACGAGGACTTCATAAGTGTTGTCAGGACTACAGCAAAGCGTAAGAATCAGGAAACTAAAATTAAAATAATCGCCTTTCAACTTACTTCACAATAAGCGTGTAAAGGTTGGTCAACTTCTCAATCTTTGGCTTGGGTGGGTTCTTAAGGTGCTTCTCCTCGAACTCGCCAGTGACGGGGTTCTTGTGACGGAAAATGAAATGTACCTACAAACGACGCCACGTTAGTCTAACTAAAAGAAATTCTTTATGCGAAAAAGAGCAAACTAACCTTGGTGCCCGGGCACGTCAAGTCAGGGCCGAACATGATAGTCCACGGAGTCTTGTCGTCAAACTCCTTGCCGCTGGTCTGGAAGCCATCTTCAAGAAGCTTGACGTAACCACCACCGCAGTTACCGCCGTCTTGGTACTTGACTTCGTACTGTACGACAAGGGGCTTCTCGCCGAGCTCGATGGGTGTGGCGAAGGGTGCGCTGATGGCGTGGTGAGCAGCCTTGGACTTGGCTACGAGACCCTTGTCGCCGTCGATGACGAGCTGCGAGGGCACTTCGACTTCCCACTTGCCAACGTAGCTGAAAGTCTCTGTGCCGACGGGAGTCTTCTTTGTTGCCTCTGACACTGTCCAGCGCTCAGACCAGTCGTCTGTGAACTGCTCGAGGAACTGGGCCTTCAGTGTTGTAGGCTAGATATAAGTTTAATAATTGCTAAGTTGTTCTACGAAAGTGCAACGTGTCAGTCTTTCATACCTCAAACTTGACAGAGGGCTTCTCCTCCGCCGCGTCCTCCGCTCTGCATACACTGGTGGCAGCGAGCGCAAAGAACGCCGAAAGCGCTACTCTTCGCATGGTAGTATGAGCGAGATGAACCAAGACGAGGACAAGGACCAGAAACAGGGATGACGATGAAGGTGAAGGAAAGTGAGTAGTTAAGCTGCTGGCAAAACGGGAGATGGATTGCTGTCCAGCTTTGTTGAAATACGCCTGGACGAGAGCAGCGACTGACGTGGCATTCCCAAACTCTCTCACGTGAACACTTCCCCGTAGAAATTCATCGAATCTCAATCTCAATCTGCCTACTACATCGTTTCCAAGTTTCACCTCCCGCGCGGCAGCAAAGTCATCTAAGCGTAACGCATTTTGGGGAAATTTGCTACTCTACTACAGTACAGAAAAAGCTATCTACCCGAGAAGATCAGCATGTCCGGACGCCGAAAGCGCGAGCTGCGGCACTAAGTCAGAAATAAATAGATAATAGCAAAGTGACTAGTACTTACAACGAACTCGTCGTCCAGGTATTTTGACACCGAAATCTGGTCACCCAGGCCCTTTCGGCGGCGTGTCTTGAGTACCAGGTCGCGTGCAAGCGCCTGTCCGCTAGCCGGCTCGAGCGGACGAAGCTTGATACTCGTATCCGTGGGATCACCTTTTAAAGAAGTTTGTCAGCTCGTTAGATGCGCTGCTGTCTATCAGTCACACGTACCAGGCACTATAGACCAGTGATCAAACACTTGTAGGCAGAACGCTTGGCCCTGAGTGGCAGTTCGCAGATCGGTTTCGAAACCATTCGCATCAATTACAGGAATTAGCGCTTTCACTGTGTATAGTGGCGAGCCTGCTTTCGGAATATCTTGAGTGACGTGTCCACGCCTCCGTGCGAGTACAGTATATACGGCGGATATACAATCCGCGGGTGCCTGGACCTCAACGTAGTAAATAGGCTCCATTAACCGGGGAGTAGCCTGAAAGTGACAAACAATTAGCCTGAATATAGTGATAATAAAATATCTCACCATTAAGAAAGACGAGTAGCAGACACGTCGTGCTGTAGGTACGATCTGGCCTCCTCCTCTGTATATAGGCTCCTGTGCCAAGCTTGCATCGAGAATTCGGAACTTCACACCGCGCATAGCTGAAGTCGGAAAACAAAAATGAGCGACTTTGAGAGTCATGATTTATATTTGAGCTCACGTTCATCGCAGAGTGGTCCTTCTCTGGCTCCCCATTGGAAACCTTGCTTGATATGCTCCTTCACCGTTCCGAGCATCTTTTTATCCACCTGTCAAGTTTAAGAAAATAACGTCTGTAAGACTTCAAAGGTATCGAAAATCCCACTATCAGCTCACTTGAGAAGGTAAGGTATCATCTAATAAGATGTTGGGACCATTTTCGTCAGGACCGAAGGCCCATATTGATCGAGAAGCCAAGAGGTCCCACTGGTACTTCTCTTGGAAGAACGTTCCTCGCTCCTTCGCGGACATGCGCATGTTGACACGCCCCGTCTCCAGGTCTTCAGCGACACCGCGCTCAAGAGGCTCCGCGATCATCGTTAACCGATTTCTGAAAACATTTTGTTAGCCGGTTAAACGACCGTTAATTACTATATGCTCACTTTTTGTTTGGTGTATCGGCATAACACTTCAATGCACTAGTCTCTAGCACCGTCTCACAGAACCGTGTCACAGGATCAGACACCTTAATCTCAATCTCCGAGAAAAGTCTCCGAAGGTCATGCATGACACAATCCAAATACAGCTCGCCCGTACCAACAATGACGTGTTCCCCACTTTCCTCGACTTTTGTCGCGACAAGTGGATATGACTTGTTGATACTGCGCAAACCGGAAAGCATTTTCGGGAGTTCCGAGGGTTGAATCGGTTCGACAGCGATTTTTAGTACAGATTGCGTCATGTGCTTTACTGGTCGGAAGATGTAGAGGTCTTCGTCGATGTCTGCTGCGGCAATTGTTCCTGATTTTGTGATGGAGGCGTCCACCCCGCCGAGGAGGACGAGGTTGCCTGCAGGAACCTCCTCTGCTGGAATGTTGTATCTGACGCAGTCGTTAGGCTACAATATCAATTACCAAAAGCGAAAGACATACCTTGCCTCCGCGATCCATAGGTCCTCGACAACAGCCTTCATCATATCCTCCTCATCTTCAGGCGAATACCCTTCACCGAGCACCTTCACCTCCATACCCTTACGCACAGTACCACTCATAACTCGTCCAAAGGCCCGGAAGCTCTGTGCGTCCGTCGTATGATACAACTTGGCGATATGTACCATCGCTGGTCCCTCCGGATCGCACTTCTGCATGGCATGAGCAACATCCGAAGACAACGGCCCACTATATGTTCGCTGTATCTTGTTCTCCGCATTTTGCACAGGTGATGGGATGTTTTCAGCAATGAGGTCCACGAGTCCAGTACACGGTCCGAAGAACTGGTCCAACACGGCTTTAAGAAGTGGTCGGACGTCCATCTTATACATAATGGGCTTTAACTTGATCCCGAGGTGTTCGAGGGTATCGCGTAGCTGTTCTGTCTCTTCACTCAAGACCTGGCTGTACAATTTGTATAACGGTTCAAGGACAAAGTGCACGAAAGTTCGGTTCTGCTCTGGATCAGCCTGTTTGCGATTAAATTTGCGATTTTCAGTGTTGAAGTAGATGTCTCCCCATAGACGGTCTGCGAAACCTGAGACATTGAATTTGCCTAAGTTGCATCTCATTAGTTTGGCACAGAATATATAAATCTCAATGGAACTTGCCATAAGTATCCGCATACATCTGAGCGAAAGAACGAAGTGTGAAGCACCAAGCCATATCGGTGCTCGCAAAAGCGACGTTGCCCTTTTCTGGACTAACACGCAGTTCAGGATCTGGGTTAATTGAGCTGCAAATGAAAGCATCTTAGAAAGGATATATCCGTAGAGACGAAAATAATGAACCTGATCACAGAATTGACCTCCTCAATGGTGTGTTTGATTTTGTAGTACGCGTCGGCGGGTTTTATTCGGAGTTCGAGTATCAGTCGGTCAATTTTGTTAACGACCAAAGTGACCTTGACGTTCTCCTGAATTGCGTGCTTGATGATCGCTTCCGTATTTACCATTACCTATAAGTAATGAAGTCTTAAGAAACGTTATGAGACTTTTTTCACTGCACTCACCCCTTCGACCGCGTCAACCACTAGTAAGATACCATCTGCTAGCCGTAATGCGCAAGCAACCTCATCCATGAAGTTGACATGCCCTGGCGTATCGATAAGGTGAATAAGATGCGATTTCCCACCAGTGGTGCGTAGGACGAGTGACATTGGAGAGGATTTTATGGAGATCTCTCGCTCCCGGGACAGAGCATGAGTGTCTGTGTATCGGAGCTATACAAAGATTCTTAGGATGAAAATACTATGCGGGACCATTTCAAGGTTTACCTGCTTATCTGAATCCCACACAAGTTTGTGCGTCTCGAAGACCAGCATGTCCATGAGCGCCGTTTTTCCGTGATGTAAGTGACCAACAACAGCAACGTTACGGACCATGTCCGGAAAAGACATCATGTTTAGCAGGAACCTGAATAGAAATTGTCATTCCTGTTACATATTAACATGCAGAGGAGTGTACCCTTTGTCAAAGCGCGTCTCTGGCAGGTCCTTCTCCTCTATGACCCATTTCCGAACCTTGACAGGAGCGATGATTGGTTCGGAGAGTGGTTGAGCATCTTCCTCCTGCACAATTGTCTCTACGTCTGCCCCGTAGACATCCTGTGCAGATGGATAATATTGCTTGTCCTCGTGAAGAATGACCGCGTTATGCACCAGTTCTGTAAAGAACTATTAACGGTCAAATGTATGGAACCTAGTTTGTTCCTCACCATCTACTTCCATAAGCGTCATGCTCTCTGCCCCTTGAGGTTGTTCATCCTCAAACCCTTCTAACGGCGCATGAGACTCTTCCCTGACTTGTCCGGTAGTCGTGAAGGTCTCTTGCTGAATGTCTTCCTCGTCGTCTGAGTCGAGGTCAGCGCCAATGTAATTGCCGAACTCATCATAGTCTTCCAATGAAGCCATGTTTCAAGGAAATACGCGGGTAAAAGAGAGTCGAGGATAGACAAGAAAAATATAGCGCGAGGATTTGAGGACTACAGGTCGACTGATGATGGTCCAAAGCAAAGAGTGGGTGAGCAAGACAAGAGGTGCGGAATAGAGTGCACGCGAAATTTCGAAAGGCGCACGTAGATCAACAAGCACAAATAACACGCTCTACCCTACCGCTGACGTCGCATTTCACAGTTTCACTCCTGCACTCAATCATGGCCTCTCTATCGGACGAGACTTTGCGTAGAGTGCGTCAAGTCTTATACACTACCAATCACTCGTTGACTGTGCTTCTCAGATATTACAACAAATACAAGCGACCGCAGTCAACTCACAGCGTGCTCTATCCGCAACGAAGGCTACTGCAGCAACTAAGGAGCGCGAACGGAAAATCTTACAACTTACGATGGACGAAATAAGTTCCTTGGATAATGATGTTAATCTATACAAAGGAGTTGGGAAAATGTATGTTCGATGTGCTATTGATCCTTCAGTATTCTCATGTCGATCCCGGCTTTCTAGGTTTATGCTCACCCCACGAGATACGATGGAGAAGGAGCTTAAATCTCAAGAGAAGGAGCTTAACGATGACATTAACAACTTGAATAAGAAAGTGAGTCCGATCCGTAAGCCCCGTAGAGAGGCTACTTGACGTTATTTTAACAGGCAAAGTATCTGGAAAAGCAGTTCAACGAAGCATCGGCTCAGCTCAAAGATATTGTACGCCTCTGCCCCAGTTCGCTGCTCTAAGTACCCGCTAATACGTTCACCTAGTTCAATAGTGCTCCGAAGAGCTAATAAATCGTGATTCAACTGGTCACACTACGATGTATTATATGCTTTCTCCAAAAAATAAACATGTATTGTTACTGATCTTTGATACGACCAATGGGGCCGTATGTATTTTCGGTGAGTGAGGGGTCTACTCCGTTCGTGACATCTTACATGAGTCTCATTCGTATCTTGTACCAGATCTACATAAACGACAACTTCCTGTATCTTCTTAAAGCCAAGTAAAGCAGGCAAGGTTTCTCTGTTATGAGGTTAAAACAATGATGGCGATAAGCATAATACTGGTCCCAAGTTTCCGGAAGCTTGAGCCCTGTCGGAAAAATAGAAGGTATGCTATGTAAGTTTTTCGAATTCGAGCTCAACGAGACTACCACAGAAAAAATGAACAGGCACTAGAAGCAACTAAAAAATTTAGCATTTAAAGCGATCGCGGATTCTCATGTCTACACTCGTCTTTATTTCGTCTTTATTTTGTAATTCGGTTACTTGTAAAGTCAATCGAGACCGCGAGTATCAAGGGATCGACTTCCGCCACCAGAGCAGCCGTTCTCACTTCGGTTTCGCCAGTACGTTCATCAGACGAATTCGCTGATTCTCGACCTACGTCCTTGCCCAGAGCTTAATGCTCTAAAGATACTCAGGTACGCGACGTGAATGGCCTTCCGATTGTAGCTATCGCATTTAACGGAGCCTTTGCATTTCTGGCTCACATTCTTGTATCAGGCAGCATACAAAAAGTCTTTCAGTGGCTCGCGAGTGTCTATGCTGTTGACGATTCGATGAACTTGTTCAGCATCGTCATGGCATACCTGTGGTCCCCCAAATGTCGGGTGGCGCAAGGCACAGACCGACCAACATTTCCGTTTGAGAGTTAAAATTGAACTGATGCGCGGCTCAATAATGCCGTAATCATGTTTCCACCGTTTCGTTTTGTAAGTATACTCTATTACCAAAAGCTTTCGAACTCACTGGCTGATTGATTGATTTTAAAGGTCTCCTGTGTTAGCATCTTGAAGTTAAGTTTGGGTTTGCGACCTTTGTAGCCAACTATTTGCTGCTCGTACGCTATCCTAAAAGTTTTACCTTGGCTCGCTCGTCTAACTCAAAGAGTGTTGCTAGGCAGACATAAGCTGGGACGTAACTTACGATGAACGATTTCTGAAGACAATACAAGGCTGTGAGCATGATTGGTATGAGACTTTACTTATCGGGCTTTCCGCTGAAGCCGGCTGGCCTGCAACAACAGCGGCAGAAATCAGGGCATAGGTTTACTCTCTATATATAGATGGCATAGGGGAGAAAAGTATCATGGCTCTGCCGCTTCTTGATCGGGACCAAAAATCAACATGTGTATCTTCCTCACAGGCTGATTCTGTTCAAGCCGTGACACAAGAGCTCGCAGCTCACCGAAGACATTGGTTTGGAGCATTGTTCCAACCACGCGAGGCAATCAATTGGTGCCTTAGCTACCCGCTTCTAAACATCTCGAAGTCGGGATGATGGGAAACGTGGGATTACCATCCTGAAGCGGGATTTAATTGAGCTTCTTACCCGTGCGATGTGGCTGATGAATCGACCGTATTCCTCCATTAACTACGGATCGCCGCTTGTTACGGTAGACGAAGCTGTGTTAAAAACACCATGGTACATACAAGGTCTAATTCCATGCTCTTCTCATGATGACTCCGGGGGAAGTCCTCGTGCACAATTTGCAAGAAGTTGACAGCCCAACGGCCATCATGGAGAATTCGAAGCATGAATTGCCAGGAATAGTGTATGCGCATACTACATATATATGCTGAACAAGGTACAGTCCCAGAAGCAACCCCCTGAGTGCTGGACGCCGTATGGCTTCACTTGCTAACGACCCCGTTGAATTGGCAAAAGTCGTGGAAGCCCTTCGTCTTTCTGCCGTACGTGTCTGTTGAGTCGGTTTTAGTGTATACTTTCTAACTTGATCATTCGTGCTAGTACGTAGATAGTAAGTGATTCCTTGAATGATAACGAAGGAGCCACTAATATCACTTTGCTTTCTCTCACCAGGCGCAAGTTTCGTCATATTGGTTGGTTTAATCCCATCTTGAATGGAATGTGGACTGATATGTGTCTTCAGGTTTATGATTACATGCTCACGTTTGAGGACGAGCGTACATTGATATGGAATTCCGACTGGTCACTCACGAAACTACTATTCCTTTTGACACGATATTTGCCCTTTATGGACCTATCTATATCTACGACGCGTAAGCCACGAATTACCCAGCGAGGCCATGCCATCCTCAATTCTTATTGTCTATCATAGGTCACTTTAAACATGACATGTCGCCTGAAGCATGTTTACTCAACTACAAAATAGGAGGCTGTGAGTCTGTGCGATACGTTGTTGGAGCACTGAGTTCGGCTGACGCGTTATTAGCATTCGTCGACTTTGGCATTTTCATTGCAGAACGTACGTAGCTTTCACCGCCTTACTGCCCTCATTCGTAATAACCGCGTCTTCCAGTCATCCTGGTCCTTCGAACATGGGCAATATGGGAGAAGAAGCGGATCATTACCATCGCTCTCCTTGTATGGACCGCTATCAATCTTGTTTTGGATTTTGTATTCGTCGAACTGTATTTGGATTCTGTCAAATGTAGCTATTGTTTCTCTGCTCCATGTATTTTCCTGATTTTCTTACGCTTTATTTATAGTCACTCCTGTGCCAAAAGGAATAACTGGGTGTTTGACTACTTCGGGCAATCCTCTTCTGGTTGGAGCGTGGGCTGTCCTCATGGTGTATGAAGCGGGTGAGTACTGTGTTCCGTCAGGCGTGAGAATTAAACTCATTGTATTTAAAGGTATCCTGGGCCTAATGATTCTAAAGGGCACACAAATGTGTTAGCACTCCAAGAGATCTGTCTATGTTGACGGCGTACACTAACGAAGCGTATGCAGACAAAGAATATGTACACAGAGAACTACGAAGTTCGGCTCTGTATAAGGCAATCTTTCGGGACGGTAAGTCATCACCATCGCACTATCTTTTCACTATGTTTATCATCCGTTGTAGGGGCAATTTTTTATGTCTATATTTTCGGTAAGTGCTGAATTATTCTCCTAACTCATGTGAGGACGTTTAGACCCATAATACTCACAGCGTTGTCCGTGGCAAACGTGATTATCATTTCCAGACTTCCAGTGTGTCTTCCATGTCCATGTTCGCAGATATTGTATTAATACGCTTTCATTTTTTTGCCCCGTTGTAGCGCGAGCTAGCAGCTCTACTCACAAGGTATGAGCGTTAAACAACGCTTAGCGTCCAAAGTCCGCTGACCTTAAACTATAGCTTCGAACGAGTCATTCATGCAGTCTTAACGGAGAGACTGCTTATTGCACTCAGAAGAGCAATTCGAGAGCCACATGATCAATCTTACAACCTTGAAACGATACGATTTGACAAGAGTCCGAAGGGTATTGTCGATACAGAAACCGGGGCGGGGACCAGCACCGTTATGTCATCTAATCTTGGGCAGTGGTCTTATTCGGACCCATCTACTTCTATTACTTGTGCAGAGAGTGCTTTAAGGAGCTGATGAACCGAGTATTTGATGTTTCGGTTTCATCTCTGAAAAGCATCACGTTCTATGTATGATACTGCACAGTTGTGACAAGTTCCCTTTACGGATGGGCAGCACAAATGCAACGCCTGACAGTTTCTCAGTGACGTGCGTGTCTTTTTTCTCCAGATGTAGGAAATGAAGTTGCATCGCAGCATATTATATGCCATTTCTAACTCAGTGGATTGACTCTCACCGCCTCTCAAAACTTGGGCGGTCGGAACAAGGATTGTATTCAGAAAGTTCGATGTGCTGATTCTTGACTACAACCTTGCCGTCCCACAGAAGTAGGACAAGGGTCATTCCTATCATATCTTGAGCCGGTTTGTGTGCGGTATGCGAACAATGAGGGTTCATATACGTATCGGTGAGCATCAATTCGTGTAATGCATAACGTTTGGCGACAAGTGTGAAACCTTGCACGGACAAGGTGTTGTGGCTAGTGGGAACCTTATAGGAAAGGTGACATAAGATTACTGATTCTTTGTCGTTCCGCTCAGGTCGGCTGACAGGATGTCATGTATGTAATTGCTGGAAATCCCCCTGCAGCTTCAAAGCTAACCTATCTTGACTTTGGCAGTAACGCGATGACGCATGGTCTATTTCACAACACATATGTGTCTGTCTCGCAGCTCCTCGCAGACGGATCCTGAAAAGGAACTTTGACGAGCGCTGTGCACCGTTCTAGCCTAGCGGAGATGCCAGAAGCGCTGATTTCTAATTCTCCGATTCACACGATGGCGAAAATGCGAGAAAGGGCAATGCATTTTGTGCATCTCCCACTCTCAGCATAGCATATATGCTTGATAAATGAACGAATACTGACTACATCTTGTGAATTTCCGTCTGCAAAATCCGCCGAAAATGATTCAGACGCAATGACTAGCATGAAATCTGACACTATCCGTTTCCGTGAGCGTCAATCCTTGCATACAGTTTACACGAAGCTGTTCCTAGTGGCCATCGAATGGAAGCCGAAGCCGTGTTCGAAGCTGGCAGGGGGATTATTTATATAGCTTGTTTGCCCCGACCGAGGCACGACACCTTTCGGCAGTCCTTGAATATTAAGATGCCCGCTTCTCTCAAGTATTCCTCCGAGTTGATAAATTCCATGGAAGTCCTTCAGATCTCAGCTGTACGTTATTTAGTTCTATTCAACTGTAACCTCTCGCTGAATCTTCTATCGATAGTATATCGACAGTAAGGTCTTCGTGTGAGATATCATGCATGTTACTGATGCATTCGCTTTAGCCGCATGCTTCGCCATATTGGTTTGTGCAACTGTCTGGTGATGAAACACGCACTGAGATGCCATATTTAGTTCTACGATTACCTGCTTACATTGGAGGACGAGCGCACGTTAATATGGCAGTCAAATTGGTCTCTCCCTAAAGTGGTGTTCCTCGTCACTCGCTATCTTCCTTACATAGATCTGTCAATAACTGCTATGCGTAAGTAGGTTCGGTACTCACTAAAACGCTACTTTAAACATCTCATCATAGGTCACTTCAAAGCCATGACTCCCGATGCATGTCAACGGAATTATAAGGCTGGCGGGCGTAAGTTGTCACGACAGGTAAGACTCATAACCCAGCCTGATTGACGTACTCCCAGTGGTCATCGACATGGGAATTTGCCTCGCCGAACGTATGTGTTTTAAATACAGCAAATTGTGACCTTGAGTAACTCTGTCCTTCAGTCATTCCCATCCTCCGGACATGGGCAATATGGGGACAAAGCCGAACTATAACGATTGTGCTCTTCATATGGAGTGCTATTAATTTCGGCACCGATCTTGTACTCGTCGCCCTCTATTTCAATTCCGTCAGGTGTGAGTATGTATTCCGTTCAGCTTCAGTCTATAGAAATGTCATCAATTTATTACTTTCAGTCACATCACTACCAGTAGGGCTTTCTGGCTGTCTAGTTAGCAATGGCAATTCTCTTCTTGTCGGAGCGTGGGTCATTCTCATGGTGTTCGAGGCTGGTATGTGCTCTCATCAACAATCAATTCAAAGCAATTGGTTCATGTCACTTCTGTTATAAGGAATCTTGGGCATGATGTCAGTGAAGGGTATTCAATTATGTGAGTTTTCTTGTCATGTAGTCGTTGCATCATAACCAGTTTAGCGATAAATGCGCAGACAATGAATACAAGGACAGACAGCTCCGACACTCGGAACTCTTTAATGCGTTCTTCACAAACGGCGCGTTTGAAATATTGCTCATCTTTCGTCTTTACACCTTACGATATCTATAGGCGCAATCTTTTACGTTTATATATTTGGTGAGCTATTGGGAAGCACCAAAGTTTAAGCTCTTGCTTACACCGATGGTTCAGCACTCTCCGTCGCAAACGTGATTGTTATCGCGAGCTTCCCGGTACGTCACCTAAATATCGCCTTTATTACTCCAAGATGACAAGATGTATGCGTTGCCCTCTGTTGTTGAAGCGTGACTTCGCAGCACTACTTGCAAGGTTTGCAGCCAAATAATATCTATCCTCAAATTGAGACTAATTTATTTCGTTAGTGTTGAACGCGTCGCACATGCGGTCCTCATGGAACGACTGGTCATCACACTCCGCAAAGCGGCAAGGCATGAGTTAGAGGAAGAAGACCTGACCAGACTTGATACAATGCGGTTTGAACAAGACCAAAGAAGACCTATTGAGACTGAAGCTGGGACTAGCACCTTCGTGTCATCTTTTGTTGGAGATTGGACTTGTCCCGGTCCTTCAACTTCCACGGCTTCTCGAAACGAACCTGCTAAGGATGAAAGAAGCGGTGGATGCGATGCTTGACTTGATTTTGCGGTATAGCATGTTCCCCGGAATAGCTGTCGGGAAATATTATTGACACATTCGACATTCTCCGATCCCTTACTGCGGCGCAGCTTAGAGAATAACCTAACTTGATGCTTAATCTTGACTTTGCAGTAACGCAATGACGCATGACTTAACTTGCAATCCATATGAACATACTCTGCAGCTCCTTTCGAACAGACAGTCAGGCCAGGTGCATGTATGGTCTGACGAAGACTCCGGGGCCGCTAATCTATAACGCTTCGGTTCATACAATGACGGAAAATGCAAGCCAGTGCAACGCAAATTCTCGCGTCTCCCATTCTCCGCACGGCATGCATGCTGATTAACCAACTAAGAATAACCACAGCCTATGGCCTCCTGTCCACATAATCGGCCAAAAGATGCAGATGCCATAACCAACAAGAGATCTTTTCCTGCTCGCTTCCGATGACTCTCTTGAGCGTCAAGCCCTGTGCGCAGTTTAGCGGAGCTGTTTTCCCTGGCAGCTTTCGGAGGGAAGCCGGATCTGAAATTATTAATGTGATTATTTAAATAGTTTACATGTGGCAACGAACGAGGCGCTTCTCTTTGTAGTCTAGATCCCTCCTCCCTCCCACAAACACATACACAGCCTTTCACCCAGCCCTGGAATGGCTGTTTCTACCAAGGATACCCTCGAATTGATAAATTCAATTAAGAACATCAAAATTTCAGCTGTATGTGGCTTATTTCATTTCGACTGTACCTTCTCATTGAATCTTACATTGATAGCATATCGACAGTAAGAGCTTTGATAGAGAACATCCCTGGCGCATAACTGATGCCCTTTTTAGCCGCATGCTTTGCCTTATTGTTTTGCGCTGCGTTGTATAGGAACTTTTACTGATATATCATATCTAGTTCTACGATTACTTGCTCACACTGGAGGATGAACTCAGGCTGATATGGCGGTCAGAGTGGTCTGTACCTAAAGCAGTGTTCCTCATCACTCTTTATCTTCCTGTCATAGATCTGTCGATAACTACTGCGTGTAAGTGAATGTGATACGCATCAGAATCATAATTAACAACACCCCGCTATAGTCCACTTCAGAAGTGCGACTCCCGGTGAATGTTTACGGACTCCGGTACTCATTGACTTTGGTATTTTTTCTGCAGAATATATGTGTTTTCTCTTTGAGTACAACAAACAACTTCTTCAAGTAACGTCTAATCCAAGGTCATCCCAATCCTCCGAACATGGGCAATATGGGAGAAGAGCCGAACGGTAACTATCGTACTCTTCATATGGACTGCTATCAACTTTGGTATCAACTTTGTGCTCTTTACCCTCCATCTCAATTCTGCTCACTGTGAGTACTGGCGCCCTCGAGTTTGATTCTCAGAAATGTTATAACGTTTTATTTTTCTCAGTTATACCACTACCGGTTGGGGTATCCTGGCTGACTCGTAAGTAATGCTAATTCTCTCGTTGTCGGATCATGGATCTTTCTTGTGGTAAGTATTTGAATTCGGTATGTGCTCTAACAGATTAGTCGAAGTAATGAGCTTATATTCCTTTCGCTCTAAGGAATCCTGGGCATGACGGTGCTGAAAGGCATTCAATGGTGTAAATTCCCTGCTGTTATGTAGATGTTGCATTGTGAGCAATTGATCAGTCGATTCTTAACTAAAGAACACGAAGGCAAGCAACTCCGAAATTCGTCACTTTTCAAGGCAGTCTTCACGAATGGTGCGTTTGTGATATTATATTTTCTCGTCGATACAGGCTGATACGCTTGACGTTGTGTACAGGTGCGATCTTTTACGTTTACATATTTGGTGAGTAATTAGGAAACAATGATCTCATACTCTTGCTCATATTCACTATTCAGCATTTTCCTTCGCTTTCAAGTGCGTCATCTTAATATCGGTTTTGATCTTCCATACTGACGAGGTATTTGCGCGCCACATTCTGTGATTGAAGCGTGACTTCGCGGCACTCCTTGCAGCGGAATTGCAATTTACTTATTGTCTTAGTGCTGAACGCGTTACACATGCATTCCTGACGGAGCGACTATTTATCGCTCTCCGCAGAGCAGCGGTGCACGGGACAGATAAAGAAGACTTGATGGAACTTGAGACATTGCGGTTTCAACGAAATCATAAAGTACCTTTTCAGGCTGAGGTTGGGACCAGCACTTTCATGTCATCTTTTGCCGGGAACTGAGCTTTCCAGCTTTCGGATAGGCAGCCGTTAAAGATGAAAGAACTAGTGGTTTAATATTTGCCCGGATATTGTAGTGTAGTGTGTTTATCGACCTCACTGCATTCAAACGACCACCAGTTGACCCCATTCAAAGCTTTCACACCAAAAATTTGTCTCAATCCAATAACTACTTGACTAAGTTACTTATTATTTACTAGCAGAGACATTTGTAGAGCCATCTAAGTAAGAGTTAGACATTAGGCCTGCAAGAACGGTCATCAAAATTAGATAGGAAATTATGTACAGCCACTTCATTAAAGTTTTCGCCGATAATTGTAAGCGCATCAGAGGAGTTTGGTAATTCCGACGATTCTAACACCTTGCCACTGGTCCGTGCCTGCATTTATCCTTCTATAACACAAGAAATAAACGAGCCACACGGCGTAGGCACACATCGTGGAAATTGATCTCCCCATACTTGTTCTGTCAGATACTAGGCTTCACTTGTAAGTTCCAGTTGTGCCATTTTGCGTGTGGAAGAGGTACTTACCAGAAGACATTATCTGTAGTATACATGAGACAAAAAGAGGCAAGAGAGATTACCTCTGTTAGACTACTACAGCACGTGAAGATTGGAGACTAAAACAAGTCTGGACGAGAATGTGCTGGAGTTGAAAAGGACTTCTTGTTCAGCTCTCCTCCAAATGACAGTGCAATCTAAAAACCTATGTCATACCCGATTTATCATGCCCACCATTCGTCAAGGCAAGTGTTTCTTCTTGCGCTACCCTGTGCTCACGCATCATTAGCATACATATTGTCGTCTTCTTATGATGGGCTCTTCTTTTTTAATACAACCATTTTCGTGATGGCCTATCGAATACCAGAGCTACGGCTGATATCTAGCCTCACCTCACACGGCGACCCATCTCTGACGCGGCGAAGAGCGGACATGGTGATTTCCACCACCGGAAAGAAAGCTAAGCATGCCTCCATCCCGTCCCTGTCTGGTTAGAACATGGCTGGAGATCTGGCTTGCCAATTAATTGCGACAGAGATTGCACGTTTCATATGTGTCTGTCTTAGCTGCAACGTAAAAATGTCGGACTCAATACAGTTGAGCGCTTGAGAAGATCGGTCTGGGACTCGGGAAAACATAATGGCAAGAATCGGCAACTCGGCTTCATAATCGGAGAGGCGCGTTTCGGGAAGCGAAAAGAGGCACTGCAGGCATTTATACTCTGTGCTCCTTGCTGTTCTGATAGCCTCAGCAGCTAGGCAAAATCGAGCATTATGGCTGTGATTTCCTCTTCACACCTGCTGAAATGGGAGAAAGTTGATATAGTCTATGCGACGCCTGATTGGATACGATCCCTTTGATTTCCTGGGCGTCAATCTTATACAAAGCTGATACCCTAAGCAGCAATCGGAGGGAAGCGCGAGCCGAGGCCAATAATAGACTAGAAATGTGGTGAGCATCGAGAATTCATTTTATAGACCGAGGCACGGCATATTGATTAAATGTCCTACACTCTGAAAGGTCCCTCCCATGGTTTCTCCCACTACTGATGTTCCCGCACTGATAAACTCTTTGCAAGGGCTCCGCCTCGCTTCTGTGCGTCTTCACAGCCAATTGAACTTTTATGAGCTCTCACTAATTTAACGAAATTAGTATGTCGACAGTACGGACATTTACTAACAAATATGGAGGTCTGCATCGCTGAACGTATTTTCTCCCTTTCAAGCCGCGAGTTTCGTCATATTGGTTCGTGTGACTTCACAAAGGGCTGGAACTGGAACTGGTACTGATGCAAAGTATTCAGGTTTATGACTACTTGCTCACGTTCGAAGACGAGCTTGTACTGATATGGGATTCAACTTGGTCGCTCGCGAAGGGTTTATTTCTTGCGACTCGGTATCTTCCTTTCATAGACTTGTCCATAACGACTACACGTGCGTAGGGTACACTTTTTTCGATATTAGCTGGCGCATTTATTCGGATACTTCTCTACAGGCCACTTCAAGGCTAGAATGTCACCTGAAGAATGTTTACGCAATTACAGGGCTGGTGGATGTGAGTTATTTTGATACTTACCATGTATATCAAAGATTATTAATGTAGACTCAGTACTCATTGACGTTGGGATTTGCGCTGCTGAACGTATGCATTCTGACCTTTGTCTACTCTTGCTGTGTACTGAGCGCCTTTCAGTTATCCTGGTCCTTCGGACATGGGCAATATGGGGCCAGACGAAGAAAATTACCATCACACTTCTGATATGGATTTTTGTCAACCTCACTTCCGATCTTGTGATCGTTGTCTTATATTTCAGTTCCGTAACGTGTGAGTAAGTGAAATAGGTATTCACTAAAATTCATCTCACTAGGATCTCTAGTTACACCGTTACCTGAGGGACTATCTGGTTGTCTCATTAGTACAGGCAACTCTCTGCTTGTCGGAACATGGATTCTTCTGATGATATTCGAAGCTGGTGTGTGGTAGTAGAATTCTTTCCGAACACTGGAGTTTAATGTCTCCTGTCTTCTAAGGAATACTAGCCTTGATGGTATTGAAGGGCGTACAAATGTGTGAGTCTCCTCGGTGTTTTTCTGCCACGTTATCACCTATCGTTTGCTGATTTCGAACAGACAGAGGTTCAGTCGACAAACAGCACCGGAAGACGGAACTGTATAAGGCAGTCTTTAGGAATGGTCTGCTTCTTCCACGTATACTTTTGCCAATAAGTCCGACTTACACAGATATTACGCAGGTGCAATCTTTTACGTCTATATTTTCAGTAAGTTTGAAAATACCGACTTCTCTGCTCATTTAAATTAATAATTACCCAGCACTCTCTGTCGCAAACGTGATCGTCATTTCGAGACTTCCTGTGCGTATCTTGCAGTTTTTTTGCTAATATCAGCCTGACGAGGTGTGTGTACTTCCAGCGAGACTTGTCGACATTACTCGCAAGGTATGAATAGTGATACGCACATTTCGTAATATCGGTCTAATTGAATGATCATCCCAGCGTTGAGCGTGTCATGCACGCAATCCTGACGGAGCGGTTACTGCTTACTCTCCGTAGGATCGGCCACGAGCAAGAAGAGAAGAATGACGATAGTCTTAACTCTATACAGTTCCAAAAGTTGAAGAAGAGGGCAGTAGACTCGGAAGCTGGGACTAGCACTTTCTTAACGACGAACCCTAACGCGCAATGGTCTGGTCCGGAACCTTCGACCTCAACTTCGTCAACGTCTACAAGGGCTCCTGCCAATGTTTGATCCGTTTATGTTGTTATTCATCACGACTCGTTATGCTCCGACTTTTCATATTCTTAGTGAATGCACTGTGTACATAGATTTTGTGTCTGGAGTCCAGAATGCACGCCTGTATTTTTACATTGACGATCCCACACAGACAGATCTTTGCTTTCTACTTGTCATCCAAAGCTAATTTTTGTTGTAGTTTGTAGTTTAGCATTAGCTTAATCATTCGTTTCCGTGCACGACAGAGCTATATAAGCGAGTGTCTCCAGAAAAATAAATGCAGAATAGTGGCTTAATCTAAGTTACAGCCCATCAGGTGCGTGGGAGTTTACCTATACTGTTACAGTTTGAGTAATATCTATTTTGGTTCGCATTGACTTTCACCACACTTTTACTAGTGGCACAAGAAGATCTCCGAGCTCAAGCAACAAGGTCACCAGACTACCTTCCTGTTTCAGTACGGAAATAGTCCCTCAGCCATTTGCTGTTCATGGTGAGCGGCAATAGCCTGGACTACCCCGTCTTGTAAATGGTTCCATTCATGTTGCAGGTATTTTATGTGCTGAGCTGATGACGCCAAGTGCGGTGTCTCCTCTTCTTTGTGCGACGGAGATTCCAACTTTTAGAGATGCGAGCATTTTCTGTCGCAGAGCCTATGCTGAGCCTTGCATCAGTCTCGAGAAGGCTAAAACCCTAGTCAGCTCCAGCTCACCAGTATACTTAGCATAGGTGGCCTAGCCGCGATCAAAGTTTTGTCGGAGTCGTGCTACGAGGGTGATCAGGTAGCTTACCATACGTTGGTACAGACGACTTTGCTGATTTCACATTTTCTATTTCATTTCTCCTACCAGGGTGTTCAATCTGCACTTTACTTTTTACTCCGGGCATAAGCATCAGGGAACCCGGGAGGCAACACGGAATACTCTACCTACCACTTAGTTCTCATATCCCGACTGCGTCATCTCATGTCGGTGACTCGGTGGCGATTTCTATGTACCCAAACAGAAACCAGGGTTCTCATTTTTACGATGCCCGTTTCGTGGCGGTGTAACCACTATCGTTTGCGCTGTAATTATTCGGTTCGTACGTTTTGTTTAAGTTTCGCCGGTGAGAGCAATTGAGATTGGTCTCGCTGAAGCAGGCAGATGAGATGTGCCTCGTGGTACCTTACGGGCGATGGCTCTGTTGGGAGGCTGTCAGTTAAAGGTATTCATTCTCGCCGCTCTGGTTCTAGATCCGGCTTGTTAGAAGGCCGCAATATCAAAACAATACACGTGCTCTTGCTGTGGACGTTCTTGAACTAGTCATAAACGCCGGAGTTCTGGGGAATTTATAAACGCGCGCCTCACCCATGGAGATTTCCGAAGCGTTGTGGACTGCATAATCTTCGCCGATCTTAGTGATCTTCAGACAATTTTACGACAGGAACTTTCAGACATCTCGGCATCAGAATGAAGATGGGAGCAAAGCATCCCCCTCAAAGTGCGAGTAAAGGCGATGTCATTATATTTATGTCCATGAGCAGAACACGCCATATATGGTTGCACTGCTTGATGCTTCTGATGCTATGTGATCCTGTGCAGGTGAAGTCTAACTGCAGCGGAGTACCTTCTGTCCGATCCAGCAATATGGAAGCTAGCGATATAAACTGCGCGAAGTTTGGTTCTACTCGCTTTCAACGCTTCTTGGCCAGCGTCAACTATTTGTAAGTTTGCACGAAGCTGATGCGTTTCTTCGTTGTTGCGATGTGCGAATTAATTGACAAGTTGGGCGCAAATCGGGCACGCCTTTTCTATTATATTGTCAATATAAAAGTCTGCTGGGTTCTATCCCCATCTTTCCTTACAACTCATCTAACGCATCTATGGCCACTTTTGCCAAGGAAGCTCTCGAGTTGATACATGCCTTGCAAGGCCTTCGCACGTCAAGTGTATGCATTTTCACCTCATCTCCCCGCGGTCTTAATATGCACTTTCTGACTGAATTCTGTATCGGTAGTACATTGATAGTAAGTGACTATTAGGAATACACGCTTTTTGCATGGATTAATCATCTCCTTCATAGCCGCAAGTTTCGCGATATTGGTTCGTATAATCTCGCATCTTTAAAGATACGTGTTGACATTGCATTTAGGGATATGACTACCTGCTGACTTTCGAAGACGAACGTACACTGATATGGCCATCTAACTGGTCGGCCGGAAAAGTTCTCTTCGTCCTGACACGATACCTGCCCTTTGTGGATTTATCAATAACTGCTTCACGTATGCGACTACATCTCTCTTGTGGCCGACAGTGTGCTCACGGACATCTTGTGACAGATCACTTCAGGACTGGTTTGACTCCTGAAGAATGTTCACTTGCATACAAGAGTGCGGGATGTAAGTCCTCGTCAATATACACTATGGTACAGACCTAACTAGTTCATTTACAGGGCTAATCAACATAGGAATCATAATTGCAGAATGTAAGTGCATAAGGCATACTTCATGTCTTATCTTAATCGAAATGCACAGTAATTCTTGTTCTCCGGACGTGGGCAATATGGGAGAAGAATCGAAAAGTTACCATTACACTTGGCATATGGGCTAGCCTAAGCCTTATCGCTGATGTCGTTGTCATGTGCCTGTTCATGAGATCCATTGAGTGTGAGCACATATTTCTGTTTTGCACATTTAGTTATTTGACTAACGCTTATTAAGTCTCATCATTACCTGCTGGTCTTTCAGGATGCCTCGTCACGTCTGGGAATACTCTCATCGTCGGCGTTTGGATTATTCTTATGGTTTATGAAGCAGGTAAATGCCCTTCTACATTTGTTGCAGAATAATGTCTGAGATGCGGTCTGCCTTCACAGGAATTATAGCATTGATGGTACTGAAGGTTGTTCAAATGTGTAAGTCAACTCGGCTTTTATTTGCTATTACATTTGCTTATCTCCGAGATGATGAATAGTCAGAGAGTTTGTGGATAAAGAGCTTAGGAATCAGGCTTTGTATAAAGCAGTGTTCAGGAACGGTATGTCCGATATCACGCACATCTCATTTAGCTTGCCTGATATCGAGGGAACAGGCGCAATTTTCTATGTGTACATTTTCAGTAAGTCAATTACAATGGTCTGTGATAGAGGTCAAAGTTGACGTCGTCCCCAGCGATGTCTGTAGCAAACGTGATTGTCATTTCAAGGCTTTCGGTACGTGTTCTGCATCCTTACTTTTGTCTCTACCATCAATACCGATAGTAACGTATACTTCATCTACAGCGCGATTTGTCAACAATGCTGGCAAGGTCGGTCATCGGACTCAGGATCCGCTAAAAGGAGACAACTCTGATTGCCAATTTACAGCCTCGAACGTATCACACACGCCATTTTAACGCAACGCCTCCTCCTCTCTCTCCGCAAAGCAGTTACAGAACCGGGAGCAGACGAAATAGAGAAGGTAGAGACTATGCGCTTTGGCGAAGCCCCACGCGGTGCTACCGATACCGAGACAGGGTTTGGGACGAGTGTTCTCATGTCAACCCTAAGTGGACGATATTCCTCCGACTTCTAGATTCAGGCACAGAGTCTGGCTGGGGAAGAGAGTATTAAAAATGCCCTGACCTTTCGTGATTAGACTGCCATTATACGATCTGTACCTTTTTGCGGACTTTGCATCATATGTATCTCTGTACTTTTCTCTTTCATATTTAAAATGTGTATCTGGTTTAGATGATGTATAATTCTGTCATGTCATTGGTAATCCATTCCATTCTATCCTATCGAACTTCCATCCGAATCCTAAGTAACTAGTGATACACACAAAAGACCAAGGAAAAATGCAGCAATTTGGAAACGCCTATCTCTAGCAAATAATGCACCCATGTTCATCCCTCTGTGGGATATCCACCTGATCAAAAGCCGGAAAATCAAACGCAGCCCAAACATTCCACTTCATAGCATGCTTCTGTCCAGCACGCCCTCCCGCGACCCACGAATGCCACGGGTACTCCACGACTATCACATCTTCCACATTCTCTCCATCCTCTTCCCCAATACCTCTCGTTGTGTTCATCGACCTCCAAATCGTACCATGCTCATACATAATAGGAAGCACCAACTTCGTCGCGCGTGCAATTTGGAAAGAGTTCGGTGGAGTGGAACCCCAGTCGAGTGAGTCTTGACAATATACAAGTCCACCTTCGCCGCTTGGGTTTGATAGGCATGCGCGGATGCTACAGATGTTGTTAGAGCGTTGAAATGGATTTTGTTCGGCGTCTATCGTGGGGGTGGTGATAGATGAGGTGACGGAGTTGGTGAACGGAGTTGAAGTTCCTGGTGCGGATGCCCAGAAATGCACGTAGGCTATATGCGCGTCTTCGTTTATTTCTGAGTTGGAGGGTGGGTTACTGCTGAAGCGGACGTGAAATCCCGGGAGATGCAGGACTATAGCAGAGTCAGAAGGTGTGTACCTGTTGTGTAAAGATTTGGTAGGAAAGAATAGATTACCCGAACTTTCTCTTGGGGTTGTATTGTCCGTTGTCCTGATACTCTGACCCTGCTGCTCCGCCCGCCAAATAAACTCAAAAGCACAAACATTGCAAGGAAAATAAGACGGTATCTTATTAACCGCCCTCAAATCATTAGAAGAACCAACAGCAGCATCAATGACACTGCTACTGCTCGGCCTCATGCGAACAAACACGGCTCCATCATCCCCGCTGCGGACGTGTCCCTCGGGAGAGTCCACGAGCATCGGTGTCACGCAGCCAGGCAGACAAGCCACACGTGTCCGTTCGATGACCTCAGATTGGGCATCGATCCAGCCGAGTAAGCCATGCAAGACCTTAACAGCCTCGCTCCCATCCGGTGCAACGTCAAACGAAGCATTCGGAGGGAGAATCACAAGAGAAATGGTGTACCCCGCGACGTCTAAGACGTCCGTCTCGCAAATTGTTCTTGCGACGCGAGGTATATTGAAAATCAGCTCTGAGCCATCCTCAACGGAAGGCTTGATTTGGGATGAGACATATGAGTGGTATAGAAGAACCGCTTTGCATGGATTCGAGTGGGTCAGGATGGCGAGGTCCTGGCCGTTGGTGTATATCAGTCTTATTGCGAACCGTGCGAAGCACTCACGAGTTTATTCCTTAGAGCGAAGCGCCCCGTGGTTATTTTCGTAGCCGGCTCGTCGCATAATTTGTATCTCGCAATGGCATCTTCTTTCGTGATAAAGCAATAGACGCCAGCATTGGGACCTGATAACATTGTTAGAATCGACAATTTTCTTGGCTTAATTTAGGTAACCTCAAACCTTTGCTCGAGACAGATACAATTATCTCGTCCGTCCCATCGCCGTTCAGGTCTTCGCAAAGGACATCCAGAATGTGAGTATCATGCCCATCGGCAAAATCGTAAATGACAGAACGCGTCCAAATGATATCGCGAAACTCGCAACGTTGTCTGACGGGTACGTCTTTGTTGTATACCGACAAGATCGAACCTCCGTTTGCCTCAAGACCTTGGTTAGCGCAAGCGAAATTAAACACGGGGAAAATTAAGTACCTCCGTCGAAACAATATATGCTACGGGATCGCGCCCGATTCTGCCCGCACATAATCTACCAGGAAGGTGGTTGGGTGGGGGATTAACACATTCCAAAGGTTTATGATGCCAAGATCGCGCATGATACCACGCAATCGACAGTCCTTCTCTGCTGGAAATAATAATGTTATCAAGGGCACCGCCCGATCCTGGTGATACAAGGCAGTCCTGTACGGAAGAGAACACGTTCTCCAACGCCGTGGCCACAAGCCAGTGTTTCGACTTGTACACATCCGGAGGACGAGTGAAGATGATCAAAGGCGAGTACGCGTCGGTACGCGAGGATTTCACGACAGCGAGAAGTTGCGGAGAGAAGGTGGTTGAAAAGTGGCCCACTGAAAGGAATTTGATCAGAAACAAAGATAATCTTTAGTGAATACACCAGCCTTTGACAATATTGACACCTGGAAAGCGACCGATCTCGCGGCATATCCAGTCGCCTTCATTAGTGCCAAAGTTCTCAAGCCAGCATATTCGGCCGCCGTACGGGTCCATGGTATCGAGGGTATCTCCATATTCGCATGTTACAATGACTGTATCAAATTAATTCAAAGTCAATCTACAACCCGAAATGACGGAGACGGAGGGAAACGTACGGTCGTTGAATCCATTTCCTGAGATGTCCGCACTTATACAAGATGATGGTTGCTTTAACATATGAAGGGGAAGTTTGTTCCATCGGGACAAGACGCTTTCATCCTGGATTCTATTTTAATTTTATTACATTAACTCGTCAGTTTAGATTTTGGAACATCTGAGCTAAAACGACTTACCCCTCGTCAAAGTCAAGGTTGCGAGGGTTCTCATAAAACGAGACCTCTGAAGGCTGCCCATTTCGCCCAAGGCCGAAGATAACAAGATCATCCTTCCTCTTTCCTTTAACATTAAACGGAAATGCATGTATCCAATGCGGTACAACAGTGCCCGGGATCAAATCGATAACCTCCTTGTGAAAATTAGGATATTGCACTTCGTTCATCTTTATATATAGCAAGAAATTCAATGCGGGAGAAGTTGAGTGTGGGTTGCAGGGACCAAGAAGGTGATAGAGAGGAAACAAGAGCCACGGGTGTCTATTATAACAAAGAACATTCTCATGGCTCAACTCAAAGAGATCATGGCCCATCATCTACCGCGCAGATCATTTCTTAAAGTCCGCATTTGGAAATAACGGTCCATGAAGGCGAAAAATACTCTTGACAAGTCGTGGCGTTAAAGCGATACATAGCCCTTGACATTGAAAGCGCACGAAATCCCTCGTTAATTCAGCAGTAAGAAAGACGAGTGAGAAACTCAATGGACCCTTGTATTTTCGTGAGATTACATCAAATGATACGCAACAATCCTCCCCGTACAAATTCGCAAATGGCAGTCGGATAGGTAGTTACAGAGAAAGAGATAGCAGAGATTAAAAAAGGTGGGAAACAGACAAATGAAGATGTGTATACACCCATCCACGCCGTGAACAATCATGAACAGTCAGGAATTAGATCGGGGATGGCATCACCACGCTGCCCGCAATAGCGTAGTTGGTAATCGGTTGGTGACAGGTTCTTCGACATCCGTGAGAACAAACAAGGGGCAAGCTCTGGTAAGGAAAAGAAAAAAAGGTTTCTCTTGGATAGGACTATTAACGTATCTTGCCTGGCTTGTGTATTTGAAGATGTGCTCTGTTGCATGTCGCAAGGAGAATATGTACCCGCGACGTGCTTGATCTTGATAAAACAAAAATCATGTAGGATGATGCCAGAGAACAAAAAGGTAGACGGGATAAGATCATTCATGAAGAGGGAAAGGGTAGGTGAAGTCCGCCAGAGGTTCCACACAGTGTACACGCCGGAAGCCAGAACCGAAATAAATCTATGCCGATCCGCAAGCTCATGCGATGATGCACCCCGTCTTCTTCAATGGCTTCTTTTCCTTTGCAGGCGGATATACTGCCAATATGCATGTCAGATTAAGTCCGCAGCAGTGAATACTATTCCACTTACGGACTGCGCGGATCGCCTCGTCAAAGACCGTCTTTAAATTTTTCTGAGTCAAGGCGGAACATTCCAAGTATTTGACGGCCCTGATGTCTTTCTGCATCTGTAAACCTTGCTGGTAGGTTATGGGAGCCATGCGACTAAAACAGTCGGAGTCAATCGACAGGGCATCATTAAGTGCATTACTACAAAGACGTACCGTTCACGTAGCTTCTCCCGAGTTGCTTCGTCGTCACGAAGGTCAAGCTTAGTTCCAACAAGCAAAATGGCCGTTGAAGGTGCGTGGTGAGAAATTTCGGGATACCACTGATGGCAACGCATCTTAATTAGCCTGCACGTTCCTCCGAGGGATGAGTGATAAGAGTCAATGTACCTTTGTTCTCACGTTCTCGAAACTTGGCGGGCTGACAAGAGAGAAGCATACGAGGAACACGTCAGTCTGAGGGTAAGACAGGGGACGCAGGCGATCGTAATCTTCTTGTCCAGCAGTATCCCAGAGACCGAGAGAGATCGTCTTGCCATCAATCATCACACTTGCAGAGTAGTTGTCAAAAACTGATGAAGGCAATCAGTCGTCGTCTGCACATTCGGTCATTCAGACATATCGTACCAGTTGGAATATACTCGCCCTATGCATAAGGAAGCACAATTAGATGAAGAATAACCGACAGGGTATGAATGTACACACCGGGAAGGCATTGGTAGTGTATGAGATCAACAGGCACGTCTATTTGCAAACGCAATAAGCACGGTAGTCGCAGAATGGATGTGGCACCGTGTTTGTACAGACCTTTCCGACAGCACCATCTCCTACGACAACACCTATATCCAGGGATGTGTGAGAATATACGCGAAGCATCACAGAAACAAGCTGGCCTACATTTGATAGCTTGCACAGCGTTCATATTGGTTCCGCGCAATTCAAGACGGATTGCGGCGTGTATTAGATCAGAGCGGACAAGAGAAGTCTGGCTTAAGGAAAGAAAGAGCCGTGCAAACGGAGAGTGACGACGTCAGCACGAGGACACGCTGTGGAAATAGCCATGGTGCGCGTCGTAGGAAGGAAAGGGGCCTGGATAGCGTCATTGGGGAGCTGTTGGGAACGTACCTTTCTGGTGACCGTGCTCAACAACGCAAATAAGACGAGCTGCTTGGTTAACGATGGCGGAAGAGCTGCGAGTTGTATTGTCGATGGAAACGAGAAAGATATGAGGAAGTAGATGCAAAAGGCGCGTCGTCGCCGATGCCATCTCTGGTCACGTTCTCACGGCTTACAAGCCGGTCCGTCACTGCTTATTTCTCAGTTCTCTCCACAGATCACTTCCCCATTCAACAACCATCAGATTTATCGACGACACTGCTGCATGCTGCACAACAGATTTCTGTCATTGCCCATTCATTCATGTCAGCTTTCGGACTTGCCGAGTCCTCCACCGACTCTGGGCAAATTCAATTTTTTACTGTACTGCGCTTTCATGTTCAAGCTGACGTCAACAATCATCCTTTGCAGGTCCATTGATTCCCGGTGCTGTACAACGTAGGGCACACAGCGATGCATTGATGCCAGCTAGCCACCCGAACTGAATTCTCCGATTCGGTTCGCTCCAACGACAGTCAGCCCAAGATTTAGAATTTGGTTATAAATTCGGCCGTACTTTGCAATCCTAACAAACCTAGTTTGGCTTCCTCTCTATGACCACTGAATTAGTTGATCCATCTAATGGCTGCCCCAACGCTGCTTTCTCGGACCCAGCAAGTCCATACCACCGCAAGCAATCAAGTTCGCTTCACGCTCTCAATGAGTTATGTCCACCCTCGCCACCGCTCTCGCCTAGTGTGTCTATCAATGTCTCCAAGGCTACCAAAGTCACCGGCGAAATTCCGATTATCTTTGATTTTCTCACTACCGGCTCAATGCCCTCGGAGGAGCGGATTTCGAAGATGGCGAACCTCAAGCCTGCTCTGCCTCCGTTGGCAAAGTTCTCACCGATATCTGCGTTCTTTCCAATGAGTGACAGCTCGAACACTTTGGACACCATCAGCACGCAAGCATTCGGAACAAGGAGACCCGACTCATACTATTCCGATGGCGGTCAACAGAGGTACTCTATGCTTAGCGACTTCTCTGGATATTCGCCCTTGGACACGGATTTCAACCTTCCATCACCTACTAGTCCGGAGAAACGGAAAGACTATGAAAAATGTCAAGGTTTGATGTCAATGTCTGATAGTACTCCAAATGTGCAAGTGATAGATTATGATCTGGGCCAGAAGGAGCTAGGTGACATCTCACAGTTCACTGTCTCGGAATATTTTGCATTCCCTTCTGGCCATGATGAAGTTCTCGGCACAATTCAGTCAATGGAAGCAGAATCCTCCGTGCGTGGTCATGGCAACACACTAGTTACGCGGGAATCACCGCCACCTTGTGAGAGATCGTCCTCGTTAGAGCGCAAAACGCAGGTTCTTCCGACTTATACGGGTAACGATCTTCTGACTATTCCTAATAGTCCCGAATTCGACGACAGGACTCCAACTCAATCCGCATTCCTTAAGTACCTACCTCAAGATAATACTGTGCGAGGATACCCCCTAGGTGCAAGCGCAAATCCAGAAGCAACAAACTCGAACCTGCGTAGTCTTTCAGTGACCGAAGTCTTTACCCTACCAGCCGTGGAACGTGCTTCTGTAGCAGGAAGTTCCTTGGCAGCACCTTCTTCTCCGGACTTTGACGACAAGACTCCGACGCAAGCCACGTTCTTGAAGCGTCAGACAGATGCTCACCACTTGTCTCAACCTACTTCTGATCAGAGTTCGCAAGTGATTACGCTGGATGTCCCGGCTTCGACTCTACCTGACGTTGCAATGAGGCGACTGCATCTGGAGCGAGAACAGAAAAAGGCAGCTGTAACCAACCAGAACACTGGCGAAAGCGGCGAATCGACCAAAGCGGACAAGATAAATCCCTCTTTAGCATTCCCTGGAGCAATACCAGGGAACATATTACCGGTCCCATCCCTTAAGCATGCGCAATGGCTACGCGACACCGTCGTAGAGCTCTGGATCGATCAAGAAGGTTTCCGCGCTATCCGGCCCAGATTCTACCTCGCATCTATCAGCAATGGTCTCCCGTACTCTCAAGACCAATATGGTCCTTTACCTCCTGGAGTGATGGAGATTACGGACGAACATGACCCGCTCTATACGACCGTTGCCGAATTTCTGCCCGTCACCCGCACGGCTCATCCATTCCACCATGCGGCTCTTGACCGGGCACCTACGCTGACCCGCCTAACTACGGGCGGAGATGAGAATCGGGATTATATTACGCGTGCGGCGACGCTAGTGCTGCGCGATAATGGTGTGTTCTTCGTACATGGTACCGAGGACCATCGTGTCGACATGGAACGTCCCGGTACAAATGGAAGCACCAGCAGCAACGGAGGCCGAATCATTCGGTTGAACTGGCGCTTCGAATATTTTGTCTCGAATCGTAACTCGCACAAAGGCGAGAAGCTTATGACTCCGCTATCCTTCAGCTGTACGCCTGCTTTGCTCAACCCCTCTCGCTCGATCAAGGTCAAAGTGCTGCATATCATGAAGAAGACCCTTTTACCGAACCTTGTCGCTCAGAAACTCGAGCCTCCAGACTTACCCCAGTTACACACTCGTGCTTCGAACTCTTCTCTTGCGTCAGTGACGTCCATTGCTAGGAGCGAGTCACGTAGCTCCGTTTCTTCACCCAAAAGCACCACGAAAACGCGAGCACGGACCAGACGGCCTTCCGAATCCGAGCAAGTCATCAATATTGATATCAATCCGACACACTCTCATTCATTCATCCTGCCGAGGCTTAAACCTCCTCCACGTCCTCCACTTTTAAGTACCAAACATCGCCGCGGAAGTCATAGCGATACGACACCGGAGGACTTTATGCGCGGGAGACTCAGTGCCACCAACGCCCTCTCAACACACGAGCGGTCTCGTTCTGCGTCTACTCTCGGTCATCGCGAAGACGTAGATGTGAATGCGAATACGACTGTGAATATGAATGAGGCAGGATTGAATAGGACTCCGTCGTTCATCGGCAGCAACACGCCTCCGCTCATAGGTCCGATCATGCCCCCGGAGGAGTTGATGAAGCTCTGTGATTCCGAGGTGGAAGGGCGTCGGAGACCGCATTCTGTGCGTGTAGAGGTGGTTGATAATGTGCCCGTGACGACTTTGCCTGCTGCACCTCGGCATAAACACTACTCATGAGGAAAAACAAGCGAGGCCTTCTGTCCCGTCAAGAAAGGCTTGACGGCAATTCACTCGTTTCAACGTTTTCTTCCTCATATCCCATTATCTATGGTTCCCCTGACTTGTACAAAATCCCCAAAAGTCTTGTCCTTTTCACTCCGAAGAGCGAATGTCCATTACAGTATGTAGTCATTATGTATATGTATTGCGTCAATTATCAAAGCAGAATGTCCAGAACTACAAAACACAAAGTATATGCGTGGATCATCACGCTTTTCCGTCGGAGTTAGAAAATGTCCTTCCTCTTCAAGAGACAATAATCCCCATAAGAATTAAGTGTCTGCCACCACTTCCCCGGCAACCAAATCGCGCGCGTCAAAAGTGGTGAATGCGCAGAGTCGAGGAAAGGTGCGCAGTACATGCGTTGCCAGTGTTCATCGTCAATGGCGTAGCGTGGCTCATGAGGGCTTGAGGAAGGGTGGTTGGGGGAGTCCAGGTCGATCAGGTAGTGGCATGATTTGATGTCGACCTAGTAGATAAAGTCAGATCAACGCGAGAAAAAAAAGAACGAGAATTAGTAATACGTAAAATGAATGTTGGAGGGATACGTACATAATGCCTTGGATCCTCTTCATTTAGGTCGTTTAGATCCTCGGGAACGTACCTTGTCCCACTCCTCTTCCAAAGTCCACTAACCCCGCCACTCGTATTCTCCGAGACGTTGCTCTGGACGAAATGCCTCGGTAACATCCCATCAAACTCACTCTTCACAAACTCCACATTCACACCATCCGGAACAAGAAAATGACCCGGAAACCTATACCACTCCTTCCCATAGCACAACGTCAAATTAAGTGACTTTATCGGTGAAAGGTCGATTCGTTGTCTATCAAGTTCGTTTTGCTTGTTCTTCCCTCGTTTTAGGAGTGTTGGTGGAGGTGGGGGAGGTGCTGCGAGGAGTCCTGTAACGTTTAACACCCGAACGAGCTCGTGAGACTCGAAGTGATGTGCGACTTCGAGTGGTGCGTGGAAGTAGTAGCTAAGCGCGAGGATCCTTGCGACCGAAATTACAGATGCGAAGAACACCACAGCCAAAGTCGTAATTTGGAACCACGAGGTGCGAGACGCTTTGTAAGGCGAGCGCGTTGCCTTCACGTACGCGGCTTCTAACCACCCACGAACAAGGTACAACGCAACCGCAGCGTTGAACGCGAGGAACGGGTACGCAGGGAAGAAAAATCGTTCTTCTTTATGCGCCTGCAGGGTGAAGATACCAAACCAAACGTAGAATGGCGCAAGACGAATTGCAAGAAGTGTAAACGGCGAACTACGGGAACCGAGAGCTTTGTCTTTCTCCTTCTCCGCGGAGGACGTCGACCTTAACGGCCCACCTACACGTTTGTTATCCACGAAGTATGTAATCGCTAGTGCTGGGAGAGCTAGTAGAGCGAGAGGCGTGAGGACGTTAAAGTTCAATAGTAAATTCTGAATATAAAAATGCCAAGGCTCCGTTCCGTAGAGATCAGGTCCGCGGGATGATCCACCAAGAACATTATATTTGACGATATTCCACGGAACGATTGTCAAATGGCCATACGCTAACGAGTCAATTCCAATAACCGGTATCTATCATATAGCATTGCCATTAGCAACTGCATTCAACAAGTCCAAGTTTGACAGATGGACCTACAAATAGAAGTGCTGCACATGCACCCGCGGTAAACAGTCTCACGACGCGAGCAAGGAACCAGGCAGTCCGCTTTTCTGAAGGTACGCGGTCTGCTCCATAAACAAAGAGCTCCTCAAACACGAAAGGAATTGCAATTGCCAGTGCAAAGGGCCAACCGACTATGGCACCCATACCGAAGAGAACCGTTGAGTATAATGTTCGTCGACTGTTTGAGACGGAAGGTGGGTGTAAGCTATAGGAGAAAGCTAATATGTTGGAGAACATTGCAAAGCTAGACGGCAAGAAAGCTGAAACATATTAATTAATCCGTTATATAACGTTTGAATATTAATTTTATGGAACCTGTAGATGCATTCCACATTCCTGCGCTGAACATGAGCATGAATAACATATAGCGTCCAACACGGAAGTTGATTGTCTCCATCACAGTTCGGTAGAGCTTTGCTTCACATAAGGATGACACGAATCCGAAGAATATGCGTAGAGCGAAGAAGGATGCCCTCTAATACTGCATTAAATCAAAACCTTAGTTTTTTACAAGTTAATAACATACCTTATCCAGGCCCAAGAGCCACGTCAGAGCAGTCGCAGGATATAGATGCAGAGCAACGTAAGCCCAACTCCGAATAGCATATTGAGGTGACGTTTCCCAAGTTTGAAATCCGTATCCTCGGTCAAGATAGTGTAAGGGTTCCCAGAAATTATACACTGAAAGCCAGAGAGAGTTGCATTTTATTCAAGAGTATAACCCAGTTTGTCTTGGTCCAAACGCACCCTCATCGCAATCAGATATGTTAGAGTACATAGCTCCACTCACTCGGATGAGTAGAAGGATGCGGACTGCCATGGAAAAACTTGGACACCATGGTGGACGCTGTGCCCTGCAATGTGCACAGGCGTAGTTTGAGTTGTTAAAAATGCTTCCGTCACAATCTCTGTAAAGCAAACGTACCTTCGAGTCTGATCCTGCAAAAGACCGTCATGTCGCGGCATAGGCTTTGGCGGATCCTTCTTCTTTGACGCGTCCGACGCTGGACGCGGAAAGCGCAGCGTCTCAGTCCCAGGGCGTACATTCATCGTCGATGAACGAGTACAGGTCTACGTGGAAGACGTCCAGAGACGAAACACTTTTTGTATTTGACGGCTCAGGAGAAGTGCAGTAGGCCGCGGACGTTGCCGGATTTGATGACGACGCGAACTTTACGCGCTCCTTGGCCTCACCGACGCCCCTTCCTTAAGCGCGCCTCGGCTTGGAGGATTTCAATCGGTAACTTTAGCCGATGTGCCTCAATCCGAGGATTTCTTCGACCAACCGAGGACTATTTTGTACCTTCGCATTGCAATCGTCTTTGATGTTGCAATGCTCTGGATCCAAAGCTCACTGCTCAACACTGTGCCACAGCTTCCAAGTAATGATTCTCAACATCTTGGCGGGATATCCTCCCTAGACGTGCTGTTTCAATAACAGCATACTTATACACAGAATCAGTTGCTAGGGCCACCTCTGAGCCTGAATTTCCTGCACTAGCTGGAAGCAACTTGGCCTACTGGACTCGCTTCGGTAAATTATCACATGGTGACAGGCTCCAACTCACCAGATCTTACTTGCCATGGAACCTTGAAGAGAACTCTCCTGCAAATCTTCAGCATTGGATCACTGTTATTTCTTAGGATCACTGTTATTCAGGCCAACTGTCTCACTGTTCAGCCTTTGCGGCTGAAATGAAGTTTAAGCAGCCTCTCCAATTCTGGTACGACCTTTCAGCCAAAGGCAATTCCACAACTCGGGCACACGCTTTCTTCATATCATACATGAACAAGCTATATACACACGACTGACATACGTCCAGCAGTATAAACAAAGCTTCGAGTCAGAAACTCAAAGTCCTTTCAATCAGACTCACGTCGCTTTTGCATCTGCTTCCACTTCTAAGATCCCTGTGATCACTCGACTTCTCTCCCGAGATACAACTCATGGCCCAAACAAACCTTCGGGTCAGAAACTCAAAGTCCTTCCAATCGGGTTCACACGTCCCCTCACATCCACTTCCACTTCCAACTGTCCTTCCTGTAATCTCACGAGACCTCTCTCGAGGATCAAGGCTGGGTTCCAGTCTAAATTTAGGCACCTGGCATCCGAATCTAGACGTCTCTGAGTCGGACAAATGTCAAGTCGTTGACAACGACACTGCCATGTACGTATCTCTCTACACCTCTCCATTCCATTAATTAATATGTAATTACAAACCGCAATTTATTTTAGTCAACACTGTGCCTCGTGCATTTACAGAGGACTCCATCAGATCTCAAGAGACTATCTCGCAGCAGCGGCGTAACTATTAAAATAACTTCTTCGATACCACCCATCCTAATTGTCATCATCTCTGCATTTCTCCGCAACACGCAAATATTAACGTTGTTGTGTGCCTCGGAACAAGCCGCCACAAGCATATGGCTTGTACTTCCTCAGCAAAGCTTCCGCTCTTGTGCGCTTCCCGCCTTTCCGACAGGCGTAGCCCAGTGTAATTCCCTTCATCACCACGTCTCCGTCACCGATATACGTCCGTCTATTGAAATCTAACGAAACCCGAGTTGTTGTCTATCTGAAGCATGGGAAACGTACACCTGTCCCCAAAGCCAGTCAAGAGCCTCGCGAAAGGCAAGGATGGATAGTAAGACAATGTCGATTGGCGGATCCCCCCCCCCCCCAAAAAAAAATCTACCGAACTGGAAGCCAGGCAAACAGTGTTAATGTGCTTATTATTACAACCAATCTCTGCTTTCTCTGTTCTACTCAAGCATAAAAATGTACAGTTCTATCTCTTCAGTACATGTAGAAGTACAGTACTAAGGCTCATTATCATAGGGAACATCTCTGGTCATCTATTTCAGTACCCCTGATCATGATTTCGAAGTCCCTTGTATCATTACACACTGCTTCGATCTGTGACTTCCAGAGCAAGTAAACATCCTCATACCACACAAATAAAACTCCTCCCCCCCTTCCCTCATCCATATATCTCATCTTCCGTGCCATCACCTACACAGTAACTAGACAATAAAACACACTCTGCATCAACATCGATTAACGCTCGATCCCACCGATTTCGCCGAGTAACCGGGCACGATTTGCATCATCTCTGTGCCGAAATTGAAATGACGCCGCAAAATTAATTTACTTGCCCTGGTTCAGGAATCGAAGAAACAAGGCCCGAGACCCAAAGCCTTCTTTCCATTCAATCCTGAGTCGTTCCAGCCACCCGGCGATAAATTATTTCTGGTCAGCCACATGGACGCGAAAGTCACGACTGGTTCGCCCTATTCTTCCATAACAATAACCATCTTACTCAACTCAACGACACATAGAGAGGGGAAGGGGGAATCATCTAATCCCCTCAAGACACAGCACGTTATGATTATCACAGGATGACGATACATACAAATAGTTGCTGGTATACTATACATCTAGTAACACTGCCACGAAGTCACGTTTTAGAAAGGTATCAAGAACATGATTGAAAGAAATGAAGAATGCAACGCTAATGCCAAAGCGATTGAAAGCCATACAATAATAGTCCACCGACGGATTCCGCTCCTCCCTCTAATTTATGTGACGTCAAGCAAGCCCGTCAAATGCTCGTCTTCCGGTCCCCGTCCTTCCCGTCCTGATCCCGACCTTGGAACGTATCCTGCGGAGCAATGTCCACCACCGAGTACCTCGAAAACCCAGTCTCTGGTTTTTCCTCACCCTCATTTTCATCAAAGCGCGTGTTAAAGCTTCGCAGCTCAAGCATATTCGAGTCATCCCGTGTACGAACCTCACCATCCGTCTGCGTATGCGTGAATATAGCAGAGTCAATCGTCGTCGTGAGCGCACTCGTCGGCGTACTCCTGCCACCAACCAAGCTCCTGATACCCCTCCTCGTACCGTTCGGCTTCGACGGATAGGGAAATGGCTTACCCGATACGGGTGTTATAGGCGTTATAGGCGAAGGAAGCTTAGTGGACGGATCGCTGTCGACGGTGGACGTTGCTTCTGTTCCATCAGTGACGTTTGCATGCAGCGGAAGAGTATGTGTCAGAACAGTCGGCTGGGACACCTCAAAGCCTCGTTGACGAAGATCTAGAATCATACGGCATGCCAGCACATCCGCAAGCATGATACTCAGCGGAATGTTGATAGCAGACATATCGGCCTTTGGTCTGACAAGCGGATCAGGAAGCTTGGAAATGTACACGTAGTGCAAAGACTTACTGAAGGTAGAATATGCCATTCACCTGTAGAGCTAATCAGCACCTTGAATAATCAAAGCAGACTTAAACAATCAACTTACCAAATTTGCAATGGAGATCAAGACGAAGTAGAAAATCCCTGAAGACAACGACAGACGTGATAAGTAGACCAAAGTGCTTGAAGATATCTGATCCCATACCTTCGCGGAGGAATGTCTGTATTAAAGGACTGTTCGTAGCTCCATACATACGACGAAGTCGGAAAGCTTTCCATAGCGTCATTGCAGTAACTGATGCGTCGAAAGCCAGGGATGCCATCTTGATAGAATAAAATTTAACACAAATGAATCAGCGAGCATGTTTTACTCACAAAAAATCCTGTGCAAAAAACCGTGAGTGAATTTATACGAACCGAAATAAAAGTTACTTACCGAGAATGTGCGCAGAATGGGGTTTCGACTGGGGGAAACAGGGCCCTTTGTCCTAGAGACAACATTAGAACACCTGCATACTTAATGGGACGCATACTTACAAAGGGAGGATAAGCGAAGGGCAATACTATTTGAGAGGCTGCATGAGCAAATGAGACTTCTTCAGAGAAGAGGAACTTACGGTCCATCTGGCTGGTATCGACATATAGCTGGTACGAGATCACACCGGCGAGGCCAGCGCAAAGTGCGACGAGCAAGTACTTATTACGGTTGAAGAATGCATATGTGCGGATCAAAAGCACGACTGCACGATTATTCGGTCAAACAGTTTCGAAGAAAACAACCTATATGAAGCTCACCTTCCGCTCCCGCTTGATTCCACATCGCAAGAGCGACTGGTGACTACGGACGCAACAATTAGGACGAAGTCTTCACAAATTCAAAAGCTGCATACCCGGAATATCTTTAAGCAAGTTTCCTTGGAGTGATTGGTAACAAATACACTTAGGATGTACGGCATGACAAAGAGTACCCAGTATCTGTTCAAATGCGGATCAACACAGCGACGCTAAATAACTCGAAACGGTATAGTCACCTGCAGAACAGATAAGAGAACTTCGCCGCAGTCCAATTCGACTAAGGATGAAATAAGGCAAGGCAACGATTTGTATCCTCTTGACAGGCCGTACCTTCCAGATCTAAGGACAAATCTAATTCAAAAGGCAAAACACGGTGCACGAATGCGGAGACTTACGAATTTATATTCTCTCGGTAGACTGATAATCCAATCCCACACTACGACAGCGTCTACATACCCAGAGCGTCAGTACCAACTGAGTAGCGACCGTGTAGACTCATGCTACTCACACATGCCTATATAGGTATATGTATGCGGTTAATACTCTCGTTAACAGCACAGTGGGGACCGGGGAATACTTACAACAGAAGTAAATCTGGGTTCTGTTTGGAAAACATTAAGGGCGGGACATCAGAGAATGTTAGAAGCGAGAATGCCACCGAGAGAACGTACACGAAAATGAAATGTTGCGCCTCCGCGAGCGCGGCAGCGGCTGCAGCTGCAGCAACGGGGTCACTGGGAGTGGCCATGCCTTTCGACTACAGTAGAGCAGAACAAGGAAGATCCAGTGGCTGACAATGACTTGTCTTGAAACAAAGCACACGTCCGCAGAACGCACGACAGAAGACGACAAAAGGTGAAGAGCTGATACGAGAGAAGGAGGCGTCAAAGGAAAGGCGGCCACTCGAAAGGTAATTAGGGTATAAGTATTAATAGTGAAATATAATAAATTGAATTTATTCAAGGGGGGGTTATTTGGCTCTATGAGTCCCGATTCGGATGCTGCGAATCGCATTTTCGTCGATCTGATCCCGCCTCGCGCCTCGCGCCTCGAAATCGTGTCTCAGTAACGTACAGTCTTCATAAGTTCCTTCCTTGGTCTTGCATTGTTGCATGCCGGGCAGCGGCATATGCTTGCCACGTTCCTTGTCGACCACGACACGGAAGAACAGCGTTAGACTACTCGAGTCAATCACTATATCGACTCTGCGATATGTTATTCACTGCTGACAATACCAGATCGTGAACACAGCAAATATAGTACACCGAAGCGCCCGAGACTCAGACATGCACGAAGGAAAAGTTTTCACTGTGCAAGAATACAATAAGAGCCGATCACGCGCAATACATGTAGATAGATCGTGATGTGCGATAGGGCAATTCACCTTCAGAAAGCAGGGTCCAGCCAACATGCACCGCGAGAAACCAGGAATCACAGAACGAGAAGCTAGTCAAGAAAAGTACGTCAGATTGCCAAAGTCTATCGGAAGCATCGTTGGCAGATCTGGAGGAAGACGGCAGGCCGAGCGTTTCTTTGCACTGACGAAACCGCATCACCGGGAGATGGCTGTCCAGATTTGAAAAGGATAGCAGACGGAACGGAAGCAAGCTCTCAAAGACCAGCTCTATGTCCAGCCAATCACCGACACAGCAAGCTCGCGTATGAGGATCAGGTGCGGGTGTTTCGCTCGTTCTTCGCGTCCATGTCGACTTATCAGCAAAGCGCCCTCGCTCTGGACTAATACGTTTCGGCGTATTTTGATTTTCCGCCCACAGAAAGGCCTGTTGGTATGCCTTCTGGACCTTAGTCGCATCACCCCCATCACCACGGAATCTCACGCCTCGATACATTGCCCTCGACTTCTTCAAGTTCTTCGTCCACGATCCACTAGTCGTACATACACGTTTCAACGCATTTCTTCGCCATCTCATCCCAACGAACTGGTGATTCATATTCCAGTCATCCAGCCACCATCATTCCTATCGTCACACAAAAAAAAACGTCTCTGCTCACTTGCCAATACTCTCAAAGAACCTCACAAACTTCCCCACCCCAGGGCAGATCGCAAGCCGGATCCGCTCGTTCTCCTTCCACAACCCGTGACCACGCCCCTCTAACCAACTCGCTACTCGGCTCCCATTGCTAATGCTATTTCCATCGCGATCACGCACCATTCGTGCAAGTGCATCTTTCCTTATGCTCCACTTCAGACTCCGTACTACAGGTAGTAATCGCGGAGAGCACCCTTCTGCGTCGGGGATTACGCGCCTGAGCGCTTGAGGTGACTTGCGTTGAAGGTGAGCTGCTAGAACGTGGCGCACGTGCGATAGCTGCAATCTCTTCGAGGTTTCGTATTGCTTTACCGACTATATGCGGACATAGCACATAACCGTGACAAAAGTAACCACGACAATGCAGCAATTCACCATGAAAGTTTTCGATTATATAGAGATTAGAGGGTGGGTCAGTTATAGCTGTTGCTGCTGCGGACGAGATCCGACTACGCACCTCACGCGAATTGAAATATAGGCCCGTCCTATATCGCCTTTCTATCCCCAATCCTCTCAATACATTCTTCAGCACTAGGTCAGGTATGGTAGGGCGTAATGTGCCGCCGTATCCGAAGAGTGCGTGCTGTACGCGCGATGGTGCGACGATGAGGATGCGCCGCCTGTGGAGGACTGGATCTTGCGCTAAGCCCTTGAGTATTGGTGAAATTCGACTCAATGCATCGAGTTCAGGGAGATCTAGGTATGATACTGTGCGGTGGCGAGGAAGTTAGATACACGCACTAAATCATTTCAATCACGAGCAACTTACGGATATGCAGGATGACTTCTGGTGGAAGCGTTTCCAGCCTCGTTGCCCTATTGTGTGGACCGTAGTAAGATCGAATAGACATCTTGACAAAAGCCAGGCTCTCAAAGAAACGGAATCATATATATGTATATGTAGCAAGCTCAGCTGCTAAAGGAATTGAGGCGAACTGAATTGGTAGAAATGAGCAAAGTGAAAGCCTCGCTGTCCAGCTGCGGTGGCTTAGAAGAGGAGTCAACCGGTCAGACGAGAGCACAGAAATAGCAATTATTACGTCAGTGTAATTCTATTGATTTACTTCCGCTATTTCGTCGAGCTGTCTCGAACCAGCACTAGTACTACTATCACTTGTTCTGAAATTGATAATCATGGAACTCGACCGTATCAATTTAGAAGTCTGCATTGACTCGGTTGAGTCTGCTCTTGAGTCAGTACCAGTCTCATCATCACATCCCTACGGGCCTACGCAGATTATTGACCTAACGGCTCTCTGCAAATGGTGCATATACGCAATACTCGACATCCTTATACTGCAATCTTTCTGTAATCAAAATCGACTGACACGATAACTCATTGCTTCAACAACCAATATGCTGCTTGGTTTACCGGACTTCCTCTGTTTCCATTTCCAAGGGCTGTGCGAGGCGGAGCCGACCGACTTGAAATCTGTGGCAATCTCGCAATAGGAGGTGGGACGACCCCAAGTATAGGACTCGTTCGTCTCGTCAAAAAATCTTGCCCATCTCACATAGAGCTCATGGTCCGTATAAAATCCCATACTGTGAAGCAATGTTCTAGTACTGAGGCTTTCTCATCCCTGGCTGCCCTCATGCTGTATCTAAAATTAATTATCCATTCAATCTGAAACTGGATGTGAATGGTAATATATTGTGGAAAGGTGATGATCCGACCTCGAACAGGCGACTTCCTCTACACACCACACGAACTATCCGTCATGCTTGAAGATATCCGCGCTTTCGCAGAAATAGGCATAACGGGGGTGGTATTCGGCGCTTTATGCGCTGATGGTAAAGTCGACATGGAGAAGACGGAGATACTTACCGAAGAGGCGGTAAAGTATAATCTACAAGGCTCGTGGGTTTTAATTATGGCTAGCTTGCCCAAGACTGACTGAGAATACAATCGATTTCTTTAATATGTTAGTATGCATTCATCGAGCGTTTGATATGGTTGTTGATCAAAAAGATTGTATGCGTCCATTTTCACCCCGAATACCCAGCAACTGAAACAAGTTATATAGCTTTACATACCTTATCTACCATCTTAGGCATAACACGTATCTTAACTAGGTATACCTTCCTTTCTACTCTCACCGACAACAAGAACCCCTCAATTTAACCTTGCTCGTCCATCCTGCACTTTCTTCTTTACAGTGGTGGAAAACCAACCGTCTCAGAAGGCCTTGCATCCCTCGTCAACCTCTGCACCTCCCTGGAAAATCAAAATCGAACTCTGGAGTCTTCAACAACTCTCACATCTCCCTCTTCCCTTCCTCAAAGACAAACCCGTCTCGAAATAATGCCGGGCTCAGGCCTAAATGCCCATACTCTCCCACCAATTCTCTACATTCTCCGACCCTTCATATCTTCAGGTATTATACGTTCAATCCACATGAGTGGAGGGAGCTTTGTCGAAAGTGGCGTGTTACACAGACCAGAAGGTATGGGAATGGGTGTTGGAGATGCTGGAGAATGGGGAATTTGGCGGACGAATGAGGAGAAAGTGAGAGCCGTGAGGGAGGTTGTTGATAAAATGTGGGAGGAAATTGTAAAGGAGCATAGGGTGAAGTCTGAATAACCCCAAATCTGTACAGAAAAAATTGAAGGGGTGTCTGCCGTCAACAAACTGTTCGTTTGTATTAATATAAATACAACAATCGGTATTCTCTCTCTCTGTACACCCTAAATCGCGTCAAATATCCATACAAATTGGTCGATTATGTATAAGAAAACGAAAGGCATGTCCTTTCTTTTGTTTGCATATCCATGCGTTCGTTATGAACGATTGTGCTAGTTAATTAAGTACCACCCTTGCAACTCTCAACTGTCTTTGTCGTCTCCTAGCCGCGCGCGAATGGTTATTTAGTCCTCCATGGAAAGCAGACGTAGCCTCACGCGCACGATCTGACGTCGCGGACTTTGGTTCTGCGGAATCGCCATCCTCGATTGTTCGGATGGAGTATTTTCGTAAGAGCAGAGCACCTCCGGGCTGCAGTCGAGAAAAAAGAGAGAGAACAAAAAAGCAAGTACAATCAATATGTTAATAAAATAATTGAAAGAAGTCCGAAATACGCACGTGTTCCCCAAGATACCGAGTTACATCAACAGCGTACCCATCAAGCAACACAACACATCGTCCAGGTCGCTCAGCAACGTATTTACGCAACGCATCTTCATCCCATATAGGTCCCTCCCACTCCGAGTCTTCATCCTCAAACTCCGAAGATGAGGAGGAAGATTGTGAGATAATCGACTCATCGCCTGATTGTAAGCCAGAATCAGACGTTGGGTATTCAATGTGATGTTTATGTCCGTGTAATCGCATCCAAGCCAAGGCGCTTCGAATATCTTCGTTGCGTGCTCGTCGCAATCCTGTAACAAGACCGAAGCGGTGTAATAGGATAATAATCCATTTCGATGGATCCCAGGTCAGCCGCGATGGACCGGCACGAAAATCATGAGGGAACGCATGCTACATGAACCAAACGTCGATTAATGTCCTACACCAATTTCAAATGACCGGAAAAGGAGTGTAATCTTACGTGCTAAAAATATCGAAGTGGTCAGACTCAAGTTGTATACAAAAATAGGGAACTGTAACGCGTACATAATTGTGATTCCCTTCACCACATGTTAGCATAGCCATAATCTACAACAGAAGCAAGTGGGTCTACTTTAATATCTGCTGTTTCCAGGAACGTGAACTCCTCACCAAGTTCCCTCTGGAGGTATTCTCGTCGGAGTACGGTTGCAAGCCGTCCCAGTGCGCTAGGCTGTATTTTATCAGACTCGACACAAAAGCATTCGTCCAGTTCCACTCACGAATTCACTAGGAAAGTGCAATGCCAAACTTGGAAAGTAAAATTTAGAAGACTGTTGATAATTCCGCGGATGTACAATCTTACTCGCAAGCCGTGCTACAAGACCTCCCCAGACGAAGGCGCCGCTTGGATCATCCCATAGCATGCCCAAGGCGATCGGCAAGACGAATCCAGTAAGGAGAGCAATCGGCACTGAAAAAAAAAAGTAAGGTATTGGCAATTGGAATGACCATATTTAATTTTGTAAGGAAAGAATAGTGAACGCACCGTAATAGTTATGCTGGAATCGAGCGACTACAGTATCGTAGTCAGATTGCTAACTGCACAAAGCATTGAAATACGTTTACATACCAGGATCACTTTCCAAGTCATCTCTATTAATCGTATCCATCTTCTCATACTTCGGCTTGTAAAATATCCAGCCCATATGCGAGAATAGCAAACCTCGGGTTGCTGCATATCTGCGTAATTCATCCTGAGCCTAAATATGTTCCGCAGAGAGGACTACAAATTCAGTCATACGGATCAAGTACCGGATCGTCCGTGAATCTCTATTCGGCGATATCAATGACAATTCTAGGAACAGGAACGGCGATGATACGGACATGGTGTAATCTATGCCTAAGACACCTGTGTGGGCGTTAGAATGGGCTTAACAATTAAACTCATTAATAGATTACAACATACCACCACTGAAACATAGGTGAGTTATCGGTTCGTTAATATATAATTATTAATACACACCTTTATTGAGCCCTGGAAGGCCATAGACCCAAGAGCCGCAAGTATGATCCTGACACCAAGTGCAGCGCGGAACGCTCTATGCGAATACAAACGGTGGTATCCTATCGTTACTCTGCACCCGCATTCAGTTGAGACATGTGTTTCCGCCGGTAACTTACATGGCCAGTACCCACCCGAAGCATGCCAGTTGCCAAACTGCAATACCCAGCCAAATTGTCGCTCGAGACACGACCCACGGAGGCTTGTAGTATAACCCAAGACATGCCGCAACGTGCACTCCGACGAAGAAAATTGCATTAGACCACCAAAATTCACCTTTAAGCGACTGTCCAGAGTTCGGAAATTTGTATTTGCTACTTGTTGTCATTGTCAGGAGAACAGTAGCCGGGAGTAATGGGATGAGAGGAAAAGGTTGGGGAACGGAAAGAAACCGGGCTGGGGAGATGGATTTATAGGGACGGGAAATGGGTGCGATCAAAGGTTCGCGTTGCTTCATTCAGCCGGACTGATGACAAGAAGCCTGTCACCAGATCGTCGCGCTGAACGCCGCTTTTCGATCACAACGATCGAGGTTCTTAAACACAGTTACGTAGGCAGCGGGTGCAAGTTCATTACTTCTCTTGTCTTCTCTCCCTCGTCATTGACAGTACGATAGACATACTCTCCTCGGGCGGGAGAAAGATTACAGGCTTATACAGCTATCCGGCGGTATATCATTATCTGCGGCTGGTTGTCGCTTTTGGATTGATAAATCAACCGTGAGTAGCTTCTATCTTCAGATCTCACACGAGCGCACCCAGTTGTCATATCGCCCGGTGGCACACGGGTTAACGGACATGCCTTTTGTACACCGAAAGATGAAAGTGTTAATAGAGTTTCGCTTGGCCGGTGTGTGACCTAGGAAGACAGATGTTTTTGCACAGCTTGAAGGCTTCATGTACGCGACGATGGATGGTGGATGCCACTGGATGGGCAGTCTGATCGGCGTTCGCGGGGCGTAAAAGCCGTGCGAATGCCGTCGGTGTCTTGGCGGTAAAGAGAAATTATTCCGCTCTCTGGCTCTACCCGACGGTGTGGAACCGACTTAATCCGAGAGCGTGGATCTTACCTTCCGTGCATGCTTGTAGTCTGGCAATGACATCTTAACAACCCTTATTTACTGTATGTTGGGCCCTAGGCAGACCTGAGTAGATCCACGAGAAGAGCAAGGCTAGATGGTCAAGGATGATTCGTGGGGAAAATCACTTGCTAGATGGCATGAGATCATCTGGCAAGATGTCTACCCAAACAATTTAGCAGGCATGGAGCGGTTGTAGGTGTGTTTAGTATGTATTTTATTACCCACAACACCCTTTGTTAGATAGTGTCGATATGCAATAATATTTAAACTCATACCATACAGATTATACTGGAATAACAATTTCCAACTTGTTTTGTATGTCTTAGCCCCCCAACACGATTTTTGCATTGTAAATACACCTTTTTTTTAATATCAATCTAAACATTTCAAGGTGGCGGAATTTATGCCATATACAAACAAAAATACATCTATTAGTATTACTGAACACCTTTCTTCTCCTCACCACCACTAGGTGACACAGCTCCCTTCCGTCCGGCACTCTCAGCAATTCCAAGTATCTCATCTGCCTCTCGCGAACCCGCACGTGGAACGTCCTTACGCAACGACACTTTAACAGGAGAGACACCCTCATTATGCGCAAGAGCAAAGACGACGTCCATATCTTCGAGCGATCGGCCTGCTGTTTCTGGAAAGAAGAAATATACCACGGGGATTATGAATGCGTTCAGAGAGGCGAAAACTAAGAAAATAAATATGTTAGGTTTGAGTAACTACATTTCAAAAAATGCTAGAAGGTAATGTGAAAGCATACCGATATAAGTACCCCAGGAGATATTCTCGAAAGATGGACCCGTGACCATCACAACCATGAAGTTGAAAATCCAGTTGGATGCAGTGCTAAGAGCATTGGCTGGTGCCCTTATACGAAGTCCGACAATCTCAGCAGGCTGCAATTCGTAACATCGTTAGATCCACAAAACAAATATAAATCGACAAGTACGCACATAAAGCCAAGTCATACCCAACCAACCAAGCGCGAAAATCGAGTTAAAGACAAACAGCAAGACACACGAAACAATCTGCGCAGCAGGATTATTATTAATACTGCCCAGGATTGCTAGTAAGACCATTGTGATGGTTTGACCAAAGGCACTCCATAGCATGAGCCTGCGCCGACCCGCACGTTCTATAATGAAGATAGCGATAAGACTCGCTGCGAAGTATTCTGTCCCGTTGCATGCAGCGACGATACGCGAGTTGATATCTGAGAGGCCGAGCCGTTGGAATAGGATTGTCTACAGCCGTTTCTGTAAGTCCGAATAGTAGGTTAATAAGCTGTAGCTCCTACCGCATAGTACGTGATGATATTGATGCCCGTAATTTGTTGGAAGCATTGAGACGTGACAGCAAGAGCCGCACGACGGAAGTTCTGACTACGCCCATGTGTAAAGAGTTCACTGAGATTGGTCGTGTTCTCCCCAAGACCTCCTTCCGCCACAACAGTCTCGTGAATAGCGATGTACGTGCGTTGCACTTCAGCGTCCGAGATGTCCTTGTCGTCCATAGCGGAGATAATAGCAAGTGCTTCGGCATGTCGGCCGTGCTTCACTAGCCATCGAGGTGATTCAGGGAGCTTGACGACATGAGTATAACGAATGGGCTCGAGGTAGACAATCACGTTTCATACTTACAATACCGATACCAAATATCATTATTGTAGCCAGGACTATTTGTAGGGAGATTGGGACTCTCCATTGTGCAGTACTACCTGAAATGAAGAAACTACCATTTATTAGAATGCGACGCCTAGGAAGACAAAGCTAATCGGGGCCTCACAATCCAAAATCTATCCACTGAATAGAGGTCATCTTCGATGAGCCACTTTATCCGGTAGATATGGAAGTACTTACGTATCTGCAAGAGGGACAAGTTATCATTAGCACAAGAATATGTACTGGTAGCCCATAATTTAGACATACGAGAGCATGATACCAAACGTAATCAAACTGCCTTCTATCATTATATTACTGCCGCGCTTAGCAGCGGGAGAGCATTCGGCGTGATATGTAGGGACTGTTGAGGTCTGCAAGGATTAAAAAAACAAGATGTGAGCGACCCGAATAATAGAAAGTGACTTAACTCACATTCAGGCCATTGCCGATACCCGTAATAATACGAGCCACAACCATCATGGCATAACTGACTGCAGCGGTCTGTAGGATTGCTCCAATAATCATAATGCATCCGCCAATAACTATAGTCCGCCTTCGACCAAGTTTGTCGCCGACCCAAAGATTCGACAGTGCGCCTATCAAGCAACCTATCTCCTAATCGGGAATAAATAAACAGAATTTCCTTCGAAGTCACGACGTACATAAATCGCGACAACAAAGCTTTGAAGCGTTGCGTGATGAGGACTTGTAGCGACTACGACCTGCGGGAAGACTCTTTCGAACTGCATGAAGCGGTAAGTTATTCCTCCGAAACGATAATGAATACTTTAATATTTACTTGATTTGCAGTCAAGAGTGCAGACATGACGCCTTGATCATAACTGAACGACATATTAGACAACACATTACCTTTTCAATTAGTGTACATACCCAAAGAGCGTAAACCCCGTACCCGCGACGAAGGCAAGAACGAGGCTCAGGGTTCTTCCTCGAAGCTTCGGCATTTTGTCATTAACGGCCTGCTCTAGTTCTCCATATCTCATCCCCGTCATGTCTTCAAGTTGATCCAACGACGATTTTTCGTCGTATGTGACATGATCGTCCGCAGATTTTCCACTCATCTTAGAGCTTTACAGGTCAGCGATGACTTACTGATGAAGACTCCACAGAAGTTAGAGAGGTCTCGGCTGTGGACTGGTCACAGTGCCCTTTTATAGATAGCAGCCATTAGATTTGATGCCGGTCCGTCGGATTATGCGCCGGAGAAGAAAACTGTGGGACAAAGAATAACGCGGGGAAGAAGTTCATCAGATATCAAATTTCCCAGAGCTCAAACATTTGCGAAGTCAGAAGTGGTGTAAGATGACCTCGTGATAGCCATTGCCGTTCTCCAAGCGATGTCGGCGGAATGTAAGCAAGCGCTGAAATCGCAAAATATCACATCTTTCAGATAAGGCAAATGCATCGTCAAATATAGAGGCACGATGGTGTATCAGAATATAAGCAAGAATTCGTCAATAAAGGGCCCTCAGACTCCAGGAGTGGACAGCGCACACAAAGGTTCAGAAGGATTGTAAGGGGAATAAACATGAGTCCACAAAGGAACAAACAACACGTAAATAAATATCGGCACGTGACGCTGTTAGCATGGCTGAAGCGTCAGCAATTGGGCCGACGAGCGCCCTCGCACCGGGATTCCCGCCTGGAATAATCGTTTGAACACATCATGGTCAAGCGCGAGTTTGCAGCGAACCCGGATATCGACGTCGATGCGCCTCGAGCGAAGCGCCACAGGGAAACAGTGGCAGAAACACCTGTGACTGACGAAGCTGACATGCCTGAGAAGGATGGGAGCAGCGAACGCGAGAACGATAATGACACAAATGCCGCAGAGGTAGGGCCCGCGATGAGCCCGGAGGAAGTGCGTGAAGAAGGCTTGAAGGTGCTGCAAGTGCTGAGAGACGCAGTGGACAGAGAGTGAGTGATCACCCGAGACGCGCCTCACCCAGAAACCTACCAGTCGCGGTTGCCAATTTACCATAATTAACGCCTCGCTAACTAATTGTTTTATTCATGCTTGCGTCCCTTTTGCATTCGGCGTCTTTCAGAGGTCGACAGATTTCGTATGATTTCCTGCGTCTGGTGTCAAAGAGACAATTTCCGGACTACTACGAGATCATCAAGCAACCCATAGCACTCGACGACATCAAGGCTCAGCTCGAAAGCCATGCTTACCCGTCTTTGGAGGCTTTGCGACAGGATCTCGATACCTGCTTCAAGAATGCAAAGAGATACAACCAGCGGGAGAGTCGCATCTGGAAAGACGCAAAACATCTGCAGGTGAGCACTTCCGTGAACGATACCAGGAGTTAAGCGGTACAAACCGACCTTAACTTCAGAAACTCGCAAACAAGGAGATAGACAAAATTCTGCGAAGGGGCGATGAGGATGACGATGGATCCGATAAAGAAGGTGGAAAGAAAAAAGAAAAAGGGACGAACATTCACCGACTTATGAAGAATCGGTTGCAGAAGTTGTTGGGCAAGACAGATGAAGCGTGAGGTCGTGTTTGTCTGTTGCAGTCATTTTTCTCACCTCCTCTCTGGCAGTGGCCGTCAACTTTCTCCTGCCTTTATGGATTTGCCTTCAAAGAAAAAATGGGCAGTATACTACAAGTTAATCGCTCGGCCTATCTGTATTGAGGATATTTTCGTGAGCCTCTCTTCCAATATTGAGACAAGTCATCATCTGATCTATGTTTTAGAAACGAATAAAACGCAAAGGATACACAACAATCCAAGACTTCATGAGTGATGTCGACCTTGTTTTCTCAAACGCGTTACAGTTTAACGAGGAGCACTCGCTAATTTGGGAAGATGCGTTGACCTTGAAAGTATGTTCTTCACTATTATTTTCTGTTCTGCATTCATAACAAACTACGTAGACGTATTTTCATCAGATTATGAACGACCTTCCAGCCAAGTACAACATGAACAGGGCGGACGAGTCTTCAGCATCACCAGAAGTTTCTCACAACAGGATTAAACTAAAACTTCCTGGTCATCAGTCAGCGGCTCATGCAAACAACACCGATGCTGGACAAAACGGCGAAACGAGCTCAGGAACGATGCGAATCCGCGTTCCAGGTCTTGGAGGCGCAGTTGCTGGAACGAGTGGTGGTGGCGCAATAAGTGAAGATAATAAACAAGCGATCGCGAGTTCAATAAAGAAATCGAAGACGACGTCTCCTGCTGTCCCAACTACTTCTCTTCCCTCTTCTGCAAGCATACCTCATTCCACTCATCCTTCTACGTCTCCGCCTAATGCAGTTTCTGCGATCGCTCCTACGGCTACGCCGACGCTTGCGATGCCGACTCCAAAACCTGCGAAGGCAGCAGCGATACCATCGCATATGAAGTCGACGCCTGTTGCTCAAGCAAGTCTCCTACAACAGCAGTCTACACCATATACCCCTTTCCATCAATACACAACTGCCTCAAATCCCGTCCCTACACAAAACTTCTACTCTACTTCTGCTGTTACACAAACTCCGGCTCGTGGCTCAGCTACACCTGCACCTTCCGTACCTGCGTCAGCGCCTTTAACTGGTCGGACAGATGCGCCCTCTCCCGTCCCGCCACCGAGTTCGGTGGGTTTGTACAGCGCACGACTCGAGTCTTGTCTCCCAGGGGAGCAACAATCGCGGAGACGACTCGCGGTATTAGACGCACGCATGGGTGTACGAAACTTCGCGTTACAAATACCCGGCACAGATGCCAAGTTCGTCGTTCGCGCTGTCAAGTTTAGTGTTCGCGACAGTGATGGTGATACCGCCGAGGGTAGCGAAGCTGAAGAGGAGGTGAAAGTTGCTCCAACGCCCGTGAAGAAACGCGGTCGCGGCCGACCAAGGAAAGCCATTCCTATCGATCAAGAAGTCCGACCTCCCGCTGCAACGCCAGAAATATCGCCTACCTCTCCACCAAAGAAAGAGAAGGAGAAGCAAGAATGGCGTATACCTCTTTCGTCGGAAGTTGTCGTGCGACTTGATGGGAAGGAAGTTGCAGCGAGTACGACGGACAGTGCTTCAACAGCTACAACACCAGTCATGATAAACGGCAACGGTGAACTACCAAAAAGAGACGACAACGACGAAAAGCCTGCTAGGCCAGAGGACGAGTGGGTTATCGAGACTTCTGCTGGACAACACGTTCTTGACATCGGACGGAAGGGAAATACCTCATTTTGGCGCGTCTACCTATGTGTTCGGTAGTTTCCGTCTCTCTTGGCGCCCTAGTCTCGTTTTCTTGCTCGTACTAGTTTGGCGTTTGTGTTGGTTTTCCTAATTTTTATACAGTTCGTATTTTCACTGTTGATAGTATTTTTAGCACGTGTAATGTGTACTCTTCAATGTATATGTCTACACCCATATTACTCCTACTTAGTCCATTAGAAATGATACTGTCGATTATTCTAACTAGTAATGAACAATAATGGAATGTCCATGGTATCGAAGGTGGGAAAGAAAAGAAGGATAAAGACGAACAGTCCTTTTCACGGATTAATGGTTGCCCGCTTCCGCACCAAGAGGCAATTCGTCCGGTACTTGTTCAATAGGCGGGGAAGGTGACAACGAAGGTGAATGAGGCTCTGGTTTGTACACCCGGTATTTCCCAATCTCAGGACCCCGAGTAAACATATACCGCCTTAAGATCGCCTCACGGTCCGCTGCACCCATTCTAACTTCCAGTCCTTCCGATCCTCGACGCACGCGTCGTTTCCCTCCATAGTATCGATACTCATCGCTGTCGCTCTCTTCACTTCCCTCGGAAGAAGAATAGCGGTTGTTTAATGCAGACGGAGGTGATTTGCCGTAATCTGGATGGTACGGAGGAACTTTTGACACGTTGCCTTCTTCCGGACGATGGGATTGTCTGGATGCTTGTGTTGCTCGTCTGCGAAAAGCGTTGGATGGTTCCAATGAGGGGTTTACAGAACCGTTCTCGTATGTCCATGGTGAGTCTGGTAGCTCCAAAGCATGTCCGTCATCCTCTTCATCGTGATTGAAGTCGTAAGCCCGAGTGTCATTTGGGTCTTCAGGCGGCCAGACTTGCGCTGCTCCATCTACACCGTGGGATCGCAAGATCAGAATCAGT